ATGACCTTGGGGTCTTCGAGTCCCCGAGAGGATCATCCCCCAACCGTTTTCGGTGAAAATGACAAGGATCGGAAAACTCTATAAAAATGGAATCGTGTCAATGGCTCTCTACAAACGTATACGAGTTGATTGGGACGTAGATTGGGACGTAGATTGGGACGTAGATTGGGACGTAGAATATCCGTATGTTCATGATTGTTCTATCTATTTTTTGGTTACAAAATATAGAATCAAACGTGATTTCAACACCAAAATACCACCAACGTAGGGATACTCCCGACAATCTTGATAGTTAAACAAGTACCCCCGGGTAATCTAACCTGGAATGAGGATTCCCTTGGGAAGATCAAGAAGGGTGTGAGGAAGATAAAGTCCCACCCCCGTTTGACTTTACATTATTCATTCTTTATTTTGTGATCTGTGATACTGACAGTTTTTTTCGCTTGCGTCCCTACGTTTGATTGGCTACCCTTTGGTAATCTGTTCACATAAAGATAGTAGTAAAGAAACGACCAACCCCCTGTGTTGCCGGACTTTGTCGGCGATCATCTCCACATGAGCAAAAAACGTGGTAAAAATGAAACAATTTTGCTTGGTTCTTAACTTGACGTTACATAGAGGAATGCCCTGCCAAGGGACCAGTGCGGCTCTCTCACACATCATCATCGCCATCAGCAGCAACATCACCATCGTCAACAACATCATCAACACATCTTCCCAGTGTATGAGTATATTTATATATATAACTGTTTGGTCTGCCTTCTCAATTATGGCAAACAAAAAGTTGACCCTCGCATGGTCAACCGATAGCGGCTCTTTGGCTGGTAGAGCAGTTCCAGCCGGATAAACCCCATCATCAAGTATAATTCGATATATCTCTGCATAAGCGTGCTATAACCCCAGTTGGTTCTTGTCTAACTATGGGGCACCACCTTAGTGATTTGCCTTTGTGGGCTTATTTCAGTCAGTTATAAATGAGGTTTTCCCTGAATAGGGAATTAGTAAACAAGAATAAATAAACCACAATGAAAAATACAACCAACTTTCCTACAATATGAGATTAAACTGTTTATGGTTTTCTTCCTGAATGGGGAGTTTTTCTAATATGAACCAGTTACCCTCTGGTAAACCAACATAGCTATGGAAAATCACCATTTTTTATGGGTAAATACACTATAAATGGCCATTTTCAATAGCTACGTTAAATTACCAGAGGGTAACCAGTTCCAGACATGTGTTTTTCATGATCCTCCAGTCGTATCCACCGATGCATCGCCGCGTTTAAACGTTCAACGACATGCCACTGATGCGTCGTCTCCTCAAAGGGCGCTTGTTGCACCAAGCTGGACGCCGATGCCTGGCGAAGCGTTCTGCGAAAAAAATTCGGGGGGCCATGGTGAGTCAGGTGGAAGCAACATGGCCAAAATCCTGTGGTTAACCAATAGTTTTTTGTTTAATAATGGTTTAATATGGCTTTAAAAGGATTATATTGTTATAACTAAATTGAACCATTTTATTATTACTAGTGGTAGTAGTAGTAGTAGTGGTAGTGGTAGTGGTAGTGGTAGTGGTGGTGGTGGTGGTGGTGGTCGTGGTGGTGGTGGTGGTGGTGGTGGTCGTAGTAGTAGTAGTAGTAGTAGTAGTAGTAGTAGTAGGTAGTAGTAGGTAGTAGTAGGTAGTAGTAGGTAGTAGTAGGTAGTAGTAGGTAGTAGTAGGTAGTAGTAGTAGTAGTAGTAGTAGTAGTAGTAGTAGTAGTAGTAGTAGTAGGTAGTAGTAGGTAGTAGTAGGTAGTAGTAGTAGTAGTAGTAGTAGTAGTAGTAGTAGTAGTAGTAGTAGTAGTAGTAGGTAGTAGTAGTAGTAGTAGTAGTAGTAGTAGTAGTAGTAGTAGTAGTAGTAGTAGTAGTAGTAGTAGTAGTAGTAGTAGTAGTAGTAGTAGTAGTAGTAGTAGGTAGTAGTAGTTAGTAGTAGTAGTAGTAGTAGTAGTCGTAGTCGTATCATTATTATTACTATGTACCCGTATTAAGCCACAATACTAATGTACCACAATTAATCAACATTGTAATGTCCAGCTAGAAACATCGGCTTAATATGGTTTAATCTTGGTTCATATTAATAATGGCATTCAAAAAAAAAAACTTCTTGTGAATAATGGTACATAATAAAGAATAATAATCATACCATTTGGAAATTGTTACACCACGAATTTATGGTTAAGTGAGATCGGTTTTAGAGATTTCAAGATGGCCTATAATTCGGTCTACACATTATGAGTTTTAGCCATCATAGGCTGAGTATGACTGAGTGTGGTAGTGAACAAACAATTTGTGTTGGTCCAGAATCCCAAATTGTTATGTGGGATATGTGGGATGCTAAAATGGACAAAAAAAACACAACAATTGGGAGTTGTTGCCACAAGGAATGCAGAGATATTGCCCGCACTAGATTGGATTTTTTTTTCTCAACGCGAGTGTGGATTCAACCAACAAACATACTTGGTGGTTCATCCCACGAATCGTAAGTGGGTTATAACCCCAGTTATAAGTGGGATAAGTAGGGTTAATCCACTTATAACTGGGGTTATAACCCACTTACTAAGTGGGATGAGCCACCAAGTAGATTTAACATAGTTCATCACCAGAACCGAGGACCCTGGATACTGTTTCATGAAAGAAATGTCAATGGGAATTATGTCATAACGAGCCCAGCGCCGGAATTTAGCTGTATAGGGCATAAGATATTCCACCAACATGTGTTGGCTTCTGTTTTACCAAGAAATACACTCGTCAAGCCAGCGGTCCTTTCAAGATGATATCACCACGGGAATCCAGGCAAGAAACAAGAACAAGTGGCGCCCCATCTTGCAGAAAGCGGCCGCAAACAAGAATAAATGGGAGCAGTTCATCAGAGGTATGGCTATCTTGATATGGCAAAATTAAGACAAAGGTAAGCACTTTTGTAGACCATGCTGTTTTATCAAGATGCCAGTAAATCAATGGCAAAATCCACCAGTTTCTTCATGAAAAATCATTGATTCCACTGGCTACCCAAAAACGATTCCACGGTTGATTCCAAGACATTTCTCCACGTGTGCTAGCTACATCACCATGTTTTTCTGTTGTCACCACCAATTTTTGCCGCGGAGCCTCCTCTGGGAGAAGCTTATGAACACCTCGAGTTTTCCAAGTTCGCAACTGACTGGACCCTGCCTCAGCAATCCGCGTGGGGGCAATGGTCTGGTTGAACGTTTTTCACCATGGCTATCTTTCCTGATTGAGTTGATACTGATAAAAATGTTCAAATCCCATAGCAGATGACTATTATCCCCCCTAAAGATGTCCATGATCCCTGTAAATACCATGATCATTGCATATCATTGCCAATCCTGGATACTCTTCAAAAGAAAGCTCATCTGAACCTGGTTAGAATGTTTTTCCGCTTACAGCACAGCAAAAGAATGACCTACTGACCTACTCAAACACCATTTATCCAGATGTGACGGTGAGCAATAGTCAAACAAAAATAACCTTCATGTCTTTCCTTTCCATACTTCTGGGTAAATTATAATATTTCACTAACCTGAATTAAGGCCATTTTGGGATGATTCCCCTTACTAACTATGATTATAGTGAGGTCGCAGTGAGGTCGTTATAATTTACCCAGATCATGTCTTTCCTTTCCATACTTGCATACTTTCTGATTGAAGGAAAATGTCATAAGAAATCATGTTTCGATCATCCGAATCAAAGGGAATCATACTTAAACAGTTCCGAATCATCGAACGAGTTATCACTAGTTGTTTCACCCAACTTAGTTAAACAGTGTTCAACCCTCCCCTGTCAATTATACTGGTTGATCAAGAATGGGATTCCCAGTTCATGGACTGTGATCATCCCCAATATATAAAAGATATAAAGGGTAGTATAAGCCCACCAGCCAGCATGTTGGTTCCTTTCTAACCTCTATCCCCATGTTTGATCACCTCGGGCATCGAGACGCCATGGTGTCCCATGGTCAAGGTGGACCAGCACGGAAACAAAACAGGTTTTGTTCAAGGGAATGTTTATGATTCTTGGGCAAGGAATCAGTTGATTAGTTGCTTTCCACTTACATCACTTACCAAATAGTTACCTAGTTATCCACTTCATTCTGTGCATTATCCTGGGAATCCTTAAGGGTTATCTACCAGCCAAAGGCAGTTGCAAATCCACTTACAACTGCTGGGTCGTCTTGGTCAAATCTCATGACTAGAATTTCACGATCTCATGGTGGAATTACCCTCTGGTAAACTAACATAACTATGGAAAATCACCATTTTGAATGGGTAAATCAACTATAAATGGCCATTTTCAATAGCTATGTTTGTTTACCAGAGGGTATGTGGATTGCCCATTGAGAAGTAAGAGAAGATCCTCCATCGCCGCATTCTGCGAAAAAGAGACACCTCCACCACGTGACATGAAGTTGGCACGGCCAGCAGGGCGAGAAAAATCCACCAGATTCGCGGCATGGGGAATTGATTACCTGACAGAGTGAAGATCATTTGGACTCCGGGAAGATCTACAGATGTAATGGTTTCAAATTAGGCCCCTCAACTCTTGACATGAGAAACACCCATATACACACATAACTCCGTCCTGGAATGATAGAACTTCCTGCCAAATTGATATATATATATATGTATATATATATATACATATTTGGACAGTTTTGGTATTGAGGCTGGTCAAATTCCTGCATGTGCAGTATCTGCAGGTCATGTATCCACTGCAGAATCACCCACTGTATCCATGGGTCCTTCAACGATACCAACTGCAAGAGTCCCCTGAAGGATGAAAATTACCGCCTTTTCCGCAACGGAAATTCATGAAATCCCCTTCAAAATAGTGGGGATTTGTTCTTCTTCTATTGTAATTCAGTTGTAGACATACATGTATGTATGGATGGATGGATGGATGGATGGATGGCAGCTCCGATACAAACAGCTCCTGGGTGCCAAAGCATCACCGCCCGGCAGCCGCCAAGGCACCCACAAGGCTCTCCGGTTTCGTCGGTTCACTAACGGCCACAGAGTGGGGTTGTCATCGGAGCCAGTTTTGGAAACGGCTGCATTTGTGGACTTATCAATCACATACATCTATGTGTACATATGCTCATATGCATATCTATGTGTGTTTTGATATAAGTTTGGATAAGCGTATATATGTATGTACATGTACATGCACATGTACATGTATATATATACACATACACATATGTATAATATATATATAACGACTATACATACACATATACCTATAAGTGCTACGCATATATTGATACTTATGGACAGATCATGTCAAATTGTCACTGTCATGAGGATGACAGAGGGCGACTCCAGGCTCAATATATATGTGTGTCGATGTGAAATGTCATGGTCATGGACACAACTCTGCGATTTTTACCACTATGGGTCGATCAGGGTTGGGTTTTTTCACCGTACAAAAGCCACGTGCATGATGATGATTCCTGGAATGCATGCCTCAGATTCATTTCAGGGATTTTTTCCATGTGTATCGATTAAATATGATTAAACCATGGAATATGTTCCCATTAACATTAGGATTCTCTGTCGCGTACGAAACCGTTTTCTGTTGTTGATGCAGCCCTCATTTCTTGGGAGTTTTCCGAGATCAAAATCCCCATGTCGAAAATACTTGAAATAGTCGATTGATCATATATCCCAATTTAAACCCAATATCAGGTTTACTAAACCATATTCAGCTTAGTAAACAAATTCATTTATATACTATATCCATTTATCCCATATTTATATAACCAATTCAAACCATAAAACCAGCTTAGTAAACCCATGCTTTGTAACAGCCCAGCCGCAGCAAAAAAAAAGGCGCCTGCGCGGCGTCCGGCAGGCTTTGTTTCAGCTGGGCCAAGGAAGTTCCCTGGGACCATGGGATCTTTAGACATAGCCATGGACGAAGAAAAAACCTCCAGAAATAGCACTGAATTATATGGTACATCTATATATCATCTAAATTTCTAGAGTGAATTTTGGTTATATCATCTAAATTTCTAGAGTGAATGTTTGGGTTATATTTTGGGTTTTATAATAGTTATATGATGATGTGAATGGATGTATCATGGGTTTTATTTATTATCTCTACAGTAGGTCTTTTCTGTAGGTCGTGAGAAGGATGAAAAAATCCTATGGCACGATGGGGTGAATTGTGCGACTCAAAAAAAAAACACTGGATGGCAATCAACCATATATCACACCAGCGAATATGCACCAAAATCAGTGAAATACAATCTATCCCATATGCTCCATGTATGGAATATTTACCTATATACATGTCCCCCAAAAATGGCCCAAATGTAGGAAAATATTCCATACATGGAGCATATGGGTATCCAAATACAATACGAGTCTATTCCGTGGGATAGAGCAGGGATATCTGATTCGGATTGATTCGGACTATGTCGCCGACAGGTCCAGGAACTGATCGGCTGGCCTTGTGGTTAGGGACTGAGCCAGGAACATGTTGGGAACAAACTATCCAGGGATAGATTCAGAATCACAAATTAAAACAACATAAAACAACAATATCCCCAGCCTGCATAAGAATGTCACTTGAGATATGAAATATGATAAAATATGGACCCGCCACACCACTTAGCTATACAACCAGCACTAAAAAGACAATGGGCAGGGACATAGATGACTTACAGTAAGATGACTTAAGCTTGTTCCACGAGGAGAAAATAGCTCACATCTACATCTGCGGGGCCAACTATCAGCTATTTTGCCGTACCCCGTTTAACTGAGCTTCTACTCATAGTCACCTCCAAATAAGAATATGTTTTTTCTTAGGGAAGTTATTTACCAATGGTTTTAGTAGTCTATCTTTTTGGGGTTGCTATATATGTGGTGAGAATGCCTTCAGGTTGTGTCTCTCATCATCATCGAAACCTGGTCGTTTCTAAGACATAACATCCGGAAAGCATTGGCTTGTGGTTTACATGAAAGGAAAAGCTAAACAAAAATACAAAAAACATACACCTGTAGATACATATGAACTGTTTCAAATTACAAATTAAGGGACCTGAAAACCTTGGCATTTAGATGAAAAATCATGAAATTAGAACACATGAGGCTTTCCTGAAATAGGGCTATCCTAGATTTTCCCATCAAAAAACCATCCATTTTTGGGGTACCCCCGTGACTATGGAAAGCCTCCCGTCCCCGACGGCCCGACACCATCCGGCACCTCTTGCAGCAGGGCGGGCTTGGCGATCTGGCAAAACGCCGAAACGCTGGAGGATTTCACCGTAACAAACAGATAGGGGTTTTCTACTGCCGTTGGTATATTAATTATATACTGTTAGTATAATATAGTATTGGTATGTTATACTGTTGTAGTATTGGTATAATATAGTATTGGTATGTTATATTTTATACTGTTTTATACTGATTATATATGTTGGGATAGTATTTTACCAATTATACATACCATTAGATATCTTGATTATACTGTTATACTTTCACCAAGCTATAGTCAGAAGTATGATATCAAGATTAATTAATTATATATATATATACAGTAATATTAATTCAGCATCAAAACAGGAGATTTAAACAAGCTCTAAATACGTTGCAGCAATACCATCTGGTTATGACTAACAGTTCGCCATGGAAAATCACCACCATGCTATTAAGTTCGGTAAACCATCTATTTCGATTAGGGCCATGGCTTAACCATGGCGAACTGTTAGTCATAACCAGAGGGTAATATCCCATATCATCCCATGAATTTCACCATTGTTAACCATAGAAAATCACCATTTTCCTAGTGGTTAGTCATAACCAGATACCCTCTGGTAATTTAACATAGCTATGGAAAATCACCATGTTTAATGGGAAAATCCACTATAAATGGCCATGTTCAATAGCTATGTTAGTTTACCAGAGGGTAACCATCATAACATATCATAACCAGAGGCTACTTGGAACAACTACTCCTGGTCTGTTGTTTTCATCGAGTAAATCGAGTCATGAGGATCCCCAGGCTTCGCATCACAACCCAGGTCAGGCACTGGTTGCGATGTGTTTATGCACTGTACCCAGGAATACTAAGCCATCCCAAAAAAAAAACATAAATGGGTGGTATAAAAAATCCCCAAATGGTAGGTTTCTTGTTGGGTTTCCCATGTTACAGTGGTTGCAACCCAATGTTGTGTCAGCAGTTATGTCAGTTGCTCACGCGGTCTGCAGCAAAAACCAACTGGGCCCACCACAACAAATAAAGACGGAAGATTACCAAGCGTTGAGATACACAAGACTAGTGAGGGACCCTACCATTTTGATTGTTTATCAGTTTACTACATTACCAATGTTTGCCTATATACCAGTATGGCTGTAGATAAAAGAACACGTTACTGCCAATCAGATCAGCATCGCCAATGCTAATGAGCGGATGCCACTTATCCCCATAATATCCCCAATTCTCCAATTCTGTTCCCATGACATTCCCACCAACTGTCAGGCGCCTTTATGCGCCCCACTGATTAATAGTTCCCATTTATGCCATGAGGATAACCTAAATTAACCCAGGTACTTGCGCCAATTTAGCCATCAAAATTTGCACCATTTCGCAACTATTTCGTGTTGGTTTGGAACTGGGGAATTCCTTCTTAACCACTCCAAAAATTAATTGTCACTGGAGCTATTCTCCTATTGTTTATGCTATATCAATCATAAATCATTGGTTAACGATTAGTTCACCATCACTTCCCATAAACCATGAGTTAATCATATGTGCCATGATCTTGTTCTGCTGGTCAAAATTTTGACTTTGTTTGGCCACAACCTCTTTAAACTGATTGACATCCTTCTGGAGTTGTGCAACCTCCTTGACAGCTTCGACCTGGAATTCCTGAAAACAGGACTTCTGTTGTTCTTTGAATTCTTCAAAATCAGAGGACTGCTTCTTCAAGCGCTCTTCAATTGGCCCTTCAAGTTTTCGCGCAGCCACTGCATGGATGGACCCTGCGGGGGCAGATGCGTGTGCTGGTTGTGCCTTCTTGTTTTGGTTGTAAAAAGCCCATGGGTCTTCAAAAGCACCACTTGTTTCTCCACAGCCAGTTGTTTCACAGGTTTGATTTTACCAGTATTGCCTGCGATGACAACCTGATTCCGAATGGGCTTGGGATCAAGGCATTTGACCAAGATAGGATGTTCATCCCACATTTCGAACGTTGAGTCCTATGGCGATGCAGCGCAAAGCCACACAATAGATGCCAACAAATCTCATGGGCTTAGCTTGCCAAGACAAGCCGTCCAACCAAGTCTGCGCATTTTCACTCGAAGCCCCGGCATAGGTGAAATCTTGAAAAGGCGGGGGAATGTCACTGGGAAAAGTGTCTTGTGGACGAAGTTCACTTCTACGGAATCGTAGGCCTCTGGCAATCTTCGAGTCACCGCCCTTCATGCTACGCATGATACCCCGATGACCCAAGTTTTGACCATGACACATGTCAATAAACTCACCTCTTATTTCCCAATTTCTTTCTGGGCTTTTGATGCTTAAAGCCCCAACACCGCCGCCTCGCTCATCGCTTTGGTGGCTTCTTGAATGGCCACCAACTCCTCACTCCATGTGAAAAAAAAACGAGTTCCCTTTCAAAAAATGATGATGAACTAATTAGGGTTTATGGGGAATATAACTATAGTTAATTTGGGGTTAGTGGGATTTATAGCTGATTAAGCACCAAAAATCGTTGTTTAACTAGAAAAAAACTGTGTTGAACCAAGAAAATTTACGATGTTTCATTGACGAGAGAGTACTTGAGTCCGAGTCCAAGAGTCTGTGTTTGACTGTTTGACCAGCAAAAATCAGTGGTTAACCAACAAACAAAGGGATTCAATCGGAAGGGGGATCCAGGGGATTGAAGGGAGCCCTGCTGTGGAACACAGATTGTCTCAACTGGTTTCCTACTTCCTTCGAACTATCATAAATGATTTAAAATTAGATCCAAAAATAAATTCAAGATTACTTGTCAAGCATATCTCCAGGCCATCAAAATTGCTAGGTTTCCACTATATGCGCATCGGGGTTTTGTATGTGGTTCATATCGGTGATAAAGAACACCAATATCAACCAGCGATATATATATATATAATACATATACAATCAGAATCATATACATTATGTATATGATATGTATATAATATGTATATTATAAATATTGTATGTGGGTGTGTCTGAAAACAGAGTATTCTCCCCAGCTATTGGGATTGCAAATGCGAAAAACAATGATAAACCAGTTGATTTAGGGGTAGCCATCTTCAGACAAATCCAATATGTCAAATATATCCACATACCACATTTACAAAATGTTGCAATAAGTTGTTACATCCACTTATCATTCCTGGCGCCCACACATCCAAGTTGTCCAGTGCATTTCCGACTTTTGATGTGATGATCCTGAAGATAGGAGTGATGCTTTCATCTCCTCTGGTACTCATGCGACGTCGCCACATGCGGGGTATGGCAGAGGGACAATTTACAGCAAGCGCCAAGCGCCCAACTGAAACTTCCCATGGCAATTTCCAACTCGACTACTATCTTCCAAACTCAGCAAATTATTTCTGGGGCTCCTGTCTCAGTTTACACAGGGTTGAACCATGGCTTCCTGCAGAAATACTTTGAAATCAACACTTCTTGGTGCTACATCCTATAGTTCGTGGGTACAGGCTACAACATATCATGCGTACGTATGTCATCATCGCAGTTACAAGTAAACGATCAGCATGCTTACCCCCCCACTAAGATAGATTAAGACCTAGATTAACCATGATTATATAACCCGGTTTTATGAGCCTGGTTGGTGGTTGACCTACCCCTCTGAAAAATATGAATTCGTCAATGGGAAGGATTAATTATCCCATATCATATATTATGGAAAATAAATGCCATGTTTGAAACCACCAACCAGTGATTATTAACCATGATTAACCATCCATTAAACCATCATTAACCATCATTAACCATCATTTTCAGTCATTTTTTGGTGACCCACCAGTTGCTTTTTTTTGGGCTCCGGTCCGCAGCCCAAAAGCAGCTGACTTGTCCTCAGCCCTCACCTTCTGACGATCCTTGAAGTCTGCAGCCTGCTCAATGGATAGATCCATGGACTACCGTTGACCGACTGTTGGGAATGGAAAATCACCATGAAAACCATGGGAAAATCATGGGAAAATGATCGGCAAATATCAAATCCTCTCTGATTTAGAGCTTCTGATATGAGAAAATCGTCATCGATTTTATGGGATTTTCCATTGCCCTCTTTGATTACCAGAGGCTAGTAGTGAATCTTAGCTGGTTGGTTTGTGAGCCACCCCCTGAAAAATATACGGTAGTCAATGGGGATCATCATCCGGTTTGTTGGATGGGAAACAATAAATAGTTCAAAGCAACCACTAGGACAACCACCAACCAGAGATTGAATCACATATTTTTGGGGTGATTTTGAACCCATACCCATATCCACCTGTGAAATTTACCCCACTGGAAACTAACATGGTACAGTAAAAGACTTGTCTTACCCAGGAAAATGCAAAGTCATGCACAAGTCACGCAAAAAAAAACGCTTTGCCCCATGTGACTATGGGTCAAAATTAGGTACCCCAAAATTATGGATGGTTAATACTAAACTAGACTTTTCCATCTGTGGTTCCACATCGGTCTTCCATTTTGACCCACATCCATGTAGTTTCAGAGGGTTTCACCATTGAAACCCCCGAAAATGGCGAAGTCCAAGTGGTCCAAAAGTGGTCCAAAAGTGGTCCAAGTATGGACCCAAAAATCCTTCGGATGCCTTCCAGGTGGCCATGGCCACCTTGGTGCTCCCGTTTTTCACAAGTGGTTACCCGGCCTGGTAAACTTACAAAAAGCTATTGGAAATGGCCATAGAAATAGTGGATTTTCCCATTGAAATAGTGATTTTCCATAGTTTTTTGTATGTTTACCAGAGGGTAACCGATGTATAACTGGGGTATGATAACCACATATAACCACTCACCTAGACTTGCCAAGCTCACAGGGAAGCTGGATCATGACATTTCTTTGCCAACCAGATAGGACTGGGACTACCACATCAGCACAACCCGCATTGCTGGAAGAATCAGCAAGGTCTCCCAATTTTGTAGGGTAACATGTGGTATAATTTATCAAAGTAAGATCAGGTACATGGTACACCACTAAACTTAATATGGACCCCAATCGATGCCCATGTCGAATGGTAAAATCATCGACCCAATTCACAGACCCAAAAAACTGTCACCGTGGTCGTCCAATTCGGTGCCTTCTTGGTACAGGTGGTCGACAATTCGGCCAAATATTCCTCATCCTTGGAACCGCGGAACCAGTGCCGCAAAAAGGGGCACCTAATCGTCCGGGTTGGTTAGGGTTGGTTTATACCATCTGGTTATGACTCACAGTTCGCCATGGAAAATCCCGAAAATAAATGGAGGTTTCTAGCTGGGAAAATCATCTATTTCGATTAGGGCCATCGAAAAACCATGGCGAACTGTTAGTCATAACCAGAGGGTAACATTTTATAAGCCCATCCAACTATAGTTATATCATGTTATATCCCGATGGAAAACCCAAACGTTTTTTGGAAGTTACCATGAGATTTTGTGGGGCTGACCTTTCCCTGAAGCGTACAAGCTGGTTGAAAGATTGGATCGAATCAAATTGTGGGCCGGGGGGTTATCATGGGTATTTATATAATGTTATTGGAAAGGGAAATAGTTAGAATAGAGTTAGAATGATGTTCTCGGGAAGGGAAATAGTTTTATATGTTATCATGGGCATCTATATGATGTATTATAATGTTATGTTGTTATGTTGGTTGCACCATGTAGAGCTTCTACACCCACTCTTGAACGACCGTCACTGTTTGCCCCAGAATCAAAAAGTCGATTCGAGTTATCTCTTGCTATGGGTCGAAAAAAATCTGGGATACCCTCGCTGTTCACATAAAAATAGCTGGGATTTACGGAGGTTTACTACGAAAAATCTGGGATACCCTTCTATTTTAGCTACCAAAGATCTGGAGACAGAAACCTATTTGCAGATCATTTCTCTGGGGAGACATCTGACATTTTTCATGGTTTTCCACATGTCTTTCTGAATTTTACCGCAGGGATTTATATGTTTTGACTCACATTGTCCATGTTCAGTTGGCCTAGGTGACCAAGTGTTTCTGTTTGGAGGCAATTCTGGATTTCTACTTAACAATATATATATCTATCAGGCTTAAAATATGTACGATGTACATACATTATCATACATGTACATATATACATATGGCTAATATCCAATGAACCAATTGCCCTTTGGTAGGTAATCATGGCTTTCTGGAAAATCCAACTGTTTTCAAGATTGAAATCATCTAGAGATAAGAGAGTTCCCCCTGCCAGGTTAAATGAAACCGCAGAGTAGTCAAAGTAGATCTGTATCTGAAGTGAGGCTATCATGGCATCATGGCTTGATCGGCTTGATACGATGCAGACCACAAAATATGTAGTTGTTCATATGAATAATATATATATATATGTGTATACCTCTAATACCTCAATTAATTTTGCCAAAAGAGGGCCAACAAACTCAAACGGTTGGTTTACCAGCTCCATCTTGCTGGTCATGTAACCAGGGATCTGCTTCGATCTGGTAGTTGTTTCTGCGATCGAATTAGTGTCAGTAGCCAGTGTGCAGTCACAGTTAGGACCCAACATGACGCTATTCTCACGCGATTTCTTGCGAGGATAGTTTCACCGAACAAGTTGGAGAACTTCGTGTCCCATCTCTGAACCTTTAATGGCGCAGGCTGTAACCTTTCTGGCGCCGGTCAAGAATACCATTGCGTGAATGTGAATAAGGAGGATGAGGTAAACCAAGAAATAAACCATCGCATTAGCCAACTAGGCTCATTTTAAACATCATCCCAAATAGGGATATATCCGGGATATACCATGATATACCCAACAATATTGCTGATGATTTATGGTCCACATTGAAATAGCTAGATTTTCCAATCCTGGTCAAAGATGCCATACGTTTCCGTGGCTTGACTTCTTCAATCCGTTGACAAAACGACCGCACTTGGTCAAATCCCCCATCAACTTGTTGGTCAAATCCCCCATTCCTGGGCGATGTCCAACTTGTTTCTCATGAACATCCAATACCCTCTGGTAATTTGTTACATAGCTATAAAAAATGGCCCAGTCGAAAGTTCCTTGATTTTCCCATTATATTAAAAATGGTGATTTTCCAGTTCGTTATGTAAAACGTTTACCAGAGGGTAACATCCGCGTGTTTAGCAACTCATCGACTCCAAAATGGGCTCCCGACGGTCTTCAGCCCAACCTGCGGTGGCACAACCGGCCGGCAGTGTGTCACCACGCAAAATGTGGATTGTGCGATAATCATCATTTTTCATGGGAAATTTCACTATAAATGGTGATTTTCCATAGTTATGTTAAATTACCAGAGGGTAGATTTACCAAACAAAAACCAAACATGAAGATTATCCAACAATGAAGATTAACCAAGATAAACTTGGACTAAGTGACATAACTCACAAAATGAGCATTGAATCAGGAAAATTTGGGGGATTTTTTTGGGCTAATTTACCATCCCCGAAAGGAAACCATTGGTTTTTCACATTTTTTTGTGTATTTAGTCTTCTTGGTGGCGAACTACCCACGGCTCGTAAGTGGGTTATAACCCCAGTGATTTACATGGGATAAGTAGGGTTAATCCACTCAAAAAACTGGGGTTATAACCCACTTACTAAGTGGGATGAGCCACCAAGTAGGGTAAATATTGCGGTATGCCGGGTATGCCACATTTCTCATCCAACCCGGAGCCTCAGAAAAGACCTCTACCAGCCACGGCAGGCTATGGAGAGGATGACTCCCCAAAAATGGCTGGAGCATCTGATCTTAAAACAGCTTGATCATAGCTTGCACCCTAAATTGAACAATAATCGCCAGCTATGTATATATATCAATATATCTATATAGCGGGAGGGAGGGAGAAAGCAAAACTGCATACATCCACCCGAGACCGAGACGGTCCCTCTTTTGGACTCTTGATCCTCCATTTGGTGGCTCTCAATAACTGTGAGCAAAACTCAACTGATCCCCGACTGCTTGGAGGATCATTCTGTGTAGCAACCGGTACCGAAAAAACCCTGGTTAAGAAGTTTCCTAAGTGGGGTTACCTCATACAAAGGGGTCACAACTATGATTGCCAACCACTAATCATCTTTGGTCGTATCCCCATCTACCCTCTGGTAAACGTTTAGCCATGGAAAATCACCATGCTATTAATGGGAAAATCTACGAACTAAATGGTGATTTTCAATAGCTTTTTGTATGTTTACCAGAGGGTATATCCCATTACATTCCCATGTTATGCCCACGATAAGCCCAACTTCTATTGGTCACATTATTTCCCCTCTGGTTATGACTAACAGTTCGCTATGGAGAATCACCATCGAATTAATAGGTAAATCAATGAACTCAACGGCCATGTTCCATAGCTAACTGTAACAAATTACCGGTAAATCCGATATCATCCCATGAAATTCACCATTGTTAACCCATTGTTAAACCACAACAAATCACCATTCAATCCCCATTTATAGTGGTTAAATCACCATTTTCCTATGGTTTTCCTATGGTTTACCACTATTTTCGTATGGTTTTCTTAGGGAATCACCATGAAATCCCCCTCGTTTCGGACATCGTGGGAAGATCCGGCTTTTTGCCAGGCCTTCGTTTCGGAAAGATCTCCAGAGGCAGAAGCCTTCAAGAAGCTGGGGCCAAATTTGGGACACCCCATGACCTGTTTTTTTGTGGTTAGTTAATGTTAGTTATGGTTAGTTAGTTTATGATGGACAAATCATGGCGAATCTATAGTCAGGCCGGTAATGGTTGATGATGATGGGTGAACATCAATTAACTAAAAAAAACACAAACATACAATGTGAGGCCCCCAAGATAGCGTTCAGTTGGTGAACATAACTCCAATGTCACTATGGTTTATGGTATTTATAACGAACTAGTTACTGGGGCGAATCTAAACCAACTTATAACTGGGGGGCCTCACATTGTAGTTATGGTTGGATATGGTTAGTTATGGTTAGATGTGGTGATGTTAGGCTAGATGAGGTTTTGGTTTCGTATTCCCATTGGTGGCAAACGATTGTGATGATTTGTTACTACCATTTTCCATCATATATGGCAAAATATGTTGATTTTTCAGGCATTAAAGCACCCATCGAGTTGGTTGAGCCAGTGAAGAAAACTGGGGAGATGTTTAGCCATTAACATTGGGGATATAGCCTATACTGCACCCACCAATAAATCATCCATGATGTATCGCAAGCCTTATTTCATTTACCCCCCCCAATCCTATCGAATCTCTGAAGTATGCAGGCAGCTATATATGAGGTCATCGAACCTGGCACTTGAAAATCTCTCGTTTTAGGAGAAACATGATCGAATGTTCAGAATAATAATCATATAATTAATTATATATGATAAAATCGGCTACTTACAGGAAAAAAAAACTTGTACAAAACATTACACATGTAGAATGATGTGATAGAAAGTCAGTCAACTTGTGGATCCCATGTTCCGCCAATCATGGGTGGCTACTTTTTCTTATTGTGTCCAAAATGTCAAGGGGAACCCCAACCTTTTTAGGACAATGCACGGGGAAATCATGTGCTAAGGCATATGGGTTTGTCTCAAAATATGGTAATTGCCGGAAAACCAGGTGGTTCAAAGTATTTCAAAGTCATGTTTCCCATTGTCTGATGGTCATTTGGGGTACAGGCCATTTTCAGACACACCAAAATATCATATATCAAGTTGGTATTATTCGCCTGAAATATCCATGTTATCTCATTATTCCCGTCACCCCTCTTGGGAGTTTCCGACCAACCTTCACTACTGTTGGTGGGAGGCTATGTACATCCAGTTGGTTCCCCAGTTATGTCAACGATTTTCTCATTTTTTGTCTACCCCATTATTGCTGCTTTGAATTGCGCTAGGGACCGTTTTTGCAACCAACAGCTCGAGGGTAGTTTGAACATGTTTGAACCGAAACCCACAACAAGGAACATGGTGTAAGGATCTAAATAATCTCAAACTCACACTGGTTATATCCCCACAATTCCCCCATGAAACCATCCAGCCGTTGGTCGCCGTTGGTCTGCCTTGTCGTGCAGCTTCTTCGCCTGTCAGGGGAGCCCCCCCACAAGGTGGTGCCCCAGTTGGTTAGCGTGGTGCAAATGACTGGTTTAAGCATGGTTTATGGTGATTGAAACTATACTTAGATGTGGTATGATGTGGTTATAAACCAACAAACATATCTGGAGTGCATCACCTTGTATCATGAAAATTATGGCTGCTATAGCCAAATGCCAGGCCCTAAAGTTTAGGGCCTGGCATTTGGCAGTGGCAACCATATTTTTCATGATACCTCTTCTAGGCAAAAGATATCTTAGTTGATGGAGGTTTTAAACCAACGGACATACCTGGCGGGCCCCACCTTTCAGTTTATAGCCCTCAAAGCCCTTGAAAGGGGCCATTGAAAAAAACTGAAAATGAGGATCGACCAAGTCGATGAAAGAGGGTTTTCCCAACAATTTCAGAAACACAACATAGATATTGTTAGATCTCCAACACACGAAACACGTTTAACTTGGTCATCATTGTAATCCGTAAAGAATAATAGCGATTCTGATATATTGTTCTGGCAAAATCAGATTGTAAGATATCCAACCAGATTCGTAAGCTGGTTCTGCCTTCTATCTTTTGTGGTCCTTGTTCATGGTAAAATTGAAGCCCGACAAACAACCCAACCAAGGTTTAACCAGCAGGTGTTGGACTTCCAAATGGTAGCCTCTGGTTCTTTAACATGGCTGTGGGCTATGGAAAATAGATGAGAAAATTCCATTGATACAGTCTGATACAGTGATACATGAGTTCATGATGATTTACCTATTGAACATGGTGATTTACCAAAGAGTATTCGAGGATGTAATGTATGCGGTGATGTCACCACGATTAAAAGCAGGCAATGAAGAAACACAATGACTCTGCCTTCAAAGTTGGGTTTTAATTACATATGCAAAACATGGAATATAATCTGATACAATGGGATATATCATGATATATCATCAAATCAATTTTCTGGGTAAATTAGAATAATTCACTAACCTGAATTAAGGCCATTTGGGGATGATTTCCCTTATTAACCATGATTCCAGTGAGGTCGCAGTGAGGTCGTTATAATTTACCCAGATATATCATCAAATCATCAATTTTGGTGGAATTTGAGGCACCAAACCATCCAAAAACTTTCTGGATTTTTCGCTCCGAATCCACCCCATAAAAAATGGTGGCCTTGATCCCCTCCTTCTGCTGCTGCTCCTTCGTGGCCTCGACGCAAGCGGTGAACAGCGGATAACGCTGAAGAAACTTCTTTGGGAAGAACAACGCTGACAAATCATGGTTGGTAATGAAGATAATTCTGGGATATTTTGTGAATTTGTTGACAAATATTGGTTACTATAATGGTATTATACGAAGAATTGTAATTGTTCGCTAGTCAATGGAGGTAATTATGGGATATTATGGGATATAACAATGGCATAATTCTGGGAGATACTGATATATATGGCCAATGTGCTTTACCCAATGCCATCAACAAGGACCAGTTGGGGATGGTATCACCCACATGGGTAGCAGGCCATAACGGAAGGATTAGCCACCTGCGACGAGCTGGCCAAGCTTCCAGGTGCAAGATTTAACGCCCATGGTTTGAGCAGACAAGTCTGGGCAAACTATAATAATTCACTAACCTGAATTAAGTCTATATTGGGATGATTTCCCTTACTAACCATCATTCCCAGTGAGGTCGCAGTGAGGTCGTTATAATTTACCCAGACAAGTTCAAGTACTGTAATGGACCACTTCAGGAAGGATTCCACACGTGGAGTGCACTCCAGCATGTACGAGGCACGCAACAGATATGCAGCATGCAAGCCATGCACAAAGGTCAAGGCTCTTGGAGGTTTCCTAAAATAGGGGTACCCCCACTTCTCATCCATTTTTGTTTGAATTTTCAATGAAGTAAACCAGCCAGCTATTGGGGTTCCCCCCCATTAGATGTGGAGCCAGTGAACCAGCAAGGCTCAAACTGTCGGAATGTGACGGTGTAGAACTCATGAAATAATGGGACCATTATGTGATATGACCAAAAATATAGGATTTAAAATGGGATTTAACTGGGAACATATTAACCATACTATGGTTTTGTCCGAAGATGGAACATTGAGTGAAAATCATGGTTCCCTATTGCAAGATTGTTCCCAACACCCCAAGTACAAAGAAAACCGAGCAAATAAACGGGTAAAATGACCTATTTCTCCTTGTGGATATCACTTGCCTTTTTGATGGGTCAACCCTGTTTCTGCTGGTTAAACCTCATTCAACCTTCATTGTTGGTTATATAAATACCCTCTGGTAATTTAACATAGCTATTGAAAATGGCCATTTATAGTGAGTTTTCCCATTAAAAATTGTGATTTTCCATAGTTATGTAAACGTTTACCAGAGGGTACATAGTAATACATCACTATGTATCCGTGATATCCCTATAAATCCTCTAAATCCCCTAAAGTCGGTTGCTTAAATCCGCGAGCGTATTTGTTGGCCAAACACAGGGTTTTTTTCATCACGTTCCCTTTCAAAATGCTATTTATAAGCCATGAAAGATCAATTACACAATGATTTAACTCAATATGGCCATGGACACTTGCCCATTTCTAAATGATTTACCTTTTAAACCGCCATGTTCCGTGACTTTCGCAGCATCTTGGTCTCAGGATTTTGGCCCGTTATTTGAAACCAGTTCACCAGTTCTACATCTAACATCATCTAACATCATCTAACCGGATCATGTTTCCATTTACCCAACATCTTTGGTTCAGCTTCTCATGCAACATGAAAACATACGGCTTCTTGAGTTGCAAACAAGTCCTCATGACTTGGCGTTTTTTTTGCATGGGAAAATTGAGGGATTCATGGCGGATTACCCTCTGGCGTCGTGGCTGGGAAAATCCTGAACTATGGCTGGAGGTTTCTACCATCTGGTTATTTAACATAGCCATGGAAAATGGATGAAAATGGCCCATTTATAGATGGTTTACCTATAAAAAATGGTGATTTTCAATAGCTATGTTAAATTACCAGAGGGTTTCTGGGAGAATCATCGATGGGGGATGTTTCATATTGCTATGTTTGATTACCAGGGGGCAAGCATGTCTGATAACACAACAAAGGAGGGGTAGAAACCTGGCTTGCGATACCAAAGCAAGCCAGATCAGAGTACCAAAGGGACAACTCAAAAAAATCATCCATTTTTGCTGGCAAAATCACATGAAATTGGTTGATGGTTTATATTAAACCCCCACTACAAATATGCTGGTCAGTTGGCATTATCATCACATTTCTATGGTTAAACATCAAGCAAGAATTGAAACCACCAAAAATGTTGAATCATCAACCCTAACTATCCTCTGGTAAACAAACATAGCTATTGAAAATGGCCCAGTCGAAATAGTTGATTTACCCATGAATAGCATGGCGATGTTCCATAGTTTTTTGTAGGTTTACCAGAGGGTAACAGCCCATGTCTGATCATCGAAACTCCACCATTTGTTACCATCTGGTAATTTAACATAGCTATTGAAAATGGCCATAGAAATAGTGAGTTTTCCCAATAAAAATGGTGATTTTCCATAGTTTATAGTGGATTTTCCATAGAAATCGTGGATTTTCCCATTAAAAATTGTGATTTTCCATAGTTTTCTGTTAAATAACCAGAGGGTAATTGGGCACCTGCTCGATCTTGCGCGTCAAGGTGGCCGCCAGCAGATCAAAGGCATTCTTCTTGGAGGTCTCATCCTGCCAGACCACTGGGCGACATATAGGTCATTCCACCATGACTTTTTCATAGGTGACATACATATGTACATAATTATATATATCATATATGTATACAGTATATATATATATGCAATATATATATATATCATATATGTATGTATATATATACATACATATTTACATATATGGATAACTTCTCCAGGGTTAAGCAGTTGGGCAAAAACAGGGCGATTTCTGAAATTTGATGTTAAAACGATCGCAGCAACGACCACTACCACTGCCACTACCACTACTGATGCTGCTGCTACTACAACTACTACTTTTGAAAAGGTTGATACAGTAACGACTATAATGATAATGATAATGCTACTGCTATTGCAAGTTCTGATCGGATTTTGTTTGGATTTGACATGATTTGACAAACACAACTAGAACAGAACTGACCTACTTTGGGTAAAAATCAGTACAAACACAATCAAAACGACACACAGCAAAAGAAATAGACCCAGAACCACACGCACTGCTTCTACTGCTGCTTTTCCTTTTGCAAGCAATCACAACCCAACCCACAACCAAGAATCAAATGTCTATAGATACGGGTGTATGAATGAATAATCGATAGTTTGTGGTACTCTTACATCATCGACACCATTTTCCAATTGTGTCATGGTTGGTGGTTGGACCCCACAGTTCAAACATGGGACGAGAAACATCAATACAGCAGCAGTTTAGAATGTCAGAAACATGTGTATCTATATATATATATACAATTTTATACATACATATAAGTACTACATTGCCCAACTAAGTAGTACTATATCAATATATGTTGCCTTCTAAAGAAGGTCTAGTGATCGATATAGTCAAGAAAGTGTCCGAAATGACAGGTGAATATCAACATACATGATTGGCCTTCTAAGTCGAATATCCCATCAGTTTGCTACTGTATACTCTGATCAAAACAAAGTCTGCATCAAACATCACTCACATGACTACATAATGTTCATCATGCAGCGGTATGGCGGTATGCCCTTAGAATATCGATTTGTCTGACTGTCCCCATGATTAAGTTGATTCTTCTACATCCAATTTGTTCCTCTATCAAATTGGCTAAAACATGACCCACACAAAGAACAAATCAACAACCATCATTCAACGCTCCATTTCTTCAGCTTCTATCCCACCTACCTACATTTACCTCAGCTGAGATCAGCTAAGCAAGAGGGCTACTGATACGAACCTATCACTGGCCCCGATCTCACTGCCAGCCACACAATGGAAATTTGTAGGAAATCTTCCAGGAAACTGTAACTTCTACACCTTCATAGTTTCGCAGCTGTCGATGTTTCAACTCTGGAGGGACTGGATCATCATTTGCCAAAAAATGGATCGGCATATCTTGACCCATGGCCATATCCTATTCCCTTATTCATGTGATGTCAAAAAACTTGGAAAATTATAATATTTCACTAACCTGAATCTTGCGGCCATAAAAGGGGATGATTCCCCGAATCCTAACCATGATTCCCAGGGCTCGGGAGAACAGTGAGGTCGTGATTAAATTTACCCAGATATATCATCAAATCATCAATTTTGGTGGAATTTGAGGCACCAAACCATCCAATATCCAAACCATTCCTTTATTCATGTTATGTCAAAAAAGCCGGCAAGTGCAATCGAAATTACGAGCTAACAATCCTGGGGCTCAGTGGAGCCATAAAAGAGTTAAACACCGGTTTTCCCATCTCATTGTACTGGTTGCCGTGCCGAACATCCTAAGAACGGTATCCCTACGAAATGGATTACCCGACCTGGTAAACATACAAAGTTAGCTATTGAAAATTGCCATCTATAGTGGATTTACCCGTTAAAAATGGTGATTTTCCATAGCTATGTAAACGTTTACCAGAGGGTATAAGCATCACAAATAAACCAGGTAGCTTAACTTCATCCGCTTTTTTACCAATCCACATGCGTCAGTGCGTAGTAAAATACTGGTCTCAACCATTCCTTATCAATTTTTTTGGCCCATATTCAATGAGCAAAAGGGTAAATATCAAGGCCCAGCCATATATCACATGTTATATCCCAAATGGTTGTTGGCGAAATCCCAAATTCATCCTGCTTAAATACACATATTTTGACGGTTTAATTACCCTTAATGCTGCCGTTGAACATCTCCCTCCACCCGTTGTCTCCACGCCACCCGTGCCCGGGGTGCCTTCTCCAACTGCAGCCGTTCCTCCACGAATTTGTCCTCCAACTTCTCGAGCATCGCCACGACGCCTGGTTCTTTTTGGGGAAATCAACAGCATTTTGGAGGAAAAGCTATGACACTCACTATATGGATGGTAGATAGGTAGGTAGATAGGTAGATAGGTAGGTAGATAGGTGTGTAGATAGGTAGATAGATAGATAGATAGATACATAGATAGATAATCCCAGATGTAAGCAGAAAAATATTATGTGATTGATGATACAATGGATGTCAAAATGGTTGAAGGGGTTCCCAGATATGGAGAGTTATATGGGCAATATTAGGCAATATTACAAGGCAATATTACAATATCTGTGTGTGAAACTGGGAAGCCTACACATTTTGTATGGCAAAAAAAAAAAGCGGGTAGCCTATTTTCAGACAGACCCATATAGATCCACAGAACGAAGAAAACCCGCCCGGAACGATGGTCTGTCTCACCCAAATCCTCCAGATATCTTGGTGAGAAACGCACCTGTTGGGATTCCAATTTGTAAGGACTTCTTATCGAGAAGGGTTATCTCCATATGCCATTTAAAATGAACAGGAGAATAAATCAAACTATCCCGGGGCAATGGGGATTCCATGTATGATTTTTGGCATGTTTTTTTTTGTTTTTGTTCCCATGAATCGTGGGTGGTTATCCCTTCTCTCCGGGTTTTAACGACTAGTACTGGTTGGTGGTTGACCTACCCCTCTGAAAAATATGAGTTCGTCAGTTGGGATGATGACATTTCCAATATATGGAAAGTCATTCAAAATTCCATGGTTCCAGTCACCACCAACCAGTGATTATTCACCAGCTACTGGGATGATCCTCCAACAGAAGCCAGCACCGGCACAACGGGCGCAACGACCGTCTCCGTCTCCTCCAGATTGGAACTCGTAGCTGGGCTCTCCAAGTTGCTCCTGAACCGATTGGGGACCCCGTTGGTTGGAGAGCGTGAACCGTTGCCGAACAAAAAAGTGGCTGAATTCTATGGTTTATGGTAGATATGGCAGTGTGTCAAAACCTTGTACCCCTGGTGAACATCAAAATAGCTGGTAAATGGATGTTCATCCCCCTAAAAATGGTATTAATAGGTATTGATCCATACCCATATAACTATAATGAATGGGAATTATACTGGTTTATAAACCAACTTATAACTGATGGGCCCCACCCTGAAGGGACCGAAATGAAAAATCCTGTCAAATCTTCATGAAGGATAAAGCTGATCCAATAAACACTGGTTGAACTCAGCATGAACCTCAATTTGGAAGCTGCTTATCTATGGAATGTCCCCAGTTGCATATATGATATTTTGTATATTGTACACATATATAATTATATAATGTGGTTTATGCATTCTTTATATAGTTTTATATCGGGTGACATTTCAAAGTCGCACCCCGAAGTAGCAACCACTTCAAGGACCATCCCCCATCAGCTATTTGTAGGGTCTTCCCATGCTATTTGTGTGTCTGAAGATGGGCTATACATGGCCAATCTTAGACACCTCGCCAAAAAAATTAGCTGGTGAACGTAGATAATCCTATTGATACCAAAAGACTCAAGGATTAAACTACCCATCTAAGATTGACCTAGTATAGATGCAAGTTTTATGCTAGGAAGTTTTAAATCATTTTGCCAGTGGATGAAATGGAGTACCCTATTGTCAGACAAATCCACATAAGGGTTTCACATAAAAAGATGATGGATCCTTTTCACCATTGGCTCTCCATAACCCATGTAGAACTGGTGATGTTCCCCATAGGATCCACTATTTTTTTTTATTGATGTCTGTGACCCACGTACTAAGTGGGATATGGTGGGATGCAGGTCCCCCATGATCTTCCCGTTGGAAGATTCTTTAAACCCATAGATTTCATCTGGTTGGTGGTTGACCTACCCCTCTGAAAAATATTTAAATATGAAAGTCAATGGGTTTCGGATGACATCCCAGATATGAAACGGAAAAAATAAAATTCATGCTCCAAACCACCAACCAGTGATTATTAACCATCATTAACCATCATTAGCCATCATTAGCCATCATTTCACCATCATTAACCATCATTACACCATCATTACACCATCATTACACCATCATTACACCATCATTACACCATCATTACACCATCATTACACCATCATTACACCATCATTACACCATCATTACACCATCATTACACCATCATTACACCATCATCACACCATCATCACACCATCATGACACCATCATCACACCATCATGACACCATCATGACACCATCATCACACCATCATCACACCATCATCACACCATCATCACACCATCATCACACCATCATCACACCATCATTACACCATCATTACACCATCATTACACCATCATTACACCATCATTACACCATCATTACACCATCATTACACCATCATTACACCATCATTACACCTTCACTACACCATCATTACACCATCATTACACCATAATTACACCATCATTACACCATCATTACACCATCATTACACCATCATTACACCATCATTACACCATCATTACACCATCATTACACCATCATTACACCATCATTACACCATCATTACACCATCATTACACCATCATTACACCATCATTACACCAGCATTACACCATCATTACACCATCATTAACCATGGTAATTTCCTGACAAACCGGACGACCGTGACCGTCCTCAGCAGACCCCCCTTCCCAGCACCCGGAGGGTTAACCCGTCCTCAGAGCCTTCTGACAGAAGCGCATTCAAACCTGCAGGATTTGGTCGCTAGCTACCCGGCCTGGTAAACGTTAACAAAAAGCTATGGAAAGATCCACCATTTTGAATGGGAAAATCCACTATTTCTATGGAAAATCCACTATAAACTATGGAAAATCGCCATTTTTAATGGGAAATTCCACTATTTCTATGGAAAATCCACTATAAACTATGGAAAATCACCATTTTTAATGGGAAAATCTACTATTTCTATGACCATTTTCAATAGCTATGTAACAAATTACCAGAGGATAGTCAAAAAAATGCATAGATGGAATAGTCAATCCCCCTGTGAATTAAGAAAAAAGGATGGGGAAGGTGGTTCTTAATTATTAAATCATGATCATTCGACTATCCCTCTTAACATGATCAACTTAAGAATCTTTACTATCCAAGTATCATCCAATCACATTGACCAAATCACAGTAATGATAGCAGCAAACCTACTTGGAAGATCATCCCGGTTAGTAACTGGTTACATACTTGTTAGTAAGTGGTGTCTTTACCCAATTAGAAATGGGATAATCCACTTAAAGGACTTACACTAAGTTACTAGGTGGGATGATCCTCCAAGTAGTGAGTATAACAGATGTCATCCATTTATAAGCACTACCAGGATTGTTACTGTGTGATTTTTGATCTTGCTATTACTAGTGATATATGGGTATATGTAAAATTAGTAAAATTAGTGTTATATAATGTCGTCCAATCATAATCAGATGCTATAAGATTGCTGCAAAAGATGGAACCCATTGATAATCCTAATCCTAAGCACACATGGATTAATAAATTTGGAGGACATTCTGTTCTGTACATCATTTCAATGGATTGGTTTCAGGGAAAAAATTATAGGAAACCATTATGCCATAGATTTTCCCATTAAATATGGGGCTTTCCTGCAAATTGTCCCTTAAACCAATCCATTAACATATGGTTTTCCTATGGTTTTCCTATGGTTTTCCTATGGTTTTCCTATGGTTTGAGATGATTCTGCTTGGGATCTGCGTCCCAGTCGTCGCAGTAAAATTTTTGGAGGACGCCATCGACCTCACCGAGATTTCCGAGGACCGGACCAACAAGATGCGATCGCTCCGATGAAATCTGATGATCAGTGGTGATAAGGATTCTCCAAATAGATATATCATATATATATATATTTATATATATATACATAGTATTGTCATCAGGATATCTTCCAAACATCCTCAAAGCTTGAACTCCCATGGTGTATCACCTCAAACGGTGTCCCCCCGAGTCCCCGTCGACCGATCTCAACCGACCTCGGCTGGCGTGCTCCGGCAGCTCCAGCGATTTCAATTGCACCAGGGCAGGTGCCGCCTGCGAGGCGACGTGACGCCTAAAAAAAATTGGAAAGAAGTAGGATTTCACTTGGTTTAACCATGTTTAACCATGTTTAACCTTCACAAATTTAGGAGTTATATATATATATCATGATCAAAAAATTGTAGAAACAGAGGATTTAGCCACGGATTTCGCCAAGGGCACAAAAGGGAGTTCAGCATCAAACATCTGCTGGAGCCCCAGGGTTTTTTCTTGGACAAGCCCTTCATAGGAAGACTACACTGTTGCCCAACCGCTTGGTTCATGAGTTTTGTAAGCCTCGTAACCAGGTTGGTTTATTATCCCAATAACATCCAATAACAATAGGATTCAAGGTTCGTAATTTTGGGGGTATACATATGCTATATACCATTGTTTCGCCTGAAATAGCATCATTATTAACCGATAGAATTATAGTAGCCTACTTAGCACAAACTCATATCACCATACCATATCCATAGCATCCATAGCAAATGTATGCAAATGTTAGATGCCCCACCAAAAAGTTAAAATAGTCTATTAACTGATCAGGGTCTGTTCCCATTGCACTCGCATTGTTCGATCGTTCAAGTCTTGCTGGCACATTTTTCCCCTGCGTGGTGATCTGAGATCGACCCATTGGCGATTTGATTGAAATGCCATGCCAGTGGTCAATGCCGAATGTTGCGTTACGCGTCAAGCAACTGAGTTGCTTAAGTGACCAAAACATACTAATTACTAAGACTATGCTTGCGAACAGATCAAGGTGAAAACAGCGAAATCTCATTCTTGGGAAAAAAAAAACACACAAATACTATCTGGTTATTGAATATAGCCATGGAAAATCCCTTATAAATGGAGGTTTCTAGCTGGGAAAATCATCTATTTCTATGGACCATTTTCCATAGCTATGTTAAATAGCCAGAGGGTAAACAAACAAATGGTGTAACATTCTGCAGCATCATCGATTTTGAAGCTAGGAAGGTGCCCCAGTTGGTTACACCTCGATTTCTCCCTCAGCAACACTCATGAAAAAGCTCTACCCCGCATCATAATCTATCATGCCCTTGTTATTATGTGTTTTACCATCTGGTTATTTAACAGTTTGCCATGGAAAATCACCATGCTATTAATAGGTAAACCATCTATTTCTATGGGTCATCTATACCATGGCTATGTTAAATAACCAGATGGTATATCTTTGTTTTTTGATGGTGAATTCCGAATTCAAAATAAGATTTGGAATAAATATAAAATTTACCCAAATTGATCATAATTATGGTTTGTTTATAATATAATCTTGGAATATCATTTTGATGATCTTCGCCCCAAACATTGAAGGAAAAGTTCAGCCCTAAGTTATGGCAATGTTCAGCTTCAAAATGATGCGTTTCCCCATTAAAGTTGCCATCACCTAGGGATTCCCCATCATATTCCCATGCTATTCAAACTAATTCCTGGTTCTATTGTGCTAAAGAATGATAAAAACATGTTAAAAATCGAATTTTTCATGGATGTTTTCCAAATTCTCAGACCATTATCATCATAGAAAGCTGTGCCCACCCCCCAAGCCCAACAAAAATCGGAACCGTTGCCGCCTGGGCCTTCAAGACCTTCAAGGCACGTCCAATGGCATCCACCGACTCCGTATAATCCTGGCGTCGTGGTGGTCCAAATGAGGATACACTAAATCATATGTGCGTAATATATGGTTAATAATACTATATGGCTATAATATATGCTTAATAATACTATATGGCTATATCATATATGGTTAATAAGGGTTAATAGTAATGATATATATAGTTAGTATATGGTTAATATATACATATAGATAGTTAGTGTGGGAAAAACAATGTCATAAACCACCCATGACTGGGAATGGTAAACATACCACCCATAGAAATGGTGATGGCTGGGGGATGGTTTATGACATTGCTTTACCCACATTGTATTATATTTTTTCATAAAGAGCTGCTAGATATTCATCGAACATATCCCACATTATCTGGTGGGAATATAAGACCCTACTCTCCGTGTGGTACATAAAGAGCCATCAAAACTTTCAAAACGGTGATGGTAACATATGGATACATATGGTAACCAGCAAAAAAAAACATTTTACCAGCTTCAATTTGCTTTTTCACGCGAAAGTCATGGCACATCTTCGGAGATTTGGGATTCGAGCAGCGAGATTTGAAGCAGCTGATTTAGCTCAGTGATTTGACCACCAAAGTGTGATTTCAGCAGAACGGTGATGGGATCAGTGTCACAAAAAAGGTCTAAACAACTATTGTTACCCATAGGATCCATGGTGCTAACATTTGGGGTATATTGATGGGATCCATGTTACCATATATAGCATACATGGATCCTATGGGTTAGGGAGATGGTGTTATTACTAGCTCCGGTCCAGGTTTAAGCGAAGTAATTCCTTAAATTGTGAAAATTGGTGTTTTTGTTACTTTCCATTCAGCATTTTAGATATTGACTAAAGATCGAAGTAAGGTTTACTTAACCTTCATCCAGCAAATCCATCTGGGCTCTTGCTTAAAATACATCCATGGTTTTGTTGATTTACAATGAAGAAAAACTACAAGCAGCAACCCGAAATCTTCGCCCTTTTAAGTGATGTGCTGCTCCAGGACGTGACTTGCCAGCTGCAAGCTAGTGCCCCAGTGATGTTTGTTGGTTTATCACCGGTGTTTTCCTAAAATGGGGCTATCCCCAAATCATCCACTTTAGATTGGGATTTTCCAGTATAAACCATCCATTTTGGGTACCCGGGTACCCCCATTTTATGGAAACCTCCCAATGAAAACGACAAATACCATCCGTTGATCAGTTCCATGGCTGCTGGGAAAATCATCCAGCAAGCCATGGAACTCATATGCCATACTTGGTGGCCAACTACCCACGGCTCGTAAGTGGGTTAGTTCACCCCAGTGAGAAATACATGGGATTTTTGTAGGGTTAATCCACTGAAATCACTGGGGTGAACTAACCCACTTACTAAGTGGGATGAACCACCAAGTATGGTATATCATGATAGACAGTATCAACCATATGGTAAACCTATGGCTGGTTGGTGGTGCAATAACCATCTTGAAAAATGATGGAGTTCGTCAATGGGAAGGATGACATCCCATATATGAAATGGAAAATAAAAAATGTTCCAAACCACCAACCAGAGTAGTGATTTGGCTCCCAATTTCGCTATCATTTGGGAGCCCCACCGACTGTCTTTCCCTTATTTTTGGTCAGGGAAACATCCAATGGTGCCCTTGACAATTCTTTGTGATACCCTCCTGTAGACTGACATGGATGTGGTTTACCCACCACCTGACAGGATCATTTTCCTAGGGAGTCACCAAATCCCAGTCACCAAATCCTTATTGTGTCACCATTCCCCTTCCATGGCTTGTTACCCTCTGGTTCTGTCAAAATAACTATGGAAAGATCCACCATTTTTAATGGGAAAACTCACTATTTCTATGGCCATTTTCAATAGCTATGTAACAAATTTTCAATAGCTATGTAACAAATTACCAGAGGGTAAATACCTAAGGTATATGGCTTGAAAAACCTGCCCTGTGCGCTGTGCCTTCAACATGGCTTGGAAGTCCTTACGCTCGGTCTCGCGCACCTTGCTGGCTGCCTGGCGAAGATATACCCTCTGGTAAACTAACATAGCTATTGAAAATTGCCATTTATAGATGATTTTTCCATTAAAAATGGTGATTTTCCATAGCTATGTTAGTTTACCAGAGGGTATATCTCATGGAGACAATAGTAGGCGAACCATGGGGATGATACTGTGGATGGAAGAAATCCTGCATCACCTTGTCACCTTGGATGGTTGAACCCCTATAAATAATGATATAAATAATAAACCACCTATCATCCGGTGCAGGATTTCTTCCATCCACCGTGTGTCGTGAAATAGTGGGGAATATATCTATAGATTGGGAGAAAAATGGAATGACTTGATTGATAACTGGCTTAACTATCGGGCTTGTGGTTGAGATATCTATGTCTATGGTTACAAGAAAATGACTTCATGATAAGTATTGCTAGATATGTAGACATATATATATATATACATATTTATAATGGTTTAACAACTTTGGTAAGTTGTTTTTCAACGGGTTCTCCCAGGCATGCCTTTTGTTGCGTGTAAGTGTAAGCACTGGGCAGCGAATTTCCGAAGCACTCAGTGGAAGCAAAGTCATCACTGTAGAAGTTCCAGCGAGTGGCGAAAGCGAGGGTTTGGCTGCCCAGGTAGTGCTTCTCCGGGGCTGGAGTGTAACGGATGTACTGTGCGCCATCCACTTTCTGGAAGTGTAAAAATCAAGCCATGCGACACCTTGTGGTTGGCTTCACCAACTTGTCAGGCACCAAACATAGGGATTCCTGTTGAATCTAGGTAACCCCCCTTTGAAACTGGGTCATAACCATCTTAGAAATCGGGTCACCCAAGTCTTCTTTCATGAAATTCTGCATGTTAGAAGAATCAGATTTAGGGAATCATAAACACAAAACAGGATTGAACAGTGTGTGTATATATATATCTCTACATATATATATATATACAGACCCAATCACCAACAACCATGGCCAATAATAGAAACCTAGGAACAAACAGAGTTTCTAGATTTTGTAGATAGCTATTCCTCCGTTCAGGGCTAGAATTTTTTAGCAATCGTAGACCCAACCAAGGTTTGCCCAATCAAGTTCGGAGTCCCAATCGGATGATCCCAAGCAAAATTCACCATGGTGAGGTCCTCGACTGGTTTCATCGTTGCGAACTGGACAATCACCATGCTATTAATGGGTAGTCATCAACGATTTCTATGGGCCATGGCTTCAATAGCGAAATGTAAGAAATTACCAGAAGGTAAATCCCATACAATCACATTATTCTGGATCTATACTGATCTAATGGGTATTAATTATTAATAGTAATATATAGTATATGGTATCTAATCACTGGCCATCTCAGGAACCGATTCATTGGAGGTACCTACCATATATAAGGCCTATTTTTCAGGGCTATGTGAGGGAATATCCCCTCAAAATATGGCCTTATATGGTACAGTACATCCATTTTAGGATCCTGAAATTCCCATTGAATTGATCAGGAGGTAATAATCCCTATCTGGTGGGTGGTTGACCTATCCCTCTGAAAAATATGAAAGTCAAATGGGATTATTGTTCCCAATATATGGAAAAATAAAATTCATGTTCCAAACCACCAACCAGCTAAGATTGAAAAAAATATGGCTATGTTAAAAGCCCTTTTATGAGGAATATAATGGGAATATACCGGGATATCAATCCAACTTACTGTCATTTTTTTCAGCTGGAACGAAACCGTTGCAGTGGAATGTGTTGATCCCTCCATTTTGGAAGGCGACATGGGGGGGACCCAATATTAAGCAATGAACCATATGATATGTGGTAAACCGCCAGAAACCGACGACGGATGATGTTTACCACCCATAAAAATGGCAACATTGGGGATGTGATTTTCTCAGTTGACCACATCAGTCACAAGTCTCCAGGCAGCGTTTGCTGCCCGGCTGTTCAGTGTTTGTTGCTACGAAAATACATAGATCTGCCAATAGGTCACCACGGTGACTGGTTTATCCTCACCATTTCACAACTCAGCAGTGTTCAAAGCCTCGTCATCCCTACTGGTTGGTTGAGAATGGGATTCACATTGTCATGATCATATCCAATAAACAAGGCAGCATAACAGCATAACCCTACAAACCACTACCAATCAACCATCAACCAAGAAGAATTTTGGGTCATCGTATCCTAATAAATTCAACCAACTGATGGCGAAATAAGTAGTAAAACCTACAATGATAGCTAAGCCAGCAATTAATGGCTAAATTGCCATCAACAACAAGCAATGAACAAGAATATCACATTGGCTCAGTTGGATATTAATTCCCAGTCTATTCAAATAATATGGTATTAATCATCAACCCTGATGGTATAGTTGTTGTGGGTTGTTTCACATTATATCCCCATGTTGTGTTATATATCCTTAAAATATCTCCCGATTCACGGCTTCAATCATCAAGTTCATAGAAAACAAAGCCGTCAAATGCCATATATATATATTATATATATATCAACATATACCCTCTGGTAAATTAACATGACGACCCTGGCAGTCATCGGGGTTGGAAGACTAGTTTCCTCTATAAAAACTGGTGATTTTCAGGGTTTATATCACAAATATCCCATGATTTCCAGCTAGAAGCATCAAAAAAACACCAGTCTTCCATGAACATTTCATGGTTTCGGTCGAGCCACTCATTTACCATTACGTATCCGACGTATCCCCGTTTTGTTGATGCTTAACATTCACCATTCTTCACCGAGTTTTTTCAGCCACTATTAAGCCACGATTAACCATGAACCGGTGCCAAATCCCCATTGCTGATGCCTAAATTTCCCACTTGTTGAACCTACCGATGATTAAGGTAACTCAGAGGTTTTCATGATTTTTCCCATGGAATCTCCAGAAATCACCATCCACTTGGTGGCTCATCCCACGAATCGTAAGTGGTTTATAACCCCAGTGATTTACATGGGATAAGTAGGGTAAATCCACACCAATCACTGGGGTGAACTAACCCACTTACGAGCCGTGGGATGAACCACCATCCACTGATCCAGATGGCGACCTCCTTCTCCGCCGTCACGGACTCCACTTCCGCCAGGTGCCCAGCGATCTCCTCTGCCAGCCTTATGGTAAAGTTAGCAGCAATTTATGGCAAATGGTGGCTGAATATTGAGGGAACAATGAGACAATAATGGTTCATAATGATTGATAATGATTGAGAATGGTTCATAATGATTGATAATGGTTGATAATGGTTCATAATGATTGATAATGATTGATAATGGTTAAGAATGATCAATGATTGTTAATAATAATGGTGAATACCGCCTTCATAATGGGCTGATGATGGCTTAATAATGGTTTTAATTCTGGTTGATCATGACTTAATGATTAAATGATAGCGTTTTTTAGCATCAAACATGGAGGATTTACCAGCCATTGATGGGGATTTACCACCGGTTTATGGTTTTCATAGTGGCTTAATACTATGGTTGAAAATATGTAGGTCTGTGCCTTGGAAATGCGAGGGTGAACCAGCAAAAGTAGGGATGTATGGCCTACCAAAATGGTGGCTGGTAAAGCATAAACAAATAACCAACATACAAATCAATGGCCATTTCAGGAACCTAAATTGGAGGTACCTACCATATATAAGGCCTATTTTTGAGGCCTATGTAAGGGAATATCCCACCAAAATATGGCCTGAAAAATGGTACTAACGTACCTCCATTTTAGGATCCTGAAGATCTCCCATTGAATAAATGGATGTGCCAAGTTATGGATGATTGCCATACCAAGCAGAGCGAAGATATTCTTTTGATCATCTGATGGGAAAAAATACAAAATGGCACTATTGTTGCTGGCTGATCGTTTGATTTTCTTGTGGTTTAGTAGCCATTCTACAGAGAATCAGGCAATGCCAGCCATCCTAAAGATATCAGGCAATCGGTGCTTGGCTTCGATTGAAATCGCCATAACCTTCATGTTCAATCCTGCGTAATCCTGCAAGCAACCTCCAAGGTGCACCAACAGACTGGCGGAACATGGTTTTCTGGAGATTTCTGAGATACCATCTGGTTCTGACATTCACAGTTTGCCATGGAAAATCACAATTTCTAATAGGTAAACCATCTATAAATGGGCCATCTATACCATGGCTATGTTAAATAATCAGAGGGTACCTGATGATACCCGCATTGTTTAGGTTACCATCTTCAACGAGGATACCAAACTAGGTCACTTGGTGAGAGCAAAAGAATGTTTTGGGGATCCCGATTTCTGATAAGTTCAAGTATGAGGGCACCCCATAATTGCAGGATTTCCGGTCTTTTTATGATAGTAAACATATACAGGAATAGCAATGATGATATTCCAACCTTGAAGGTTGCTTAGAATCCACCACACCCAAGATCCTGCTTGTCAAGGTTGTCAAAAATTGTTGGTTCAAGATTCATTGCAACATATTATATAGGTATACTATATTATACTATATTATACTATATTATATTATACTATATTATACTATATTATATTATACTATATTATATTATATCAAATTATATTATATCAAATTATATTATATTATATTGTATACATACCTATTTATATATTATTGCAACAGTGAAAATCCTCCAATCCCCTTTCTGGGCTTGCGCACTTCTCAGCGTCCGACCCGCTCTTCTCAATTTCTGCAGTCAGCACCTTGCAACGCAACGCTGCGGTGGTCGTGGAAATGGATAGGTTTCATCCCAAACTGGGGGTTGATTCATATAACTCTATGTATATATTTATACATATGATAAAATGGGAATATCATGGGGATATACTCACTATACTCTATATATATCTGGGTAAATGAAATAATATTTCACGAACCTGAATTGTTGGGCCATAAAAGGGGATGATTTTCCTATAAAAACCATGATTCCAGTGAGGGAGAACAGTTAGGTCGTGATTGAATTTACCCAGAACCATATACTCATATATTGGTTCTTATATCATAAAACATTGGGAAGAAATATTTTCGTATATATTAATCAACCTCCAGTATTTAGATCCAAATGCTTCATATATCATATACGCGTATTAAATTTAGGGTTTTCCATTTGAGTCATTTTTTAAGTCATGATATCGGGTCAGTTTCGCGGGGACCAAAACATAGGCTTCCTTGCTGTGGATGACCTTTTCTGGTCCCAAGTTCCCGTGGATGATGACAGTCTTCACGTCGCAAAGAAACCTGGATTTTTAATTCCAAATTTTTCGGGATCATTTACTAATGATTATCTATGGTTATCTACGGTTATTTGTGGTTTTTAAATATCAACACTTATTGATTATACATATATATATGTATATTATATATCATACATTTCACTTATCAGGATTCTCCACCCATGTAAAAAAAAAAACGAGCAACCAACAAGTGCAAGAATAACTAAACAGGAGCAAAAAAACAGCGACCAGAAGGTATCTAATATAACTAATAGCTCTACCCTGGATCAATCAGGGGTTGTCTATAACTTTATCACCATTTATCTCCAAGTTATTATTGATCACCTCCTGGTTGCTGGTTTCAGCCCCTCTGAAAAACATGAAAGTCAGTTGGGATTATTATTCCCAATATATGGAAAGTCATAAAATTCATGTTCCAAACCACCAACCAGCCTCAAATCGTCTTCCCAAATGGTGCCCAAAGAGAAGGATTCACCGGGAAAAGAGACCGCGATCTTCGCCGGGATTCAACCAACACAAAGTCAGTGCCACCGACGATGGTTAAGAGTCGACATTATTACTGGTTCTTGCTGGTTGATAAACAAGAAAAACACTTTGGAAAAAAAAAATGTTATATACAATTTGTCTCAACTCCCATTTGTTGGAGGGAAATCGTCTTCCAAGCCCGATGTCGGCATCTATGTTGGGGGGCGGGTAGGGGATAAAATGGGAACACGGGATGAATTGGTGCTTATTATTTTACCAGTTTTAACCTATCGTACCCCAAAAAAAACAGGGAGACAGGATGGTATTCGGTATAGATGATATGTTCAGCTGTTCAACCTTAGGTGGTGCCCCCCAGTTCTGCTTGTTGTTGTACGTTCAAACCACTAACTAATGTCTACAATGTGAGGCCCCCAAGATAGCTAAGTTGGTTTATAACTCCAATAACTATGGTTTATGGTATTTATAACTATAGTTACTGGGGCTTATAAACCAACTTATAACTGGGGGGCCTCACATTGTATGTATCTGCCATGAAGCACAGTTCACCTGGCTATAAACCCACTTGACTACTGTATCTTGGGGCCCACCTTGTATATGTGCGATCCCCCATGTTGGACGGTGATCAATCATGATCCATCAGCCATCACCAATGTCCTTTTGGTAAAAATAGAGGTGCCGGTTTGGTAGACCATCTATCATCATTTCCCTGTTGTTAAAGGGGTAAACCTTCAAACCCCTCTTTTTTCATCAACCAAAAAAAATGGGAATTTAAGGGACATCTATGGAATCTATGTCAGCCAAATGCGCCCACAATGGCCTCAACCTTGTCTTTGCTGTCCGCAATGATGCGTTTCTTCTCCACCTCCGTCTTCTCACAGAATTGCCTCGGCACGCAACTGGACGACTGCAAGAACTGCCCGGGCCGGGCATTTGGATGGCGAAAAATGGGATCAGAGTTGACCTTTTTAAGCGTTTATTTGTATACCCTCTGGTAAACTAACATAACTATGGAAAATCACCATTTTTATGGGAAAACTCACTATAAATGGCCATTTTCAATAGCTATGTTAAATTCCCAGAGGGTAACCATTGAAGATCATTGATGACCATGAATCACTAATATCACTATAAATAACCATTACTAAGCATTGAAAATCATGAAATTGCATCAATAATCGCACTTGTTTTAAATAAGCCACTATTGCAGGAAAGGGGTCCCAAACGATAAGTAAGTTGGTTGAAATAACTAGGCTCAGCATTAGATTTATAGTGGATATATCTATAGTTGGGGATATGAACTGACACTGCAAGACGGGGGGTCCCTTCCTGCAAGACGGGGTGGGTCATGGACGAGGAGATGCGGCTTGCATACGTATCAAAAACTCGTATTTGTGGGACTTTTGGATGCGTTTGTATCGGATAGATGGTCCAAATTCCCATTTGTTAATTTTTAATAAAAATAGAGAGGTACACATAGGTACACTACCCAAAAACTAGCTAAGCTATACATGTTTGTGGATCGTAAAAACGAAAAACTGGCCTCTCTTTTTTGTTTGACTAAGACCTCATTGGATTCCTTGGATGTTTCACTCAGAAGACTGAGCCACCCTAATCCCAAAAATGTATAGCAGTCATAGATGGGATAATTGTGGCTGGTGTTGCAGTTTGGGGTTATAGATGGGATATCAGTTTTCAAGCCCTCTAGCTATGGTTACAAGTTATTTATATATACTGATTGGTGGTTTTAACCATCTTGAAAAATATGAAAGTCAATGGGAAGGATGACATCCCAGATATGATGGAAAATAAAATTCATGTTCCAAACCACCAACCAGTATATATATATGTGTGTCTAATTATATACAATGGAACTGCACCCCAAGTGCAGGTAGGATGGAAAGCGCGGATCAAGTCGCTTCCGCCAACAACGTCATGATCAGCGTGGCACGGCGTGGCTACAGTCATCGATCATCTTACAGATGGTAAGTCACGGTGCTTCACGAGAAAATCAGCCATTGGTTCTGCTTAGTTGAAACCATAATTGGTTAACTCTCGAAAATTCATCGAGATCATCTTACAGACTCAAAAAAACTCTCAAAAAAAATCTCTCTAAAAGTAACCAAGCAGAGTTAACCTAATTAATTGTTCTGAAAGAGTAATAGAGACCGAATGATTGTTTCTCTAAGACTCTAAGAACACTCTCGAAAAATTCAAGGCCCGTATTCCGATTGATCAAGGCGGGGGCCGAATTTCATCAAGGGGCGAACTTCGCTTTCGAATCTTCATTGGCTAATCTCCCATTTTAAATGGTGATGTAATGGTGATTCCCTAAGAAAACCCTAGGAAAATGCTGGTAAACCATAGGAAAACCATAGGAAAACCATAGGAAAATGGTGATTTGACCACTATAAAAATGGGGATTTAACCAGGTGATTTTTTGTGGTTTCACAATGGCTTGGCTTAAACAATGATGAATTATGGGATGATATGGGATTTACCATATATTTGTGATTGACCATATACCATTTTACTATTTATGGGATACCATATATGGATATATATATATATATATGGTATACTAATATATGGCATATATTCATGGTGAATCATGGGATCCAGAATAATGTGATTGTATGGGATATTACCCTCTGGTAATTTGTTAAATAGCTATAAAAAATGGCCCATAGAAATAGTATGAAATAGTTGATTTACCCCCTAAAGATGGTGATTTTCCACAGCCATGTCAACGTTTACCAGGCCGGGTATCTCCCATTTTTGGACGTCCCTGTGGTCATCCAAGAGGCTGGTAAGCAGCAAACTGCACCGCTTCGGCCTTCTTCTCCTCACAAAAAGTGTGCTGACAGAAGAATCTTAAGAAACAAGGACCCGTAGCGCTTGTGCCATACAAATATAGGGGGTCCTGTGAATATTCCCGTCAAATTCTGTGTCTTCTTTCCTGTATAGCTGGACCATAAAGCAGTGCTCGGAGCCAGTTAACCTAGCAGAAGTCCCTTGAGGCAATGCAGACTAATGCAGCCCTCAACTGGATATATGGCAAACACCCATCTAATCATCTATAAATAGAATTTATATCATGGTATAATAAATAAATATATGATATATGGATATATTATTATCATTGATATCATGATTGAAAGTGCAAATAGCATTTGTGACACTTTCATGCACTTTCAATCGGTGAGAGGTTTCGATGTTGACCCAATCATTCGGCAATTATCCGTCAGGCACTCGCTGGTGTCCGCCAACAGCACGCTACCCATGCCACAATGGGTGACAATATTTTACTATCAGGGAAAATTAGAGCGACCCCACAAGCGAGGTCACAAAAAACTGGTGCGTGGTTGCTGCTAACCCCTCTGAAAAATGATGGAGTGAAAGTCAGTTGGAATGGATGGAAATTCCCAATATGATGGGAAAAATAAAATTAATGTTCCAAACCACCAATCAGAAAATAATTATATATAATTATCACATCTGAGTGCTTATGTCTATATATGGGCATAATATACATAGCACCCCCCAATCAGAAAATGATCGTTAGGAAGGGGATGATCCCCAATTTGGCTTGTTTCCATCGCCAATCAAACATGAAAAACCGGTGAAATTCCGCTGACATGCATACCGCTGACATGCATACCCTCTGGTAATTTAACATAGCTATTGAAAATACCCCATTTATAGTTGATTTACCTATTCAAAATGGTGATTTTATATAGCTATGTTAGTTTACCAGAGGGTAATTAAATATAACTTAAAACTATTTTGCGTGGAACCAGGGTATCTTTTTTGTTGACTCATAGCCACAATAGTTTTCAAATATCCCATGAGTTGGAGACAGAGATCCATTGGTGACATTGGGGCATTTCATGACTGCCAGGAATCCTAAGGGAGTGATCATGACATTTGGTTACCCTCTGGTAAACTAACATAACTATAGAAAATCACCATTTTCAATGGGTAAATCCACTATAAATCACCATGTTCAACAGCTATGTTAAATTACCAGAGGGTATTGAATGAAATGAGGTAAAGCGGGCATTGAACCAACCCAAGTAGGGTTTAGTATTGGGTAAGCATATACCCGTAGCAATGGAAGCATATAAACGGACGTGTTTTATGGTCGGCTACAGAGATGGTTTATACTTTATACAACCATGATGTTTGGATCATTTAGATTCCCCACCTTTATTGATGATTTCATCAATCTTGCATCCCAATTAATGGTAGGTAAATCCATGTAAATCCTATAGGTCCTATATATTCATGGATTCATGGATACATTCCACAATACCTCCATTGTATCCGAAACATATCCGCAGCAAGTACTCCCGTGTTCAACATAGTTATACAGTAATATGCACCCATCTTATCCCTGGTTGGTGGTTTTGACCATCTTGAAAAATATTAGTCAATGGGAATGATTATCCCATATATTATGGAACATAAAAAATGCTTGCAACCACCAACCAGATCCCCATGATATCCCCACAAAATGGATGGCTCAATACATCTCAATACCCGGCCGTTGGCCGCAACCCCAAATAACAATGGCTCTGATTCCAAAGTCGAGAAAAATCCTGCGATCGTCACTTCTATCATCTTCTATAACTAATCGTAGATACCCTGGGAGAAAAAAAAACACGTACACTCTGGTTATTTAACATAGCTATGGAAAATGGATGAAAATGGCCCATTTATAGTTGATTTGTGATGATTTACCTATTATATAAAAGTGGTGGTTTCCCATAGCTATGTTAAATAACCAGAGGGTAAGTATAAATTACCAGTTCTGGTTGGTGGTTTTAACCCATCCCAAAAAGATGCAAGCTCGTCATCTCTTGGCATATCTCAACCAATCATCCCAGTCATATGTATGGTTGAAAAACCACACAAATGTGAACCCCAGAAAGTCGAATGTCCTTTCGGTAAAAACAAGGGGCCGGTTTGGTATACCATCTATCAATATCTATTATAATACATAATAAATATTGATATACATCTATTATATCTATTATATACCATAGATATTATAATATATATATATATATATTATCTATACATCTATTACACCATCTATCAATATCTATCATGTATCATGTACCCTATAGATATTGATAGATGGTATACCTATTATATTACAGTGATAGCCCTAAAAAATCATTAGGTATACCTATTCCCATTGGTTTGGTATACCATCTATCAATATCTATCATCATGTATAATAGATACTGATAGATATTGATGATAGATATTCATATGGTATTATATATATCATCATGTATAATGTACCCATTATATTACAGTTGCTAAGGGGGTTCAGCCCTCTATGAATCAACCAATGGGACACAATGGGACATCGATGACATGTCGCGTGTAGCTGCAGCTCCTTCTCGCCCTGAAGCTCCATCTCCTTCAGCATGTCAATGACTTTGCCCCTGCAGTAAACTGAGGAAAGCCCGCGGGGAAAACGACCGTAAACTACGGGGAAATCTCCAACAAAAGTGACTGGTTATCCGAGTTATATTATATGGAAACCCATGATGAAACCCAAAGAAAAAGCTCAACATGGTGTGTGTTCCATGTCTATTTCATTTTACTGTAGCGGTACAAGTAGAATGAACCGAAAATTGATGCCTAGAACTTAGAAATCCAAAACACCGAAAAGAATTGGAGGCCACATGTTATAATGTGTTTATCTCAAAATCTAAAGATCACCCAACAAAAATCGCACAACTTTGGTACTCTGAACTCAGTGTAACATAGATCCCCTCAAAATCCTGCATATAGACCTAAGAATGCAGAAAAAATAACATATAACCCTTGTCCCGAGCTTTTCCCAAAAACGAGGTCTTCGTTAAAACTCTCCAGTGTTTAGCTCAAAATGTCAGTTTCCTCATTGCCAACCATGAATCCATTTTTTCCGACAGTTCGCACAGGTGTACCAAGCCAGATTCGACATTCTTTATGGATATATACTTGGTGGCTCATCCCACGAATCGTAAGTGGGTTAGTTCACCCCAGTTATAAGTGGATTAACCCTACAAAAATCCCATTTATGGATAGGTCCTATTCTTTTTTGGTCGGTCATCATCTCGCGGTTGTTGGGTATATCTCCGACGACCGTTGACTTCATCGATTTTTTTCCCTTTTCGACCTACTCGGTTTGATCTCCAAAAAAAGGCCACATGTTGTGACGATTTCTTGCTGAGAACCCCACGGAAATTTCCAGGTAGAAAACCACCCAGAAGAACTGTAACTTCACCATGAAACACATCTAAACGCCTTGGAAAAGTTCTTTGGATCCTCCAATTTTACCATTTAAAACCCGGAAATTTCTCATTGACCTATTGTTAATGAACTATGGAAGAAGAGAAATCATAGTTACCCTCCGGTAAACATACAAAAAAAACATGGGAAATCACCATGTTTCATAGGTAAATCAACTATTTCTATGGCCATGTTCAATAGTTATGTTAAATTACCAGAGGGTAAATTAGATGCCAAACATTATGTCATTTCCATGTACCTAATATACTGGTGTATGTTTGATATTTCCAGTGGGTGGATCATACATGATCTATAAGGGTCAACAAATTTCCTATATCCACTGGTGGATCATTACAGCTAATGATATGATACACCGGTGTTTCAAATGGTCCATATATACTTCGCCAATTGTATACCTATCTTCATTTCCATCAATCCATCGGAGGGTACCCGGCCTGGTAAACTAACAGTTTGCTATTGAAAATGGCCCAGTCGAAATAGTTGATGACTACCCATTAATAGCATGGTGATTTTCCAGTTCGCAAACTGTAAACGTTTACCAGAGGGTATATCCCATTATCATCCCATGAAATTCACCAATGTTAAGCCATTGTTAAACCACAAAAAATCACCATTAAATCCACTGTATATACATCAATACATGGTAATTGGGATATAAATATGTTTAAATCCCTATAGATGCTATATATCCATAGAATAGATGGAAGGAAAACACATACATCGAATACATCAGAGGGTACCAGTCATGTCCATTTCACCTCTTTGATCCCAAATCCCCATTTACAGTGGTTAAATCACCATTTTCCTATGGTTTTCCTATGGTTTCCCGCTGTTCCACCAGTGTTCCACGGCTGTGTTCCACCAGGCGACATAGGCGTGACGGTTGCGGCATAGGCGGCAGACACCAACAAGGACAACACCAGGACCTCTTGGATCGTCCCAAGGTCCACCGTTGGGTGGGTTTAATATGGGATGTTACAGGAAATTATACGGATTTATATATAATATACAATGTGAGGCCCCCCAGTGATGTTTGTTGGTTAACAAAAGCCCCAGTAACTATAGTTATAAATACCATAAACCATAGTTATTGCAGTTATAAACCAACTTAGCTATCTTGGGGGCCTTACATTGTATATATATATATTGAAAGGTTTCGGCTGTAGCTAGGGACCCCCGACGCTCAGCCTGCCTTAGCGGCATTTGAGCCATTGCCGCGGGTGCTGTCTGGATTTCGCAGCACCTTCTTGCACTTGTGCTCCACTGGTCCAGCGCAGGCCAGTGCCACCTTGGCTCATTTCATTTGTCCACCTCGCCAAGCTCACCTTGGACATTGGGGACATCTTCAACAGATCTTGGTGCTCTCGAGTCCCAGCTCGTAACCTCCTGGGGTAGTGGCTGCCATTAACTTGGCCCACTATTTTGCTGGCGGCCTGCTTTTTCACAAGTTTGACTTGGTCCTTGTGTATAACTCCCGCTTTGCTTTGCCCAAGATCTACATGTTCATTGTTGTCTTCTTCCTGACGTTCCTTCTGAACTTTGTGCACCATTACGCCTACGCAGAGACGAAGTGCTCGCCGACAACGTGCAGTGGCGAGACGCCGTTGGCATCTACACCGCACTGGCAGGGTGATTTTGACCTGGACGCAACTTGGAGTGCTCTACAGACAACTCCAAGCCCATCACAGCAGAGACTTTCTTTTCCTTGCGAAAATCAAAGCAGCCATGGAGTCCTACAACGAACCATGGAGATGCCGCTTCTGCATGCGGATGGTGAGCCCGACTGCGGACGCATGTGGCGGATGTTGGGGATCATGGACGATGTGTCACGATCCGACGTACGTACACAAACCGCCGCAGCGACGAGCTCAACAACCTCAATATCAAGAACAAGCAGGCGACTGGTCAAGTACACCATGGAGTGCCTCAGACAATTCATGGCGCCCTGCCAGCAAATCGCCACGCAGAAGGACTCAATCGCCCCGCCAGCGAAATGCTGGCTGGAGGGCCAATTCGAGAAGAGCACAATGGAGACAAGAACCTCCGGAAGCTTCTGGAGGAAAAGGTTATGGAAAGGGCCAAGAGAAAGGCAAACAACAAGAGAAAGGAGGAGCTGCAGCGTTTGGACACTTGCCGCCCTCCACTACTTGGATCTCACCACCAGCAGCGCCCTTTCCTACGGAAACTCCAGCATCTGCATCAACTACGGGGACGACCTCGAGTACGGCAATGCAGCCCTTTGGCAAGCCACGACAGGAGAAAGAAGATGCAGAACTTCTAGCTCTTCGCCATCTTCATTCCCAGATACGTGGACAAGCTGGAGAACAACCAGAGGAGATCAAGAAGGCTCTTGCCGTCATCGAGGCGAATTCCCGAAAGGACGATGCAAAGAGCTACAAACAACTGATCTATCTCTTGACTCAGGCTCGCAAAAAGCTCTCGGATGTGGAGGAACAGTGGGATTCTTTCCGTACACAATGGACAGAATACCTAGACAATGCCACCAAAATGTGGACAGCACACATCGACTCTTTCGAAGAAGGCGAGCAGAAGTTCTCGGAGAAGAGAAGAGAAGCCGCGCTCTACCTGCAGTACATCAGGACTCAGCTCCACGATGTTCATGTGAGAACCATGTCCATGGAAGGCACGGTACCCTCAGGGGAGCTGCAGGAGGGACAAACAGTGCTGGACGACACGATGACAATCATGGATGTCGAGGACACCATTGCCCAGCCTCAGCTTTCACAGCTGAAGACAGATCTGAAGGGCGTCGTCCAGAAAGTCAAAGACACTATAGAGGAGAAAATGAGCAAGAGACCGCTTGCATCACGTGCTGGCGACGGAGACGATGTCACTCTGGTCGAGCCAGCCGACAAGAAGCAACGGGAATCCAATTAGCCCTGACCCTCCGTGCGTCTGAGGAGGCCAGTTTGACGTGCCATTCAACTGCAGTCAACTGGAGAGGCAAGGGGCGACATGAGCGACGGAAGCAATTTCGTCGCATGACCTTTTGGCCAACAGTCGAAGCTGTCACAAGCCATGGTCAAGTACAATATGAAGTTTGTAATCTCATAGCAGGCACGAACACCAAGGAGATTGTCGTCCAGAGCAGCAGCCATTGTGGGTCTTTTGGCTGTGATCAACCACCATTACATTCCATTGTCATGGAGGAGGACTACATCAATCCTTGGAATGCCCAAATCCGAGCACTTTGGCTTGAACATTCGGTTCGTTCACCAATTTTGGCTCCACATTTTGACGGCCTATTCTTTGAACATTTTCTCAAGGATCAACGCCATCCAGTTCCAGTATCTGATCTACTTGCTCTAGGGATTCTGAAGCAATGTAGGCCTGATCAGGGAGAAGTTCCAAATCTACCAGATCCGCCTGAGCACACAGAAGCACATCAACCAGGGAGTGCTGGCGCGCAAACGCCGAGTCAGCCCTTGCACAGTTTTCCTGCTTGGGTGCAAGAACTGTGGGCGCTCCTTCAAAGAGAAGGTGCCACGGAGCTCTTAGAAGAGGGCCCCATCATGTATTTGGACTCCTTCTACATCAGTCATGTGAATCATCCACGGCAGACATTGAATCGACCTGTTCGCCTTGACCGACATTATGAGGAGTGGGGAGAGACCATCAAGGACGTCTGGACAGACTTCTTTGACAGAAATGTGGACTTCGAAGTCTTCTTGATCCAACCAAATCCTCCAACTCCGGTCACCAGAGGCACCATTGCTAGTCTTCTCGTTGTTCAACACCCACAACGACATCATGTGGCGGCACTTACATCAGCGCTCATTGATGACATTGCCGGATATCGCATTGAACAACTTGCGCACTCATTTCGCGCTCGAGTGTCTCATCAACAAGTTCTGAGACAAGCTGGGCTCTTACCTGAATGCATTGCGATCCGACGTCAAGGACTTGACCCCTGCATCATTCGAGCAGGAGCACATGCATTTCCTCCAGATCAAGAAATACGACTTCATGACGGCCTTGGTTTGACAATTGATGTCCCCATGATCATCGATGAGGCCCGTTGGCAGCGCTTTGTCATGCCACGGCTACGGGAAATCCAACAAGATGGCCGACCTCCTGTAGAACCAGATGCGACCAGCCTCATGGCACGGAGACCACAAGCAAGACGCACCGACAGTAGCATGTCAGTGTCATCACGCACATCCACAAGCTCTGACAGCTCCTCGTACTCTTCCGAGTCGCCAGTCAGCTGGAAACGTGCAGTTGTCTATGCTTTGGATGGTCAGACTCATTCAGTTCTGCTGCCATGGAGAGAAGGAGAAGAGCTATACACGAGAATTGCGGTAGCGTTTGGCATACCCTCGAGCTCAATCCTACAGCTACATCATGTTGGTTTTCGACCAGGAGATCTTGAACAAATGGAACTTCAAGCACTGCTCCTCCAACAACATCATGAAGTACGCCCAGCGCCGAATCTGCAACTCATCCTCTTGGACCTGGAGATTCATGAGGACAATCCCATTCTGCCAGGAATCTTCCGCAGAAAAGCACACTGGGCACCGAAGATCACAACCATTGACACGCTGTTCCGAGTATTGGGACTCACCTCTACATATCGACAGCATGCTGATGAGAGCCATCTCTGGCTTAACAACATCCGTATCGATCTGCAGAGGAACACACCACTCCACATCGCTGACGGCGACTACGTTGAGATTTTTATCGGAGATCTGGAATGCCGGGACACACTTCGCAGTGCTAGCGAAGAGGAAGATGAAACGCAGATTCTTCTACAAGTACCCGCACACCATGATCACAAGATTTCTGATCAACAGCAACGACATGTCTCCAGCTTGGACGCTTGTCGTTCAAATGAACGCTTTCACAGGAATGGAGGTCATCGACAACGTCAACCTGCAGACATTGACCCAGAGCACCGTACCAGACGTGCCATCTGGAACCGACCTGAACTACAACAACTTGACCTCCAAGACGAGCCAGTCATGGTTGTAGACACATGGTTCATCAGTGCACTCAATTTTCCGAGATGCTCAACATTCAGAACAATTGCGCTACCCGCTGATGTGACACAATGGGACAACAGATTCATGCAGATATGGCGTGATCGAGTTCACCCTCATTGGCCATTGGAAGTATTCCATGTACATCCTGATCCACAACCAGCACCACACCTACGACATGGAGGACACATCATCATCCTTCAGCATGGACATCCTGGAGAAAAAGCGATACTGCTCAGCAGTTACCATGGCAGGCTACATGACCGTTTTGCCCAATTGGTCCCTGCACAGCTTGACTTCGACAGATTTCTATGGCTCCAGGATCATGAAAACTTGTGTGATCAGACTCGAACCCATTGTGAAGGTTTTCACGGCCGAGAAGCCATACCGCATCATGCAGTTTGGCACTGTGAACACGGCCAACATCTGGAGCTCCATGTTCACATGCGGGCAGTTGAAGAAACATCTCTAATGCAGACACAGACCACACAGAGATATGATCATCAGCAGCCACAAAATGATGCTGTCGACATTCCAGCCAACAGCAATGAGTGTGGACACTTCGACTTCAACCCGAGCGCAGCAACATTCTTCCCTGGTCAACAGTCCATCTTTGGACAGCCTGAATACATACAAGATCTTCAACTGACATGGGAGTTCCACGCTTTTGCATGGGAAAATGAAGAAGCGTCCATGACTGCAGCAGTATGGTTCGTCGATCACAGTTGGCATTGGCCGCACCATGATCGATACAGAACGATCCACCTCTATGCAGACTTCTCACAATGGGAGCGAATCATCTTGGGCGCTTGGCATGACTACATCCAACCAGGTGCTCCATACGAGATTTGTCTGGTCACGCCAGCGCCACCGTCAAGGAACAATGAGGTCTCCAGCCACATTGTCATCGTGCAACACCCACGACCTGACTGGGTGACATCTGTGGTCACAGTACAGGATGAGTTTGCGCATGGCCCAGGTTCCTTGTCGCAATGGGCTATCACCACCCATGAGCACATCTTGCTGGACAACCTCCTACTCGTCCTTGGACGACTAGGACAATGCACTGGAGCTCGACCACAGCTGAGATGTCAAGCATGGTACAACACAGAAATCCTACGGCTTGGAAGACCAATACCCGGCCGCAGTGGTTATGGCATCATCATTCAGCTGAGTCCGATCACACAGCAGCCACATGCCGCAGAAGCAGAGGGACCGGTTTTGCTTCAATTGTCTGCCATGCTTTCTCCGGCAGCTGATCCGATCGGGGCTTGTGAGCGCCTAACAACTGACGCGGTGGCTCACGGTCAGTGGCCACAAGCACCTGAATATTTCCCCACCATTGGTGAACAACAACCGGCAGACTGGAAGAATCCCAACGCTTCAGTTCTTGTCCAAGTACTACATGATGCATCATCTGATCTCGCAGCGCAGATCCCCACTGTGATTGAACTCCCAGAGATTTACACGGCGCAAGATGCGGAATCTGAAATGGCACAATGGGGCCTTCAATGCAAAGTATTTCTTTGTGGAGAACATGACACAGTGTTTGCGCATTTCTCACTCACTGACGCTGCTCAATGGCACTATGTATACTGTGGACGAGACCTCACAGCCACTAATGGTGTAATTCTTCAGTCTTCACAGCGGCCATTGACGGAGATTGAACACATGAAGTTTCTTTGCCACCAGGGATTCATCAAAGCGGTCTTGACGCATGAAGAGCCCTGGATGCCACAGATCAGATGCATCCATTTTGAGGATGTCAGGCCACAACAGGAATCCCGACTTCAACGACATCGAAGCAGGACGCCATGGCCAGCTCCGCAACCACAGCTGCCTATTTGTGCACAACCATTTCCAGACCTGCGGGATCTTCCCCAGGCTACATCCTGCAACCTGGCACTGGACGTCCAAGAATTGAGACGCTTCCTTGCAGCCAAGCAAGATTACTTGTGGACTGATTACAGTGTCTTTGAACTCCCAGACTTTGTACGAGAAGCCTTAGATGCGTGCCAACCTGTGGAGCACATCGATCGCTACATCATCTACACGGATGGCTCGTCACAAACAAGACATCGACATCGCCCGCCACTATGGGTCGCCGACAAAGACATCAGTGACTCGTGGGCTTTTGCAGTCTTTGCTGAACAATACGCCGATGAGACAGGAAGACCAGGGAAACTCCAGTTTCTCGGAGTTCAATGCCAAGTCGTCCTGTACGAGTCCCAAGCCTCCCACCACATCGGCACCAACACCATAGGGTCAGATGCATCTGAAACTGAAGGCCTCTTCTGGGCAGGCATGTGGAGGCTGGCTCAGAACAACTGCATCCCGACCGTGCTTGCAAGCGACTCACTCCTAGCTGGCCAGCAGGCGTCAGGACGCATTGGAGCTTCTGAACTCACTGAGCCTTTCCGCAATTTGAGGGCAGTCTTCCAGGCGCTCACAGCCAATCTCCCAGGAGATGCACTACGCGTTGAGCATGTCAGAGGCCACGCCGGGGATCCGTTCAACGAGCTCGTGGACTGGCTTGCAAAATTTGCTGGAACCTCCACGCTATGCCTTCCACGACAACCTGTGCACATGCCAACATTCCAGCACACCTTGCGACATTTATGGATGGCAGTGCAACAACAAGTTGATCTCCCACAACTTACACAAGCTGGCTTTGACTTGGCGCCCATTGCACTGCCAAGCTTGATCCCAGGGAATCAACAAAGACCTGCGCCAGAGAAGAGCAAATCCGCCACAATTCAACTCAGCGCCGCTTCGGCCAATGTTCAGACATTCTACAAGGGGCAGGACGGATATGCCAACAAGCTCACGTACGTGCGTGAACAATTTGTTGCCCTTGGGCTCAACATCATGGGCCTGCAAGAATGCAGGACGGAAGCAGGGGCGTCACAACAACATGATGTGCTACGCTTGGCAGGTGGCGATGATCATGGTCGCTTCGGAGTTGAAATCTGGATCAACCTTGCACAGCCTTTCCTCCAACAATGTGGGCAGCCACGCGGCTTTACCAGAGGTGACTTCGCCGTCATTGCCCGAGATCCACGCTACCTGCTAGTACATGCCCAGAATGCCTACATTGATCTCTGGCTGCTTGCAGCACATGCTCCACATAGTGGCGTAGATGCGACCCAACGGGAAGAGTGGTGGCACAAGCTGTCCACGTTGATCCACGCACATGTGCAGACTGGCCAGCTCATTGTGATGATAGATGCCAATGCAGCCACAGGTCCAAAGGACGGCTACCACATCTTCAACTACGATGACAAACATACGGCGAACACTGAGCTCTTCAGAACCTTGCTACGTGATCATGCTCTATGTGCCCCATCCTCCTCAGAAGTCCATACAGGTCCACATGGTACATGGCGCAGCCCACTTGATGACTCCATGCACCGCATCGATTATGTCCTGGTACCTTGCAGTTGGAGACAAAGATGCACGTTCTCCTCCGGGTTGACCAACCTTGATTTTGGACATCTAGGTGATCACCATGCGACAGCCATTCAGATCGAATGGCAAGAAGATTGCATCCAAGTCCCGCACAAGACCAGATCTCAGCGACATGATCGAAGTAAGATCCCTATCAAAGATCTTACCGAACATCTACAACAACTTCACCAGCTGCCGTGGCACACGGACATTGAGACGCAGGTGGAGCATCTCAATACACAACTGCTTGCCACCTTGAAGACTCACTGCCCCATTGCCAAGAAGGAGCCCAAGAAAAGCTTCATTACGCCTGACATCTGGCAGTTGAGGTCTGAAAAGTTACACCACCAGCGCAAGCTCCGACAGCTGAAATACCAGCTGACACAAGAGCTCTTGCACAGATGCTTCGCAGCATGGCGTGGCCACCTTGATGAACCTGGACTTCAAGCATCTGAGCAGTTTGCGCACACGCTACAGACGCAAGGAGTCCATCGAGGCATTCAATTGTGGAGGACAAATAAACAGCTCAAACAAGCCCTAGCCCAAGCCAAGCGCAGAGCTGTCAAGAAGGCAATTGAGGCTCTACCCTCCGACAGTGCTGCATCCCACATCCTCAACTCCTTGAAACCGGTGATCGGATCCACGAACCTGAAAGCGAAAAGGGCTACACCTCTTCCACAAGTACTCCATGAAGATGGATCCGTTTGTGAAGGACCAGTAGCTCTACGTGACAGATGGATCCAGTTCTTTGGAGCAATGGAAGGGGGAGAGAGAACACCAATGTCCCAATTGCGTGAAGCGTGGATACAACAACTACAACATTTTATGCAGACAGAACTCCAGTTGCAGGCTTCTGACATCCCGACATTAACTGACCTGGAGGCGGCATTTCGCCGCGTGAAAGATCACAAAGCTGTTGGGGAAGATCAGATTCCACCAGAGCTATGCCATCATTTCCCTACCTCTTTGGCGAGACTGGCCTTCGGACAATTACTGAAGCTATGCTCTCACGGGCAAGAGGCACTGCTCCACAAGGGTGGAGTTTTAGTTGCAGCATGGAAGAAAAAGGGACCCCAGATCCTTTGTGAATCGTATCGCTCATTATTGATCAGTTCGCACATTGCGAAGTCTGTCCATCGAGCGGTACGAGACCATCAATCAACAGTGTACGAGGCGTTCCTACAGTCAGCACAGATTGGAGGCCGCAAATCAATCCCGGTATCCTTGGGAGTGCACTACATCCGAGCTGCTGCCAGAAGAGCGAGAAATCTGGGACGATCTCATGCCCTGGTTTTTCTTGATCTACGGGAAGCATTTTACCGGGTATTGAGACCCATCTCGATAGGAGGACACATCCCAGATTCCCTGCTCGCAACAGTAGCTGCCAGATTACATCTTCCTGATGATGCATTGGCGGATCTTCAAGCTCTACTCCAACTTCCTTCGGGCACCAGTCTGGCGGGACTTCCTCGACATATGCGCCGAGCATTACAAGCCCTGCACACGAACACACACTTCCGCATGGAGGGCCAAGAAGATCGAGTTCACACTCTCATCGGCAGTCGCCCTGGCGACCCATTTGCTGATGTGGTGTTTGGATACATGTTTTCCAGAATACTCACCACTGTGGAAACGAGACTGGCAGAGCTGGGCATCCTGGAAACATTCATCGATGTGGAACAACATGGTCTCTTTGTCCACGACAACACGGCGGACATGAAGGAACACACCCTGCTCGGTCCCACGTGGATGGACGACCTCTGCCTGACAATATCTCATCCTACAGCCACTGGAGTCGAAAGCCAAGCAGGGGTTGCAGCCAGCGTACTATTGGAGACGTGCACTGCGCACGGAGTCACCCCGAACCTCGACAAAGGCAAAAGCGAAATCCTTTTCACATTTCGAGGAGCTGGCTCTCGCAAGTTGCGCATCAAATACTTCAGTGCACAATGTGGACAGAAGATGCCCATCACCCATGAGTATGGCACGCAACAAATCTCTGTGGTGGGGCAATACACGCACTTGGGAAGCATCGCTCATCACACAGGCCTGACACATCGAGAAATTCGACGGCGCATTGCCATCGGCAATGGGGCCTTTGCAGCACACCGCCGCATTCTCTTCCAAAACCCAGCGTTCAGCAAGCAACGCAGAGCAGAGCTGTTTCAATCACTTGTTACCAGCAAGATTGCCTACAGCATGGAATCATGGACGTTCAGTGATCACAAGACGTTTGACTATTTTTGGGCAGCACTTCTTCGTCTGTATCGCCGCCTGCTCAAGCTGCAGCCTGATACGATCATGCATGATGAGGAGGTCTTGATGAACACAAAGCTGCCCGCACCTGATGACATGCTTCGGATAGCAAGGCTCCGATACATCGGGCTCCTGTACAAGTGCGAGAACGTCACACCTTGGGCAATCTTTCGTGCTGATCATACATGGCTCTCGCTCGTCAAAGATGATTTTCAATGGCTCTGGGGCCTGATTGCAGATACGTGTCGACTCCGTGATCCAGCTCAACATTTTGAGGATTGGGAGTATGTGCTCCGCTACCATCGCAGCTATTGGAAGACGCTTCTACAACGTGGAGCCCTTCTACGACGCATGAAGCGAGATGATGACCTCCAACTCCGGCATTTACACCAGGACGTTTTGTCCCATCTTTCGCAGCATGGACAACTACAAACTGCACCTGTTAGAGCCCATTTGGACTTACAGCAACAACAGATGCATTTTGGTTGCATGCACTGTGCAAAACGCTGCCGTACAAAAGCAGGAGAGGGAGCACATCTCTTCAAAGTCCATGGCGTCATTGCCCTTGAGCGCCAATGGATCGCAGGCACCACTTGTGAAGCCTGCCTATGTGAATTCCATAGCCACGACAAATTACAAAATCACCTGCGAACTGCACAACGCTGTCGAGAGGCGCTGAGCGCAAGACCAATGTACCCTACGCCTGTCCCAGGCAAAGGGTCACTTCTCAACAACGAGCTTCGGGAATGACATGATGGTCTATTACCTGTTCAACGTGCACATGGTCCTCAACGAGAAGGAGTTCCTCCACGACAGGTTGACCTGCACCATCAGGCGCTCTTTGAGGCCTTGGTACTGCAGATCTATGAGACTGAAGAGACCGACCTTATCAAGTTGTTTGCAGCCACGCAGAACACCATCCAGGCGCACTACATTGGCTGGTCACAAACGCGACTCACGCTCAATGAAGTCGCCCGAAGCTTTGATGAGGAGGCGATCATGGACACACACCTCACCCGGGCGCAGATTCAACGACTCCTGGCAGATCTTAGCGACGCCACCAATTGGGCGTTTCTCCAGGAAGTCGAGAGCGAAGCAGCTGACCCATCTCATCTTTATCCTTTGGCCCTCTATGAACAGTGGTGCAACGATTTGGCAGGTTTGGAAAGTGCATGGAGCCCTTCCACGCCCACTTGTCCTCGCATCTTTTACCGAGAGCGTGTGCTCTTACACGCATACTCAGGGAGAAGGCGGCCAGGCGATTTCCAGTGGTTTGTGGATAAGCTCGCACTGGCCAACGGCATGGAGGGCATCATGGTTGTATCAGTCGACTTGGTGATCGACACTACCTGGGGCGACATTAGCCGCGCAGCCACACAGCAGTATTGGCTCAACGCCATGAGCGATGGCTACGTCGTTGGGATGCTCAGCGGACCCCCTTGCTGCACGTGGAGCATTGCGCGCGGCAAAGCGGTTCCTACGACAACAACGAAAGGACCTCGAGGCCCACGGGTCATTCGTACCCGGCAGCACCTCTGGGGTCTGGCCTCAGTATCCATCAGGGAAATGACGCAGCTACATGATGGCCACGTCCTTCTGGGATTCAGCCTCCAAGGCATGGTCCGCCTCTCCACCTCGGGTGGTATCGGCGTCTTGGAACATCCTGGGGAGCCGGAACAAGTGGATGCCGCCAGCATCTGGCGTTTGCCTTTGATGCAGCTGATCCTGAACTTGCCCGGCTTTCAGCTGCGTGAATGTGCACAAGGTCTCCTTGGGGCCGCAAGTACGAAGAGGACCGGACTGCTGACATTGAACCTTCCTGACCTTCCACAACACATTCGCGCCAATCTCATCCGACCTGATTTGCCAAGGGCAGCTACGATCGGCGTTGATGCAGAGGGAAGATTCAGAACAGCGGTCCTCAAAGAGTACCCACCGGCTTTTTGCCGGGGACTTGCACAAAGTTTCCTCTCACATCTCCCATCAGTGGACCATCTGATGGACCTGGGTCAAATACCGGCAATTTTCCTCGAGCGCTGTCGCAGCATGACTAGCACAGACATGGGTCATGCGATAGGCGCCGATTGTGCCCGGTAAACGATGCCAGGAGTAATTCAGAAGCGCAGAACCTGCCGCAGCGTCCATCGCTACCACATGCAGTATGACAAAAAAAAATATATATTGATTTATGGAATTTATAGGGATTCATTCATATGGATTTTAAAGGGATTTATATGGAAATTCTAGGGATTTTATATGGATTCTAATATGGATTTTATGGTGATTTCTATGGATAATTGGGATGATAATTGTGAGAATCATTGGGATATAATGGCACGTCCAGTTCATGGGGATGATAAAGGTTGACATGACCAAACATCACCTGAACAGGTGTATATAGACTGTGTCTGTATGTATATAATATATGTTTGTAATTGTAATTGTAATTGTATTCTATTGTATTTGCACTTGTATTTGCACTTGTATTTGCATTTGGATCTGCATTTGTATTTGATTGGATATCTGCATGTGTTTTGTATTGTAATTGTAGAAATACATATGCCACTTATGCCACTTTTTAACCATTTAAGCATACTTCGGCCATTTCATCAAAGTAGAGCATGACCCGGTGCACTTGGGGGTTCACAATAATTGGAATAGGCTGGTCATAAGTTGGTTCTATGGCTCTCCAAAAATACAGCCATAGATGAAATCTGGTTGGTGGTGCAATAACCATCTTGAAAAATACGAGTTCGTCAATGGGAAGGATGACATGAAATGGAAAATAAAAAATGTTTGAAACCACCAACCAGAAATATTTTGAGAAGCAAATCATGCTCTCCCTCACTTCCACGTATGATTGTTGTTGAAGATTGCTGACGAGAAACCAACTAAATAATACTGTTTGTCCGAAGGCTGGCCACAATGGGATATTGGATTCTTTTCTGAACATGATTGACAAAAGAATAGATGATTAAATCTGCGTAAACTTGGTTAAACCCACTGTTCTTGTGACATCACACTCAGGCTACCCTCTGGTAAACTAACATAACTATGGAAAATCACTATTTCTAATGGGTAAATCCACTATTTCGACTGGGTCATTTTCAATAGCTACGTTAGTTTACCAGAGGCTACAACTGTTTGGTAGTTTCAACCCATCCCAAGTCGATTTTTGTCGAAGCATCATCCCAAGTCAGAAGATATGTTTGAGCCGATCTCACACCATCGAACACACCGTCAGCCTGATTCACTAGCTAAGCTTCCCAAGTCACGATGGGATCAGAAATAGCTCATATATATATATATACACATACTGTACTATATATATATATAAGCATTACTTCCCTCACACTCTTTTGGGTTGCTTTCGTATTGACTAAAAGTCCATTGCTGCTGATATCCCCATTGTCCGTTGATTGTCATTGCTAATGTCATTGCTGGGTTGTCAGTTACTAGCCGTCATGGCCAATCTTAGATATCATGCAAACTGCAAACACACGACATGTTTTAAGCTGCTTGGTATTATATATTTTGTAATAACATAGACTAAGGTAGCATCCAGTTGGTTTCCACAGTTCTACTCCGGTAACCACGAATCATTACGGGTCGTACGACCACCGAGTCCCCCACGATCTTCATTGCAGATGCGCGTTGCGAGACGCGACGCGCACGGCAGGGGTAAAAGGCTTGAAGAAAGTTCAAGCTTCCCGGTAAAAAAATGGCGCAGATCTTCGGACTGTGGCTTCAATAACAACAGAGTCCCGTGAAAAATTTGACGTATTTGACTCATCTTACTCTTAAACCCAATAAACTTATGGAATATCATGTCTGGTTGGTGGTTTCAACCCCCCTGAAAAATATGAGTTCGTCTGATTGGATCATCATCCCAACTATTGGGGAAAAGAAACCATTCATGTTCCAAACCACCAACCAGATGTCATATCATTCATATACCCTCTGGTTATGACTAACAGTTTGCCATGGAAAATCCACCCATGCTATTAAGAACGGTAGTCACCATCTATTTCGATTAGGGCCATCGTATTTTCCATAGCAAACTGTTAGTCATAACCAGAGGGTATCGTATACCCCCCGGATCCCTCCATCTATGGGGGTTTTCCAGCCACGTGAAAAAATTGCCAGAAGGTTTTTGTTCCAGCCGTGTTTTCTGGCAATATAGGGAGAATGGAAAATATATAGGTTATATCCCAATAGATCCCCATAGATTATAGATCCCCATATAGATTATAACCTATATTTATAATATTCCAGTAAATTAAAATATCTATACGGATTTGTGGATCTATAGTGTTTTCCTTCCATCTATCTATTCTATGGATATATACCATCTATACGGATTTTTATATTTATATCCCAATTACCCTCTGGTAAACGTTTACAAGACTATGGAAAGATCCACCATGCTATTAATGGGTAGTCCTCAACTATTTCGACTGGGCCATCTATACCATAGCTTTTGTATGTTTACCAGAGGGTAAATCCTCACAAATCCCGCTCCCCATACTGTCCCTTTAAACCCATAACTACCCTCTGGTTATTTAACATAGCCATGGACAGTGACTTAATTATGGACTGATAATGGCTTATTCATGGGTGAGATACTATAATGGAGGATCACATGGGATACCTCCAGTAATTTGATTTACCCTCTGGTTATGACTAACGGTTTGCCATGGAAAATGATGGCCCATAGAAATAGATGGTTTACCGTTCTTAATAGGGCATGGTGATTTTCCATGGCGAACTGTTAGTCATAACCAGAGGGTATATTCCATAGATGTTCTAATGTAAAGCAATCGATCCGAAATAAGGCCACCAGACCACCCATCTGCCGGTCACGCAGTGAGGTCGCGGTGAGGTCGCTATAAGTTATCCAGATAGGTGTATAATGTATATATCTACTATACTAGTATATACATTGATGATCATTGATGAACATATTATGAATAATACTTTATTTCTTCACATTTATATATATATATACATATCTTATTACTAGTGTTATTATCATATATAATTCTATTTAATATACATTATATGTATGTATCCGTGGCACCCATGCAATGAACACATTCAACACACTGACGCAAGGTGCTTGTTGCAGCGAGGTCGTTGGAGGAAACCCAACATGGTAACATGGCTACAATTAGTGAGGCCCCCCAGTGATGTGAACGTTGGTTAACAAAAGCCCCAGTAACTATAGTTATCTATAGTTATAAATACCATAAACCATAGTTATTATAGTTATATATATATAAATACCATAAACCATAGTGACATTGGAGTTATGTTCACCAACTGAACGCTATCGAACGGGGGCCTCACATTGTAGCTGGGAAATCCTCGAACTATTGCTGAGTATTTGAATGGAAACTTCGATCGGTTACTATTGCTGATTTTCCAGCCATGGAAGTGATTACAGAAATTAGTAAGAAATGAGTTCCTCTCAGGAGAAGACACATATAACACTATATGAAATTGTGCAGTGGTTATATGATATAAGTGCTATTTATCTATTCAGACATATCGATTCCTTTTGAACCCACTTACTACTCACAAAAAAACAAGCAAAATTACTACATTAAACCGCGACGAAGCTCTTGTCGAAAGCTTCAATTGGATCTTGCTTGACATCGAATCTCGCTGAATCATGAGTCACCCAGCTGCAATTAGTTCAGCGATATATATTATAAATACAAATCATATGTAGAATAGATACCATCAGGTACATGTATCCAATCTGGACGATTCTGCCATGCTGGAGTCGTGGTATTCATCAAATGTTGAAGCCCGGGGACTGGTGATTTTTGGACACAGTTGACAGCAAATGATGGGTCAAGATTAGAGAGAATCCAACCACCAGATTTCTGTCCTGGTTTACCCTCTGGTAATTTAACATAGCTATTGAAAATGGCAATTTATAGTGAGTTTTCCCGTTAAAAATGGTGATTTTCCATAGTTATGTTTGTTTACCAGAGGGTAAGTGGGGGCCCCTCACCATGTTTTGCTGGTTCTGTCCGCAATCGAGCCATCTTTGGGGAAAGCCAAAATGGAGGTGTGTGTCTGAAAATGGGGGATCCCCAAGTCACCATGGGTTGAAAAATACGAAAAAACACTCGAATTTGGGATGATTTGGGGCTACCCCAAATCATAGGAAACCTCCAAATGAACCATAATGAACCCGTAGTCCCATTCAGCACATGTTTTTCCAAGCACTGCAGTGATATCCGCGGCTGCGGATTTCTGATGCTTGGTGTGAAAAACCTCCCGCAGTTTCCAAGCTAAAGAGAATGCACTCGTTGGAGTGTCAACTTGGGAGGAAAAAAAACGCCGAAAAAGATCATGTGCCATTGTCAACATGTATACCCACAAAATTGAAATATGAAAATCATAAATCATTGGAGTTTGGAATGCGCCCTTCAATTGTCAGGCAAAACTTGCGGTGCTTCAAATCGTTCTAGCTTTCACATTTTCAGTGGTTCAAAATATCTCAAACATCATATTCATCCCAATTCTATCCCAAGTCTGGGATGATAAATAGCCTCTGGTAAACGTTTACAGTTTGCGAACTGGACAATCACCATGCTATTCATGGGTAAATCAACGATTTCTATGGGCCATGGCTTCAATAGCAAACTGTAAGAAATTACCAGAGGGTAAATCCCATACAATCACATTATTCTGGATCTATACTGATCTAATGGGTATTGATTATTAATAGTAATATATGGTATATGGTATCGTCTAATGGGTCAAATAGATGAAAAGACGAAACTGGTACCAACCAACTGTGGCTCCTGAGGCCCACATCTATCTGACCTCGGCATCAGTGAAGCCGCGCTCTCATTTCAGCACACCCGCCAGCACCTTCCGCCAGACATGGTGTCCGCGGACGGTACCAAAAGAAGAGGTCATACTAAGTCACTACACTCAACAAAAATGGAGAGAAGGTATATCATCAAATAATAATGTTTTTTCATTATAATAATGCTTACCATCTAACATAGCCATGGAAAGTCACCATTTTTAATAGGTGAACCATCTATTTCTATGGGCCATCTATACCATGGCTATGTCAAATAACCAGAGGGTAATGTTAACATATGTTAACTATTGTACCATGAAAATATTGATCATCCCAACACCCATGTGTTCTGTATAGCGCTGATGAAACATCGTAACGTCGATGTTCGATCCCGAAAGATTTTCGAGGCGCTCAATGACTTCACCCACCATGGTTTTTCGAAGCGTTGGTATTTTCCATGTGTTGGATTCTGTTCCAAATCCTACAATGTGGGGCCTCCCAGTTATAAGTTGCTTTATGAACAACATTAACTATAGTTATAAGTACCATAGATCATACTTATGGGAGAAATATTATAAACCAACTTAAGTACCGTTTGGGGGCCCCACGTTGTAGTTTAAGCCACTTCGCAAGTCATCCATTCTAAATTGTCTGACTGCTACGACAGGAGCCTGCTTGGCGTGTTGTCTATGAGATGGCTCCCTTTTTGGCAGGACCAGAATCATCCAAAATCCCCTTACACTTTTTTTTGAGCCATAGCAGACCCCCAATATATCAGTATATCCCCCTATTTTTTTTGAAGATGAAATCAATGAAATGCCCTATTTTCTGCTAGAGTTACCACTACATCCCCATTTGAATCTTGGCTGAATCCCTAGACCCAAATCTATTCGACCTACACCCATATTTCCAGCCATTTTCATCCATTTTCCATACCCGCTCACCTTACCCACCGTGTAGGTGAAGAAGCCCAAAATGGCCGGCAGCAACGAGGGTTCCAACTGCAGCGCTGCAATCTCCGGGACCTGCTCAAGTCACTAAGCCTAGCCGAGGTCATGGAAATTTATACATCCTATATACTGTATACAATGTATTGTATATACAATATATATATATATATTATGACCATATATGACCATATATAAGGGATAGTTAATTGACCTTGGTCTAAGCTCAGTGGTTCATAATTCTAGCAAGTTCACCCATTTATATCCATGTATATCCAGAAAAAAATATGTGTGTATGGTATACGCCTCTTTAGGGACATACGGCCACCAAGGTTATTAAGCAGTTACGATTCATCAGAGGATCCTGCAAGCATAACCAAAACAAACAACCCCTTGTATAGATAGTGGATATTGAACTTGCAAAAAGCACGTCTGAATGGGGAAACGTTGGGAAACCATACGTGATGTGCTTCATGAGGACCGTAAGTTGCTGGTTCATCACATGGGATAAATCCATTGGATTCCATTGGTAGTACCCTGATATCAAAATCAAGCGGCGTTGAGGGCTGGAAAAACAGTAGCCAATTTAGCATCCTCCCAACGAAAAAACACATATGTGGGATATGTTGAAGCAACCATATTTGAGATTTCTCTGAAACTGGAGTAGGCCGCAATTCAAACAAATTATCACCATTCTTTCGGTTAAAAAAAATGTTTGTTGGGCACATTCATGGACAAACCACTGCAAATCCAATATTCTTGGAAGATCTTGGGGGTATAGAATACAATCTTTAAAATCTAATCTATACATACGTATGACCGTATGATCATTTTACTAGGTGAATATCGTAACAGGTCTTCAATTTTGAAACCAACGTACAGTAATGCGCTTTTGACTTTAAAAACTTGTCCCAAAAACATCGCCATCGCCGGAGCAAAGCTTCAGCAATTTTGGGATTGCTGCCATCCTTGACAGCGTGCAAAAAACAGTGGCACGACGTAACTTTTCAAACTCATAGCATCACATCTCATTCCAACAATCAACGAAAACAAACCAAGTAGATCACACCTTCAGGATCTTTAAATGAATTTGAACACCTTTCAAGACTTTTCAAGTGTACAAGGACCCTTCGGCATGCACCATGGCAAGCAAGGCAGCTCAGGCCGAACTCGCTCGCAAAAGATGCACACCTTCAAGTGGAGTCCTGGTTCTCCCTAATACGGAAGTTGATTCTGTAGCAGGAGTTGTTGAACCTTCCAGAGACACGCACGGCTACTGACCCCAAAAGGGGGCTTCACCGTTTCCAAAGAAAGGACGTTTGAAGGCTCCTGCAGACATCCATCCAGGCACACAAAAGCAGGAACTGGAACCCAAAATTGAACCAAGCATATCCCAACCATGTCAGAGAAAAAGGATGTGCTCAAGAGATGAGAGCAAGCGCATTAAAAAGCGTTTGCATCAACTGTATCAAGCAATGTCCAATCATGTCTCGAACTCTATCGACTTGTGCCGTTGAAGTCAGCCAGATACGTTACGTCTTGTGCTTTGAAACCACTGCCCCAGTCAACCAAAAGGATCCCTGATGTCCCAAGCCCACTGACCATAACGGCCAATACACCCAGAACACACCAGGTCACACATTTCAGTGATCTGTGGCCGGCGCAAAGCTTCAGAAAATGGATTAAAGATTGCTGTCATCCTTTACGGCATGCACACAAAGCTACATTATGCTACATTGCAAGTTGCAAGCATTGACAAGCGACAATTCTTCAAACTCATCGCAAGGCATTAAGACAAATCCGTGCAACTACAGGAATAATCAACAAAGACAAGCAGTTCAAGACACCCTTGCACAAACCTTTCAAGACCGTTGAAAATCTGTCAAGACATGTCAAGACTTTTCAAGTGTACAAGGACCCTTCGGCATGCACCATGGCAAGCAAGGCGGCTCAGGCCGAACTCGCTCGCAAAAGATGCACACCTTCAAGTGGAGTCCTGGTTCTCCCTAATATGGAAGTTGATTCTGTAGCAGGAGTTGTTGAACCTTCCAGAGACAGGCACGGCTACTGACCCCAAAAGGGGGCTTCACCGTTTCCAAAGAAAGGACGTTTAAAGGCTCCTGCAGACATCCATCCAGGCACACAAAAGCAGGAACTAGCACCAGACACATCCCAACCATGTCAGAGTCCATACAAGGATGCGCTGAAGAGATGAAGGGATCCATCTATATTCTGCAGTATATCCCACTATCAGTGCGACAGGCTGTGCTTCTAATAGATCTGACCTAAAATTCACAAGGGATGTAGCTTCATCGCCCACGGCTACTCTCTCCATGTCTGTAGCTTCGTGTTGCTTTGTATTGGTGTATAATATATATATATTATATCCTGGAGTAAATAGAATATGATGTTCTTCGGAAGTATTCCCTTTTTCGTCAAACTTACACTCTCAAAGTATCTCAAAGTGAACCAGGCCTGAGCCTCGATTCGAGGCCAGCCTTGAACGATGAGGAGCACTACCACAGGAGTCTCAGCGAGAGCTGGGAGATAAAATGGTGCTTAAGCAAGCAGCAAACATAGGGATTTCATATATATTAAGCAATATAAGGCAGCAAAAAAGGGGAGTGAATAGGAATTAGTGAAGAAAAACAAGTGGCTCATATAACCAATGAAGATCAGGATTAAATATCTTATTTCGGCAACAGAAATTGGATTTTCACCCGGGTTGTTCTTACGCGATTTTGCCACCAAAAACGCCAGGTTTAACCAACTTGAATGGCAATTTAAGTAGCAAGAATGAGGTGTTAATCAACTCAAACGAAGTGGACATTTGAGATTTTACAATTTTTATTTGGGATTTAACCAACAGAAATGGGCAGTTAACCAATTTAAATCAATTTTCATGGAAATTTAAGCAACAAACTGCTTTCTTTTGTGATTACGTTATGTTGAAACAAATTGCAGCTTTCAATTGGTATCCTTCTGGATAAATTATCGTAAGTATTCATAAGTCACCAAAACAAACGGCAATATTTTGGGATAAATACCCCATACATGAACAAAAAAAACCTTACAAGGACCCCAGTTTCTTGACATTGAGCGGGGCCCCATCACCTTTTCCATGCATCTTTTTCGTCGCGATCCTCACTCAGTTCAAACTCAGCCAGCAAAGGCAGATGGTCCGACGGATGATCCTGTTCGGGCCATCATGGACCATCGAGTAGGTGGTTGCCGGTGGAAATGGTGGGATTACCCGGCCTGGTAAACATAGGTAAACATACAAAAAGCGAACTGGAAAATCACCATTTTTAATAGGTAAACATCTATTTCGATTAGGGCCATGGCTTCCATAGCAATGCAACAAATTACCAGAGGGTATACATTATTCACTGATGGGATAATTCACCCATGTATTCCCATTGGTGAATACAAATGGTGATAGGATGATAACATGATGATGTATCCCATAGGTGGAAATGATGTATGTATTAACAGAGGGGGGGTACAATGGAGGCATCCAGCTATCGATTATAATTGTAAGATGAATCTAATTCCATTCACTTCTCCATGTTACAGGATGGTGCCCCCCAGTTATAAGTTGGTTTATAAACCTCATTAACCATAGTGTTATCTATAGTTATATCTACCATGAACCATAGTTAAGCCATTTATAAACCAACTTAGCTATCTTGGGGGCCCCATTCTGTATCCGTTTTCCAGATTTTCCAGTTTCCATATTTTCCATAGTTTCCAGTTTTAAGTATAGGTTCACCACCAGCCGCCGAACTCATTGGCCAACAGTCGTCCAACGGCACCAAGTCGCTTGGGTGGAAACAATTTTAACCTTGTGTCTGAAAATGGCGAAAGTCAACAGAAATTTCTATGGTGAAAATGAGGGTGTTGTCTTTGAACCGTGGAAATTTCTATAGTGAAAATGATGGTTGAAAAACGGTTTACCCTCTGGTAAACTAACATAACAATGGAAAATCACAATTTTTAATGGGAAAACTCACTATAAATTGCCATTTTCAATAGCTATGTTAGTTTACCAGAGGATAACCATGATAAACCATGGAATCTTGGGGGTGTTTTCCCAATCAGATTGGTCGAGACGAAAAAAAAGAACGCCGCAGGGTCGAGCCTCAGAAGGTAGGCTGAGCGCATGCAGCGCATCCGCTTGAGGCCACTTGGTTTTCAGCAGCCGCAAGCCATCGCCTGGACCACGTTTTGGGCAGTCAACAGAGCCGAAAGGGCCGATGAGTTGGGTGAAACAAGATGCTATACTTGGAGGATCCCACTTAGTAAGTGGTTATAAGTGGTTAATAATAATAATCCTAGTGATCGTAAGTCCCAAGTGTTGCTTATCCCATCTATGGATAAAAAAAACTCTGGTTCTGAACCACGAGCCGTGGAATGATCCTCCAAGTAGTAGACCTTCGGGGATGATTTAAATCATGTTTAATCCCACCAATGTCGGGTAGATTGGGCGGCGGCTTTACTCATTGGAGGCTACCACCTTGTCATTTGCCAAAAAAGGAGCCCTCAAGAGCGAATGTGTTTTTTGCATCCAACTTGGAGGTTGTTCAGAAACAAACCTGTCTGAAACATGGAAAAAAACACTGATGTTCATTGGACAGGTGGACATGCCTCTCGGAAATGTTTGGTGCAAAACAACAAACAATGGAACAAAAAAACAAAAAAAACAAGCTCCATGGAAGTAATGAAATCCAGTGGTGTTGTCCTTTTTATTTTCCAACTAATGTAAACCCAACATCCCACAAAGTTTAGCGTCCCAAGTTTGAGGTGTATGACATGAGGGTATACCATGGTATATCTCTAGAAATGGGATGATTGCGGCTGAGGATGCAAAACAAAAAAGCCTCTATGGCAACCCGCGCGAAAAGATAAGTAGAGTCACATCTTGCGAAAATAGGGGTAATTACATGTAGTAATTACATAGGTTGTGTTGGTGCTGCTCATGATTTGCAATAGGAATGGTATAACGTCAGTCGGTCGTTGAGAGTTCGTTAAAGCTTTCGTTGAAGATTTCGTGGCAATCCTTGTGGCAATCCATTTTGCCACACCTTTTGCCACAAAAAATGATCGTGAGAATTTCGTTGAAATTTCGTCAAAGATTTCGTTACCTCAACTCAAGTTTGACGAAATTTGACCGAATTGTTTGACGAAATTTTGACGATTTTTTTTTGTGGCAAAATGTTGTGGCAAAACGTTTTGCCACAAGGAACAATTCGTCAAAATGCAGGGTTTTGACGAAATTTTCCTTGTGGCAAAACGTTTTGCCACAACATTTTGCCACAAAAAAAAATCGTCAAAATTTCGTCAAAGATTTCGTTGCTTCAATTCAAGTTCTGACGAAATCCTAACGAAATTCTGACGAAAGAATTTGTGGCAAAATCTTGTGGCAAAACGTTTTGCCACAAAGCACCCGACGAAAAGTCTGACAAAATTCTGACGAAATGAAAATGAAAGAAACAACAAAGAAAATCCTTATACCAGAACATATTGCAAGTGGTAGGAAATCATGGTGGAGTTCGATCGCAATACATAGGGTAGCCCTAAATCATCCATTGTAATAGTTTTTTGATGAAAAAAAAACATCCATTTTGGGGGTGAATTCCATTTTTGGGGGAACCGCATTTTCAGGCAAAAATCAAAATGTCCTCCTTCACTTGGTTTCCAAGGTTCCCGTCCATTTTGTGGACAATCCCATAGCATCATGATTTGCAGAAATGTAGTGGATATACCGGGTACCGGATATCTATACAGTGTATGTAATGGATATACACTAGATATGTAATGTGCTAGATATAATGTATATTCGTGTATATATATATATATATATTATAGGTATCTATTTAATCATGGATAATATTGGATATATACGTAATATAAATGTATATGTAATGGATGTTGTCAGTCGTACAACTTCAGTAAACATTTTCAAACACGCATCCATGGCTTTCCCGTTGGACATGATCTACCTTCATGGTGGATTTTCAATCTTGGGAACTAGTGGAGGGTATACCCCATGAAATCTCCCTATAAGATATGAGTTACCCTCTGGTAAATTAACATAGACCCTGAAAATAGCCTAGTTTTAATGGAAACTAATCTTCCAACCCCAACAACTACCAGGGTCTATGTTAATTTACCAGAGGGTAACTCATAAATAGCCATCAAACGATGTTTTTTAAAAGCTCGTGTTGCCCCCCAGCACTTCCGGCGGGCCTCGGTAGAAGATGTAGTCCAAGCAACCCCTGAAGTCTGCAGAGATGTTGGTAGTTACCTCACCTTAGCTGGGCTCAAATGCGCTTTGGGATGGGATTTCTTACCATCTGCTTATGACATTCACAGTTTGCCATGGAAAATGGCCCAGTCGAAATAGTAGATTTACCCATTAATAGCATGGTGATTCCATAGTTAGTAATATGTAGATCAACTATACCATCTGGTTATGACATTCACAGTTTGCCATGGAAAATCACCATGTTTTTAATAGGTAAACCCAGGTAAACCATCTAGAAATGGGCCATTTTCCATGGCTATGTTAAATAGCCAGAGGGTAACATTCATGTATGTTCACGTGCACATTGTCAATCTTCAAAAACTTGCATCTTTTGCTGGTTTTTGGGTCATGTTCCATTTATAACCAAAAAAGCTAAAGGATTAGATCAAACTACCATAAACTACCTATCCAAGGGGATGTTTTCTCCCCTGATGCGACACGTTTTTTTCGATCTTTTGTGGCTCCACCAATCTCAACGAGTCGTTTCGTCGGAAGACCTCCAGCTTCCTGGGCTGCGCTTTGAAAGGATTCGACTTGGAACTCCGGCACGTCCTGTTCGCCAAGTTATCCGCAGGGGACCATGGTTTCTACATGTATCCCCTTGTGATGGGGGAGAAGTCATGTAGAAATGGGTTTGCATCATGATCTCAAAAAAAATCGACCCCACTCAAAACCATGCTGAACTACAAAGTTATTAGACCAGGATGCACAAGTTTATCATCATTTGGGGTTAACTCCACAATTTTCAGACACATGCAAATCAAGTTGGATGTGTATATGTGTAATACGTATATATATATATATATGATATGTTACATACGTCAAAAAATCCGGGTGTTGACTCTTAAAAGCGGAATATTGTGCAAAACCGTCTTTTCTTGGGATATGCAAGCTTAAGGCAAAAAAAAAAACATACATATGCCATTACATCATATATCATCATATAAATCATCATATAAAGCATCATATTATTTTCACAACATTCTATCCCATTCTATCCCAAGAATGGCTGGTACATCCGCACCTGCGGCCGTACACCGGCGAGGATTCCAGTGCCCGGCCGCAGGAGTACTGGATGATGTGGATGCTGCACATCAACTCTGCCTGGTGGTTTTTTTTGGCCCCACAAAGGATGATTTTCCGCAGAAAATGGCGGGTGCAACCCCTAGAAATCCACCAGAAATGGTGGGTTTCGCCACCAGGATTTTGAGACTGGACTGATTTTTTCGGAGGAAAAATTCGGTGGCTTCGCTCTTCCGGTGTCATCAAACGGGCCATGGAGGTTTCTGGGAGAATCGTTGGGATTCAATTGCATTGCCATGATTGCCGGAGGGTAACAGAAATTGGGATTGAACTGGTTTGATGTATACATGTTTGATGCTTATTTTGAAGGAAATTGCTAGGCATTTGCTAGATTACTTGGTGCTTCGCCAGGAATCGTTTTTGTGGCTTAGTTCAGCCCAGTTCATCCAGTAGGGTAAATTTGGTTTTGCTTAAGGAACCCCTAAAAATTGCAAAATATTTCCGGTAGATTCCCCAAGCAGTGGATTTCCCACTGGGACATTTTGCGCCAAATCACCGACTCAGAGCAAATCCAAGGCAACTGGGCGCAATACCATCAGAAATTGTCATAATTCAACCCAAGATGATGTTGTTTGTTGAATACAATAGTGAAAATCCGTTCTCCTGAATATAATCTGACAATACAATCTGACAAATCCATTTAAATTTCCTGCACATGGGAGTAAAATGACCCAATACGCCACAACCATTGTCGTTTTCAACACTGTTCGGATTGTGAATTTCCACAAAAAATGGTGGGTTATGGTGGGTTTAACATGGTTTAACACCATCAGGTTTTCAATTCAACAACATTCAACATGGATTGGTTTCTTGGGGAAATGTGTTTTCGTTCGCTGGATTCGTCCATATTGGTCCATGAAAATACATGAATTATGCAATACGGAGTACATATCTAACCTAGTTTGAACCAACCAGCATGGGCAATAAAACGAAGCAAACTGCAAATGTTGCATGCAATAAACAATATCATATATATATGTATATATAATGGAAATACCTATAAACAAGGGTTTGGTTCAAAATGGTTCAAAATAAATCCACAGCAAACTATGGAAATCGTCAAATCCATCCCACGAATTTCCTTCACTATCCCCGAACATATCCCATCAATTACCACGTGTATTTGTATTTATTGTTTACACCCATTAAATCATGGCACATATGTATCATCAAATATTCATAGGCCAAAAACCAATCCCCGTGTCTGTGGATGAAATCCACATTTTGATTGGGTACCCTCCGGCAATCAAGCATCGCAATGGGAAATCACCAAACATCCCCGAAATAAATAGAAGTTTTTACTGGAAAATCAACTACACATGTTGGAATTTCCGGCGAACCATGCTGCATTGCCAGATGGTAAATCACAATTTTACCCAGTGAATTCGCTATGTTTCTTCGTCAAATCCCCTGCTTTTGGCCCTATGAGACACCTCGCGTCATCAGCTCGTATACGCCGGAAAGCTCTGCCCCTTTTGGGCCCTGAGAGCGGCCATCCAGCAACGGGGTGCCTGGGCGGGGCCATGGATGGATTAAGCAACAGGGATAACATGAGATTTGTGGTACGGGGGGGGCCCTTAGGGGGGGTGATGCGTAGTATACGGGCAGTATATAAGAATAGAATATATAATACAGGCATTATACAGGTACAGTAATATATCAATTTTATACTGGTTATACAGCCTAAATTGTGATCTGGGTTTGGCCTTGCAGTTGGCGAGAATGTGTGTGTGTGTGTGCAGGAAATAGCTATAAATCACTAATTAGCCTCTGGGGCGCCATATTGTTGCACAATCCATCATCATCATAGGGCCCAAGCTGCTATTCAAATCGCCCGCTAGGATCAATGGTTTGCCACCACTCAAGGCGCTCAGCTCACGCTCCAATAGCCATGCCTCACATGGCGTTTGTCGCAAGTGGCGGTGTTCACCACACTGTGGGCTGCCCAAATCAAAGTTTCACCGTGAACGGGATGTACCTATTGTTTACCCCTAAGCTGGCAGTTTGTAGTGCATGGGGAACAGCCATGCCACAATTACATGTGTTTGCGCAACGCTGATGCCGAAACATGGTCCCAGTTTTTAGCGCCGCTGACTATGCTTATGACGCACGCTCTGATGCCGTCAGGTCCTGCCCAGGCCACCTCTGATTCAAGAATTAAGCTGCTTGGCGGCGGAAGTTTTTGTTCGGAAACGGAGTTCTCAGCGTAGCGACTGTCAGCGACAGTTTTGGGGGACGGGCGTGCGTTCTAGCAGTTCGCAAAGCGCCAACAACCCACTACCGGCAAGACGCATCTCACATACAAACTGGGTTTTGACAAAGTTTTTGCCCACTTCTGATGAATGAACATCACTGGCCCCAAAGTTTGCAACCACCTAGGACCTAGGTTCGACCACCTAGGACCTTTGGTGGCTTTAAAGCGCTGCTGGCCTCATTGTAGTACAGCGCCAACCGTCCACATGTTGCAAGTGTTCGATGCAAGAGGCATATCGAGTGTGGTGCAAGAAACGCTTTGAAATCATTCTTCATTTCTTGGATGGGATGGGATGGCATAGGCATGGGGCATGGGTTGTTCCAACCCATTTTATTGGTCACTTAATTTATATATATATATATAGATGCACTTTTGGGGTGTGAAATTGGCAGTTTCACTTCCTTGTCTAGCCAATCCCCCCTCTCTCTGGGGTGTTGGGAGCAACCCTGCCTGGATTCGCATGAATATTGGCCAATTCTAGTTACAAGACGGGCCCCCCTAGTTAGAAGTTGGTTTATAATCTCGTCATAAATCCTAGTTACTATAGTGATAAACCAACTTAGCCAACTACAGGGCCCCTTCCTGTACCCTGTTGTCCTTTTTCCCTGCTTAGGTTAACAAATCCCCATCCAAGCAGCACAAGGTTCAGTTGTTCCCGTCTTGGTTCAAACCAGTTCCTCAACTATGGATGGTCTCTATTGTTAATTAGCCTGAATGATAGACATGAACTGCCTCATGACTCATAACATCCCAAATGATAAGGATATTGTTGATGAGTTATGTCCATCATCATCATGGATGTATCATATATTCTTAGTTGCTGTTGTTAATCCATAGTCCATAAGAAGTAATTCGTCCATGATGCTATGAGAATTACCGCTATTATTTGGAAGAGTTAAGCCATAAGTATTACTTTCTGGTAATTTAACATAGCTATTGAAAATGGCTATAGAAATAGTTGATTTACCCATTAAAAATGGTGATGTTCCATGGTAATGTTAGTTTACCAGAGGGTAATCGAACAATTGTCAGTGCCACATAAAAAAAAGGCGTTTTCAAGATGAGCGAAACATAGTCAGTGCCACTCAAAATTGCTGATTTTCAGAGTTGAACGCTTCAATTTTTACCAGAGGCTATGTCATTTTTTCCATTCAAATTTTGTCTTTTTTTAATAGTTAAACAGTTATATATCTATAGTTATCACATGTTATATCTATCCCATATCTATAGTTATATATATATGTATATATGTACCATAAAATGCCATTTATTTGGGCTGATCTCCTTGTCCTGTCGCGCAGCTGGCGACTCGCTTGACTGTCAACCATCGTTTTGGTGGTGTAGATGGTGCAGGGCTTCGCAGCCATCCACAGTAACATCTGTGATTGACCTGCAAATTATGGCGAACGTTGAAAGGAACTTTGGAGGTCTTAACTGTGGGATTCTGGAGCTCAACCCAGTCACCATCCCCAATGATTAGCAGCAGAAATGGGCAGATTCTGTTCACCATCAAAGGGTCTATGATTTGGGATTCTTCATGGCGGTCCATAAGCGTTGTGAATTCTGAAATAGTATATATTATATATTTTATATATTATATATTTTATATAATATATAATATATTATATATTATATATTGTATATTATATATTATATATTATATATTATATATTACATATGATATAAGATAAGATAAGATAATATAATATAATGATATGATATATATATATATATATTGGCGTTTGCATGAATTCTTTCTGCTTAAGTCACCATATTTAACTTTTCTATACCCCAATCCACGACCCTAAAAAACCACCAAAAAAGGGGTCATCCGCCTGTAGGGACTTCCATTTGGGCCCAATTCAGAGGACCGCCGGTAATTTCAACCCCAGAATGCCTGTTTAATTGGGAAACGATGGGACTTTCATCACCGCACTAAATGGGTAATGATGGTTATTATATGGTTATTATATGGTTATTATATGGTTAATAGTGGCTTAATAGTGGGTTAATAGTGGCTTAATAGTGGCTTAATAGTGGTTAATAATGGGAGAACTAATCTGGTTGGTGGTGCAAAAACCATCTTGAAAAATGATGGAGTTCGTCAATGGGAAGGATGACATCCCATATATTATGGAAAAATAAAAAATGTTTCAAACCACCAACCAGTAATTGATAGCTGATTCTTGCTATTTGTGGGGAACCAAACTCCTTATTAATCAACCAGGGTTCAAATATTTTCATATGACATTCATCCTGGGGTGAGACTATACATAAAGCACTTACCGAAGGAAAACCTTGATGTTTACCGAACTGGTTTACCCTCCAGTCACCTAAAATATGATCGTGTTTTTTCAGATATGTACACTATGTATGTATATATATATACGTATTTATATATATATACATAATCGTTTGCATTTCAGAGTCAGAGCAGTTTCCAGGACATTATGATTGATCTTGTTTGATGATGCGAGTTCGTAGCGGGAATCTGGTTTCTGAAGATAGACACCAAATGTATGCGTGAAAGTGATGGCCATTAAATTGAACGCTAGATCTGCGCTTCATCCACTTCTGCGAACGCTGGAAGCTCCATCCCCATGGCTAACCACGCAGGTTCACCGACATCACTTATCAGTCGGTTTACTCACGTGTTCATGCTTAGCTTCGCATCTGTTCTTGGTATCTTCTTGTCATGCTTAATAGTGAAAGGCATCCCCAAAACATGGTTTACCTACATGTTCATGCTTGATTTCCCAGTTTTTCCCTGCTTCATCCACCAACTGCCTGATGTTCATCCGGTGCAGAGCCTGATTTTTTGTTGCTAAATCCGGATACTTCTGTGAACAGTACCACATTTCACAAACTGGAAACAAAATGAAATGAACCAGAAGTGGAATGTAGTATTACATTTCCCAAAAAATAAACATATTTTCATATGTTCCAAATGTCCCCAAAAATACACATATTTTTGGGAAAGATTCCCAGCATGTCATCCATATCATCCCTTGCATGGGAGACCCGCCCCAAGGCTCGGCTCCTGCAAAAGTTTCAGATCTGGATAGCGCGGATCCCAGTAGAGATGACACGTGGAGATCTCGGTGGCTGGTGCAAAATTGGCAAAATTGTATATATATATATGTATGTATATATATATATGTATGTATATATATATATATATGTATGTATATATATATACACACTATACCTTCATATATACTATATATATACAGTATATATACCATCTGGTTATTTAACATAGCCATGGAAAATCACCATTCTTAAATAGGTAAACCATCTATTTCTATGGGCCATTTTCCATGGCTATGTAAAATAACCAGAGGGTGTATATATATATACCCTCTGGTTATGACTAACATGTCGCGATGGAAAATAGATGGCCCTAATCGAAATAGATGGTTTACCGTTCTTAATAGCATGGTGGATCTTTCCATGGCTATGTTAAATAACCAGAGGGTATATAATATATATATATATATGTATAGTATATATGAAGGTATGGTGTGTGTATATATACATATATATATATATATATATACATATATATTGTGTGTATATCTGGTGCAAATTTCCGAGGTTCCATGAAATTCCCAATGCGGAAAAAAAACCTGAGATAGGCAAAACTGGAGTTAAATCTTGAGGTCCTATGTTGGATAAAGAAGTGCCGCAAGCTTTCCGGTCGCTTTTGGGTGCGCACTAAAGGTTCAAGACTTTTGCAACAAGGACCCAGTGATGGGGGCCGATCTTATCAATCGACTTCTGACAAATCCATGTTTTCCCCATGGGGAACCCATGTTCACTGCCAAGCAGCCCAAACTTTCCTGCGCTGAAAGATCCCCTTGGGGTCCCTGGGTCAATGGTGGAGGATGGGGATGAGGCCAGATAGATGAGGCCACCTCCATGGATTGGAAACCTCTATATGTAGTAGTACCCTCTGGTAATTTGTTACATAGCTATTGAAAATCACCCATTTATAGTTGATTTACCTATTAAAAATGGTGATTTTCCAGTTCGCAAACTGTTGGTTTACCAGAGGATAATGTTTATTGTAAGGCGTTGTAAGCTTGCAATTGTCATTGCCATTGCCACGATTGCAGAAACGTTCAGTCACCTTTGTGGCAAATCACAAAAAAGATGTCCCCATGTTTGTTGGATTTTCCAACAGCTTAATTTCACCTTGATACAGTATAAATAGTGAGTATAAATGGTGGATTATCCACGTGGTTGATGGTTGATACTCATACAAATGATGGTTAAATCCTATAAAAGATCCGTTTGTGAACACAAGCACATGATCATTACCTTGGGGTAAACATACAAAAGATGTGGGTTTACCAACCTCCTGCTTTACAAAAATGATCTACATATGGCGACAGTGGGGTTTCCACATTTCTATGTCAGGGTAGACTACATCATCAAGAAACAGACTCAGAAGAAAACTGGTTGGTGGTTTCAACCTACCCCTCTGAAAAATGATGGAGTTCGTCAGTTGGGATAATGACATTCCCAATATGATGGGAAAGTCATAAATTTTCATGGTTCCAAACCACCAATCAGATCACCATCATATTCCCATTGTTGTTGGCTTATAGCCTATGAAAACCACTATTAACCATCACTATTCACCAACCAGATATTCATTATAAACTATGATATTCATTAACTAGTTCCATTATTGATTATGAATGATTATGATATCCCATTAGATCCCATTAAAAACACCATGAGATCCCATTAAAAACACCATGAGATCCCATTTGGGTATGGATCAATACCTATGAAAATAGCATTTTTAGGGGAATGACCATCCATAAATCCCAGCTATTTTCATGTGAACAAAAAAGGGGTACTATTGGTTTTAAAGACACCGTGAAATAAGGCTATCTTGGGGATGATGCCTCTTATTAACCATGATTCCAGTGAGGTCGTAGTGACGTCGTTATAATTTACCCATTTTAAAAACCACCATGGTTCCAAAGCACCAAGCACTTTAGATCTTCAGATGTTCCACGGCGGCCTGCCAGACTCAACGGAGACTTCCACTGCCTCGCGAACCGCAAAAAACGCAGATCGGTGGCACCCAACGGCCGATATTTATTGGTGGGGAAAACCATAGGAAAAATGGTGGTAAACCATAGGAAAACCATAGGAATATGATGATTTAACCGCTATAAATGGTGATTTAATGATTTTTTGTGGTTTAAGAATGGGTTAACAATAATGAACCATGGGATGATATGGGACTTACCCTCTGGTAATTTCTTACAGTTTGCTATTGAACATGGCCCATTTATTTCGTGGATTTACCCATTGAACCTGGTGATGTTCCATAGTTTTGTAAACGTTTACCAGAGGGTATATTGATTGTTATATCACATTAAATTCCAATGATGCAAGATGTTATGTTGGCAGATGGCATAGCACTTGTTCTAATGGTATGAAAAATGTGACTTTCTATGGTATGAAAAATGTGACTTTGATATGGTACTTTAATATGGTATCAATATACAATCAATATGTTTTTGTTTGGGAAAGATCTGGGAAAACTGTTCGAAACATCCATGGGATTTTTCACTCTGCACTGGGAATTTTATGGCGATCAGGATTTCTGCACCGTTTCTCTGATGATCACTGGATTGGTTGGCTGGGAAAGTACCGCAAAGCCGCAAGGGTTGAAACCATGCAGAAACAACCAGCCGCGTATTACCCTCTGGTAATTTGTTACATAGCTATTGAAAATGATCATTTAGTTCGTTGATTTACCTATCATAAATGGTGATTTTCCATAGCTTACTGTTAACCTTCTCCAGTGGGTACCTAGGTTCTGAACACTTTTTTTTGATCCGAGACACATTGGCCAAAGTCAGCTTCTCGTGCAGTTCCCGCCACAAGGCCTGGGTGAGTTGTTGGAGGTTTCAACCCAACCTGGGGGTTCCAACGAATGTTGGACCTTGGAAGGCCCCTTTTTTTTAAAGGGTTCCTGCTGGGAGTCAAATCTGAGAAAACACCTCCCATTTCTGCAGATATTCCTTTAGCTAGACAGTTGCTGAAATCCACATGTCTTCATTGATGATGCCTTCAGCTGTCTGAAAGTAGGCAGGTTATATACAGGCTACCGCAAGGTCCCATGGATGAAGAAACCATTTCCTCACGAGAATTCCAATGCATTGCATGTCTCTGGTAAACTAACATAAGTATGGAAAGATCCACCATTTTTATTGGGAAAACTCACTATTTCGACTGGGCCATTTTCAAGAGTCATGTTAAATTACCAGAGGGTATATCTCATGATAACCCAACTACTTGGTGGTTCACCCCACTTAGCAAGTGGTTTATAACCCCGTCTGTATGTGTATATACAGTATATCTGAAAGCAGCGCTGCACCTCTCATATCTATATACATATATATATATGTATAATTATGAGAGACAGATACATATCCCATTGCATCGTATTGTATCCACAATATTTGCCCATCACATCCCCATAATATCCCCTCTTTTCATTGTTACAGTATATCAGTTATATGCCCAAGTTTCCCATTTGGCTATGGGTCAGCCCCTATAATACATTACCACATTCTGGGGGAATGAGCATCCATAAATCAATATCCCTTCTTGTTATTAGCTATGGAAGCCATGGCCCATTTAGTCCGATTTATGATGCTAAAAACCGGATTTACCTATTCAAAATGGCGATTTTTCATAGCACACCGTTAAGTAACCAGTGGCTACCCTCTGGTAAACTAACATAACTATTAACTATGGAAAATCACCATTTTTCATGGGAAAATCCACTATAAATGGTCATTTTCAATAGCTATGTAACAAATTACCAGAGGGTAATAAGTGGCTAAAATCCCGTCTTTGATACCCAGGTGGCAGCTGCGAAGCCAGCCCCGCCGCGCAGATTCGCAGCATCCGGAAAATGCCTCGAGCGCAGAAGGGAAATCCATGGCACTCCAACTGGGTTCCGCCCCCAGCTGGCCATCAGGCCGAAGGCACTTGGTGGCTCATCCCACTTAGTAAGTGGTTTATAACCCCCGTGATTTACATGGGATAAGTAGGGTAAATCCACTGAAATCACTGGGTAGTGGGAATCCACGGATCTTCAGAGTCGCCAGATTTCCATGTCTCCAAAGTACCCCCAAAAACACCGCCACCACTGCTGGTTTTGGCACAGCAAGTTTCGATCAACCCAACACCGATTTGAACTTCTAGCATGGATTCATTGTTGGTACTCACTAAAGATTCAATGTGTTCCAAAGTATAGATAAGTACAAGCCTGTACCACTAGATAATCATGGAAAGGTCACACCAACTACTTGAAACCAGCAACTAAATTCAAAGTTGTTTACCCTCTGGTAAACCAATATAACTACGGAAAATCACCATTTTTCATGGGAAAACTCACTATAAATGGCCATTTTCAATAGCTATTTTGACATAACCAGAGGGTAATCTATCTCCCATTTTTTGACCTCATCCATGTTTCTTGGATATCTCCCCATCTTCCAGGTTTCATCCGCCTCTCAGCGACATCCCTCAAACGGAAGGAATGGCTTTGCGTCGCCCGAAGCGTCTTCCGCAGAAAAATGCCGCATCCGTCCTGACGTCACGGAGAGGTTCGACGGTTGCTAGAGATCCCCTAGTGGAATGTATTGCATCTGCTAATTTTAGGCTCCCAGTTTGGTGAGACATGATGAGACTATCTTTGGGTGGATATGGGAAACGCCTTCCATTGGTTTGGTCTTTTCGAGATTTTAAAAATCCAACAGCTTCTACAGATTAGATCTTCACATTTCCGGCGGTGATTTAACAAAGGGGAAGAGAGAAATAGTCCCTCCCAAACCATGAAAAATGTTCATCCATGTGCTAGCAGGGTAAGGATTCTGGGACTTGCTTCAGGATAGCACCCTATCTTCCACCAGCGTGAGCCTATTTCTCCCTGCTTCGCTGTTCTTTTTGACATCGGGCTCCCGGAGGCCGGCGAAATCCGGTCACGGCCGGTCACGGGTCAAAACTACAGTTGGACACGCCCAAAATGGGATCAATGGGAATTCATCCTAAAATGGAGGTACTGTACCATTTTTCAGGCCATATTTTGTGGTGATATTCCCTGAAATTTAGGCCTTATATAGGCCTTATATATTGATGGGATGGCTGATGGCAATGAAAACTCTGCCAGTTCGTTCCATCATTTTCCCAGCAAACGAAACCTCCATGGCGTGGCTAGTCTCGGGGATTTTCCAGCCATGTTTGATGACACCGGATGGTATATCAGATGCCATCAATATCCATCAATCAGGGCCCCAAATAACTTACTAAGTCTACCCTCTGGTAAACTAACATGGCTATAGAAAATCAGTAAATCAACGAACTAAATGGCAAGTTTCAATAGCTATGTAAGAAATTACCAGAGGGTAAGTCCCATAGTATCCCATTGTTCATTATTGTTAACCCATTCTTAAACCATAAACAATCACCATTAAATCACCATCTTCTAGCGGTTAAATCACCACGTTCCTATGGTTTTCCTATGGTTTTCTTAGGGAATCACCATGAAAAATCACCATTTATTGACCAATTTCAGGCTTTTACCAAGCGCTGTCGCTTTGGACTGAGCGCCTCACATTGCACCAAAGCCGTGGATCAGCTTTTTTGGGGGGTCGAAACCCGGAAATGGCCTGATGTTCACATCAAAATATAGCTTGACTTACTGTTGCTTAACGTAGGGAATGGATGGGAATGGGGGTTGCTGGGATGATTATTGATAGTTATTGTGGATCATTCCCGAAAATTCCCTGCGTTTAGCACCAGTAAGTTGAATAGAACAAAAAAAGGATCTTCATCCTTTGATGTGAGAAAAGTGCAATGACACAATCTTTGAGCAAAGAAAGATTGGTTATAACATGTTTAATAACGGTTTTTTTCATCCCACAAAAAAATGCCGTCTTATCCTATTGAATATCTTTAAATCACCATGTTTGCATCATCCCATCCACTGGTGGTTTACCACTCCCGTCTCCAAAAGCTTCTCCTTTGTGTGGCACAGAAAATGACTGGCACAGAAACAGAGGACTTGCTAACCATCATCAAATCTCAGTATATATATATATTATTATATGTATACATATGCATGTATATGTATACATATGTATATATATATATATACTATGTATACATATGTATATGTATATGTATATATATATATACATATATATATATGTATATATATATATGTATACATATATATATATATACGTGGATGTGTATGTATGTATGTATGTATGTATGTATGTATGTATGTATGTATGTATGTATGTATGTATGTATGTATGTATGTATGTATGTATGTATGTATGTATGTATGTATGTATGTATGTATGTATATAATAATATATATATATATATATGTGTATCAATCGTTGCTAACCTTAGATACCCCTTTAAAAAAAATCGTCTTTAGTAGTGAGATAAACCCCACTAGCCTCAACGCACAAACAATTCGTACCTTACCACGTTGACAAGTTCACAGCCGAGCCGAAGCAGGATCACCTGCACTCAGAAGTTCGAGAAAATGCCCGAAAAGAAGGCTCCTGGCGTTGATGCATTGCGGTGATACTAACTGAAAATGGGTTGTCGTGACATCGACATCGAGCACCAACATTTTTGAGGTGCGAAAATCGAGTTCGGAAAATCAGCAAACATGAGGATGTTGAGCAAGAAAATCGGGCTGGTGCTTTCAGAATTTCAAACCCTCCCAAAATCTGCTGAATCTGCTGGGGATCATTGTTCAGTGATGGAAATGAAAAGCCAATGTGCCCCGAAATCACAAAGCGAATCCTGGCCCCAAAATCGTATCGCTGCTTTCGTGTATTCCCCCTATTTCCACCTGTGAAAAGTTGCTCCCAACACCCCGGGTATCCCCAGGTTGGGCAAGATTGGATCATATAAATGGTGAGATAAGAAAACAAAATACCCTCTGGTAATTTAACATGGCTATTGAAAATGGCCATTTATAGTGGATTTTCCCATTAAAAATTGTGATTTTCCATAGCTATGTTAGTTTACCAGAGGGTAAATCTGACGTAATTTCTCAATGTAATGATTTCCAAAATACCGATAGATACGGATTGTAAAGAACAACAATTCACCATCAATAGGTTATGACAGTCATCTGTTGGAGCAAACCTCAGTCATCTGGGACGATTCTTCTTTGGGATGTCTCCACAACCCGCACCACTTCTGTCCATCAAAAAATCCCTCTCGGAAATTATACAAAAGTTCTTTTTTGATGTCAGAATTGTATATTTATTATATAAAATCATATACGTATAACTACCCTCTGGTAAACTAACGTAGCTATTGAAAATGACCATTTATAGTGGATTTACCCATTAAAAATAGTGATTCTCCATAGCTATGTTAGTTTACCAGAGGGTACAATCCCTATCTTCTGACTACAAACAAAATCCTAAGAAAAGTTCCGGATTTTCCACCTGCATTTTGGCAACGGACATCCCCAACGCCGCCGCGCCTGCCACGCCTTGCACCACTTCCACTCCGCTCCTCTGTGGGAACGGCGGCATCGTCCCCTTCGCAGAGCGCTCTTCGAAGCGCCGCAAGGCCACCGCCACGCGGAGCACGGATGATCCTTGGTGCTGGGGAGCCAGAGCAAAATGGTGGGATAACCATGGAAAACCAACAAAATCCCTTAGAAATGGACTATTTTTCATGGGAAAATTCTAGATAACTATTTAAACGGGAATATATGGGATACATATATATATATGGGTTATAGTATAGTCGGTTATAGTTGCAGTGGCGCACAACCAACACAAACAGTGGTAGAATGGGGATACATCGGATATAGATAATGGGAATGCGGATGAGAAAGACACGGCTAGCTGGGAAATCCCGAAGAAATGGATGTTTGAATGGGAAATCATCGCACTAAATTGTGGATTTAACTTGATTTAACCAGCAAAAACTTGATTTCACCGGGCATTTGACCAAAAAATGCCATTGAATTGTCAAATTTCTGTTTTTTCAGCAAAGAAAGGATTTTTCAACAGCATTTTATGGTGACTTGATCAGCAAACAGCAGCTTGAAGCCAGGTCGCGGCTCGGCAGCTGCTGCAGAAGCTCGGCTAAATCCAAAAGACTCGAGGACTCCAACAGCGCATCGCGGTGGTGCAGGAGGAAGGCTAGGCAGAGGTATCCTGTGGCTGATGATGCTGATGGTTCTTTTTTCCCACCTCAAGGTGCAGTTCCAGTTGTAATTGGATAGAATTCACGACATAGTTATAGAATGTTATAGAATACATAACATTATAACCATGGTGTTATAGAGGTGATATTCCAACTTATGGAGGTTTTTGTTTGCATAGTACCCATTTCTAACCTCCTTTAAGTGCACCCCCTTCGTCGTCCATCTCCTGCCAGTTCGAAGCGCTTCAGATCCGCCAAAAAGGCGTCCCAGTAGATCAGCAGCTCCAGGAGTTCAGCATCTTTGGCCAATAGGAGCATAAACCAACGCAAGCAGACCTCGCTGCAACCACAAAGCCGTAGCAGATCTCGGAGTTTGTGTGTTTTTCATGGAAAAACATGGGGAAAATGATGGGAAAATGATGAAACATGGCATAGCTATCATAGTTTATTGGTTTCTTAGGGAAGAAAATGGGAGATACATCACTTTCAAATCGGAAAAAAACATATGGACTTCACGTGAAAAACTGAAACAAATTGGAATTGAATCAGAAATGAAGCGGTCGCCTGAAAAATGTTTTGTTCCACCAGCGGGAAGAAAAGTTTTACCTGCAAGACATGTGGATGGACTATTGTATATGACCAATCCCTCTCAAGCGGACCTGAGAGCAAAAACATGACATGTTCACCCAGATGTCTATGCAGATTTCATCTGAGAAAAAAAAATGGTGGAGACCTGGAGTGAGGAAACAGAGGGACATTTAAAGGAAAGTCTCCTGCAAACACTGTGGGTTTCACAACCTACAAAATGAACAGATATTGGATCTAGACTCTGGTAATTTAACATTAGCTATTGAAAATTGCCATTTATAGTTGATTTTCGCATTCATAGCATGGTGATTTTCCATTGTAAACGTTTACCAGAGGGTAGACTCTACCAATACCGGAGGTGCAAAACTGTCACTGGGTCCCACAGCGCAGTATGAAACATTGTGGAAATCCCCCATGGTGTTGAACCAGTTTGTTTATGATTTACCCTCTGGTAATTTAACATTGCTATTGAAAATGGCCATTTATAGTGAGTTTTCCCATTAAAAATTGTGATTTTCCATAGTTATGTTAGTTTACCAGAGGATATCATATGGGGAACCAACTAAGCTATCATCCAAACCACGTGTAGATGCCCGCGTTTCTTGATTAATTCCTGATTGTTGGAAACTTGGTAAAATATCCAAGCCCCAATCACTATTTTAGATTGGGTTTTACCAAACTTTATCTTTTTGGGCGTTGCAATTAGAATCCTTGGTTGGATTTCCAGTTGGTTGTTGGTTCACTGTTCCATTGTCTTCCATTCTTCCATATTCCAATGGATCATCATCATGTTCTCTACTAAAATGGCTATGTGTTTTCAATGGAGTCATCAGGATATCCACTAAGCATGCTTAAGCCATGGATGTCCATCATTTTTTGTCCATTTTCCGTTGATAATGCCCCTGTTTTCCATGTGCCATTGATAATTTCAATGATCCATGGATAATCCAATCCATATCCATCATTAATGGATATCCAATGATATCCATACATATACATATAAATTTGGATATTATTGGATATCCATAGTTTAATGATGGATATTATCAATTGAAAATGAAATATGTATGAAAATATGATATCCCCCTGTTTTCATATGATATGTTTCCATGTTCCATTGATAATCCATTAAAATGCTATTCCCCTGTTTTCAGACAAACCCACTGGTCAACAAGGAACCACTCCAGGCTCGAAGCCCAAAGCTTCAAAGTGCTGAGCCAACTCCTCCGGCATTGAGATGCTTCAGAAATGGCAAAACATCAAAAAACGGCTGTACTTAATGGCGTTTAACCATGTTTAACCACCAAATGGAAACTCTTATGGGCTCAACATGAGTTAAGCAACAATTTCCATTTTCTGAACTCTGAAAAAGAAACATGTTGAATTTCAAGAGAGGGGTGGTTTTGCCAACAAAAAAGGATCGTGCTTCATTGGTTTAAGCAACAATAAATGGATTTGACGGCAAAGATGGCAATCGAATCAACAAAAGCTGGCGTACCTCATGTTTTTTTGCCAACAACAAGATCTTATGGTTTTAACATGGTTTAACATGGTTTAAGTAACAAGTGGTTTATAACAAAAACACGGCAAAACATGGCTTTGGCTGAAAATTGCGCAAACCCACTGGTTTTAGACCCATGTTCCCTCACCCAGATGGAGGTTTCCTGAAATATAGGTAGCCCAAGTCACCATAGGTTTCATCATACTCTAAGTTAATTACTTTGGTATTATCCATACGAAAACCATGGTCTTGAGTTTCCAAAAATAATCATGGGTAGCCCGGTAGCCCCTAAATCATCCATTTTCATGGGATTTGCCATTATAAACCATCCATGTTGGGGATCCCCCATTTTCAAACACACCGACAATATCCAGTGTATGGCTAAAATCAATCCAGACTCGCTGTCGTACTTGCACAACAGGCTGTCCTTGCGTCTCCGCTGGTGGGTCGATGGAAAATCATTCCACGACTGGTACCGGGTAAGTGAGTGGGCTTATAACCTAGTAGAAAATGGTGGTTTCCTAAAATGGGGGTACCCCAAGATCATGGGTATCAATACTAAAATGATCTGATTTTGGATGATTTGGGGTAGCCCTATGTTAGGAAACCACCATTTTAATGGGATAACCCCACCAATCGGGGATGATCCTGAAAAAATTGGATCATCATTGAAGTTAGATTCATTTGACACAAATTATTACCCTCTGGTTATGTCAACAGTTTGCTATTGAAAATGACCATAGAAATAGTGGATTTTCCCATGAATAATGGTGATTTTCCATAGCTATGTTAAATTACCAGAGGGTACTGGGTGAAATATGACACCCAGTATGATGAACACCCAGTTTTTTTTATTGGGTGAATGATAGTTAAATTTCACCAGTATTCATTCATTGTCAATGACAGTATGATGGTTAATACTGGGTGAATGATGGTTAATCACGGTGATCAATGGTGATGAATGTTGATATGCCCTCTGGTAATTTAACACAAATATTGAAAATCACCATTGTCCATGGGTAATGATCTATGAATGGGTCATCTTTCTGCTAGTTTGCTGGAGGGTATTTTCAGAGATGGACAATAGGAAATATATCCTCAACCATCCAAATTCTAGATGGAAAAAATGGAAATCATCCAGTTCTGCACAAATAGAAACAAAAAAATATGAAAAAAAACACCCAAAAAAATCGTGACCATCTTGGTGTTCCTTTTTGGATAAATGATGGTCAAACATTATCGGAGTTTAAAGTACTCAAAAATTAACAACCCAGATGCTCACCTATTTGCCTTTAACATCCTTTAACAAAGTGTTGTGATGTCCATATTTTTTGTCGCAACAGGATCTCACTGAGGGTCAAAGTTTTTCGGATTTGTTTGTCGCTTGTCAACCCCTTCTTGTTGCTGATTAATGCTGATTACACTTATAATTTAGGTCGTTTTTTCGGGGAATTATATCAATTGTTTTCCTCAATGCCGCCATGTTTTGTCCTTTACGAATGGTGGTTGATGAAACACCCCAAAATTTCATCGCGTCATTTTTTCTTGGATGTTCCCAAGGAAAACCCATCGATTTCCATCTCCAAAGCAGTTCAGAAGTATCGACTTGGAGGATCCCACGACCCTGGTTAGATCTGGTAGGTCCCCGATTCGCAGGGTCCCATGTAAGTGGACCTACTAAGTACGTTACCCCGTTAGTATGTGATCTAACCTGGTTAGTATGTTATCCCATTTGTAAGTGGGCAAACTAACCCCACTAACCATTTATCCACGGGATAATCTTCCAAGAACTCAGGACCTGAGCGGCCAAGGCGCAGAGGTGCCAACCAATCCATGCACCGAGGCAGTGCTGTGTTGAACATCACTTATGCCTGGAGGTGGACTTTTGTCGGCCAAATGGTTTTGTTTATCCAAAGAAAAACATGAGGTATATGTTCATTCCATTACTTTGTTATATATATATACAATGGTTACAAGATATATCCTAATTTAAAAAATATACCACATACTCCCCGGCACGCGCCGGGGAATAAGTTTCGAAAAAATGAAACAACTATAGGAAGAAGATGGCCTATAGAAAGTTTTTGAGATGCAGAAGCAACGGAGTGTTAAAGTTGTGAGATGCATCAACGAATGAGCCAACGGTTGTTGAGATGACAGTGAAATGGCATGAAAGAATCCATGTACAGCCGACTGAATGAATCAACGAACCAATGACCATGAGTCGATGAGGCATTGAATCGATGAATCAGTAAATCGATGAAAGAAATAAGCAATGAATCAATGAATCAGACGATGAACCAATCAATCAATCAATTAATCAAGGAAGCAATAAATCAACGAAGCAACAAAGCAACGAACCAATGAATCAATGAACGGGTGAATCAATAAATCGGTGAAGCCATGAACCAGTGAACCAATGAATCAGTGAATCAAGCATTGAACCAACGAATCAGTGATTCAACGAATCACTGAATCAATGAACCAATTGCTCAACGAATCAGTGAATCGATGAATCAAGAATACAAGGAATCAATGAATCAATGAATCGGTGAATCAATGCACGATTGAATCAATGAATCAGCGAAGCAATCATTGAATACTGAATCAACGAATCAATGAATCAATCTCTTCGCTGAGACACCTCTTCTCTCAGCTACTTCTTCTCTGAGCAGCCACTTATCCGGGCCACTTCTGCTCTGAGCTGCCTCCGAGCTAACTCTTTTGTAGCTTCTGCAACCCAATTCTTCTCTTCGCGCAGCTGTTACAATGCGTTTAGCAACCTCCAGCATCCCGCTTTCCAGGAGCATCGCAGCATCACTCATGCTTTGCTGCGCGCAGCCATGCCAATCAACGTTCGCGACAATGGGGACTCGACCACACAAATCCGGCTTCCAAAAGTGCTCCAGCGTCGTGAATTCTTTAGCATGTCGAAATGCAAATCTCTTCTCCCAGTCCTGTGCACTTTTTGCCGACCTCCAAGTTCTCCGGCGTCGTCAGTTTTGTACATGTGGAAGTGCAAATCGAGCTCTTGCTACAGTCCTGCGCACTTTTTGTCCTACGGCGACCACGGAGCCACTTTACCCGAAAAAATACAGGGTTTCGCGCCCGAGAGTGTTTTCACCCGTGACTTCCCACGCGGCCGAACTGTTACACTTCCCAACTACTTGACGATGGGTGGTTGACATGATGATGTGGTCTACATGATGGTGGGAATGCGAAGACAATCGTCTGTAACTCGGAAGTTTTCTACCTAAACTTCCTTTGATAATATGAAATATGATATGGATAATATATGTGTATACTGTATACCAATAGTTATGACACAACCAGCCATTTTATAGGGGATCACGGCATGTGGAAAAACATACATACATAACCAACAATATGGGAAATGGGAGAACCTGTTCCCCAAAGGCATGCTGGGTCTGTCCATTGAACCGGGACGATTTGAAAGTGTCGCAGTACCCAAAAAAAAGACATGACACTATATCAGCCATGTCTTATGTCTATGCACAGATCGTATATACCAAAAATCGTTGGTGGTTTCAACATGTTTCAACCTCCTGAAAAAAATGGTTGGCAGTCGGGATCATCATCGCAGTTTCGGGTTGAAATAAAACGTCTTTGAAACCACGGTTACCCTTTTTGGATCATTAAAAAATCCCCAATGAACCGGATCTGGGTTTGTCCGAAAATTTCATACCCTCTGGTAAACTAACATAGCTATTGAACATGGCCATAGAAATAGTGAGTTTTCCCATTGGGACAGTTTACCAGACGGTACCTCCAAATTTGATGATGTATCATAATTTTCTCAATTAAATGGCCAGTTTATTGGTATCCCAAACGTTCAGACACACCAAGTTATATCAGTGCATGGCTACATCAACATCATTTATAGTCGGCCAGCCATTATTTATTTATATCTATTTCATCATTTATGTACATGTATATGTATGTGTATATATATATCAGGTATCATATATAATATATACATATATATTATCACATTAGTTTATTTTATTCTATTTCAGATGTTATTATATTATATTATGTTATATTATATTATATTATATCATATCGTATTATATTATATTATATATTATATTGTATTATATTATATTATATCATATTATTATATATTATATATTATATATTATATATTATATATTATATATTATATATTATATATCATATATTATATATTATATATTATATATTATATATCATATATTATATATTATATATTATATATTATATATATTAAATATTATATAGTATATATTATATATTATATTATATATATATATTATATATATTATATATTATATTATATATATATTATATATATATTATATATATTATATTATATATTATATGTATTATATATTATGTATTATATATTATATATTATATATTCCATTATATTATAGTATATTATATTATATTCCATTATATTATAGTATATTATATTTTACTATATTACATTATACTGGTTATATACTATTATATACTATTGTATACTATTATATACTATTATATACTATTATATTATATCATACTATATTACATTATAATATATCATATTATACTATACTATATTATATTATATGATATTATATTACATTATTTTATTAGTTTATATATATATGTAATATATATATATATATTCATTTCATGACTAGACTACCTCCCCATGCTTGATGGTTTCACCAACCAGTCTTGCATATTTATTCCCCAATCCATTCATTTCCATACTTTTTGAAAGTCAAGGGTCTTGTACCATCCAACCATTCACCATCATTAACCAACCATTTGTTCATCTCCCTATCCATTACATTAACCATCATTAACCATGAACCATCTAATTACTCGTTGGTGGTTGAGCCACCCCTCTTAAAAATATGAGTTCGTCAGTTGCGATGATGACATTCCCAATATGATGGGAAAAATCATCCAAATGTTCCAAACCACCAATCAATTATTGTCAATGACAGTATGATGGTTAATACTGGGTGCATGATGGTTAATCACGGTGATCAATGGTGATGAATGTTGATATGCCCTCTGGTAATTTAACACAAATATTGAAAATCACCATTGTCCATGGGTAATGATCTATGAATGGGTCATCTTTCTGCTAGTTTACTGGAGGGTATTTTCAGAGATGGACAATAGGAAATATATCCTCAACCATCCAAAATTCTAGATGGAAAAAATGGAAATCATCCAGTTCTGCACAAATGGAAACAAACAAATATGAAACAAAACACCCAAACAAATCGTGACCATCTTGGTGTTCCTTCTTGGATAAATGATGGTCAAACATTATCGGAGTTGAAGTACTCAAAAATTAACAACCCAGATGTTCACCTATTTGCCTTTAACATCCTTTAATAAAGTGTTGTGATGTCCAAATGTTCTAATCCATGGTTATTTATACATATTACATATGTTGTGGTGTCATCCAGTGATCAATGGAAATCAATGGTGATTAATGGTGATATACCCTCCATCCATTTCAGCAGCGCCACGTGTCTTGATCTCCGCCAGCAACGCCGCGAAGCACCAGAAGGCGTCTGCCTCGGCGCCGGCGATTTCGCTGGGCGCCGCGGCAGCGGTGAAGACGTAGAGCAGCACGGCGGCCATGTGAGTCATGCCCTGCACCTAACGGATGGTGGAAACGGCCCAAAAGTCGGGATCCAAGCCGCCAAAAATGGTGGATTTTTGATCCAACCCGGAAAAAAATGGTGGATTTTGGAGGGTTGAAACAACAAAAAACAAGATTCAATTCAAAGAAATGGGAATTTCACCAGCAAAAATGGTCGATTTTGCAGGGTTTAACGGTTTAACCTTCAAAAATCAGGATTCAACCAGCCAAAGTTTTTGGGATGTGATGACCTGTGATAGCTCAGTTGGTTCAGCCATCGATAAACATGGGGTATTGTTGTTTATATATATATATCCCACGAATTCCCATAAAATATCCTGTCAAATGTCGTATCTTGTTTGACCCATTGCGATCGGAAACGGGCCAAGGTTTCAGGTGGGGCCCTAAAAGATGAATTGGGCCAGAGATCACCAGGTTGACAGTTTATGTAGATATATCTAGATATACTGATATACTGGTTGGTGGTTTTAACCATCTTCAAAAATATTACTCAATGGGAAGGATGACATCCCATATATATGGAAAATAAAAATGTTCCAAACCACCATCCAGTATATAACTATAGCCTATTATAGCTCCTAGACTACCTATAGTTATGGAATGTTATGGATAGATGTTAAATAAAACATCCAAACAGACCAAACTTACTGGTTGTTTAAACCAAACTATGACTGGGGGGCACCACCTTGTAGCCAAAAACAAGGACTCTTATGACTCAGCAAAAAATGATGATGCAATACATGGTGATAATTCACGCCATTCAGTACCTATGAGTTCTGTTTCAGTGTATAGATTTATGATGATTTATGTTGGTAGATACCTTGCGGTTTTTAGCTGGTTTGGCAAATTCGTGTATGCCCACTTATAGCAAATGAATAACATTAAATAACGTACTAAAGTACACATCCAGTTGGTTTACCCAGAATATAAGGTTGAAAATCAATCAAACCAATAAGTAAGTGAATAAATTGGTTTAAAGAACGGTTCAGCTGTTGGATTTGTGGCGACTGTAACTTTGGTTACATGGGTTTAACTTGCAACTAAGGGTTCCCTGCAAAAAGCTACTAGTGTATTTCCACAACAAATTGCCAAAAAGAAATATGACCCATACCATGCACCTATCAAAAAAGGCTTACCCAATCTTCTTGAAGCTGGTCTCCCAATCATCACGTGGTTGGTAAACTCTGATTGTAGCTCCTTGGCTCCCTGTTCAATAGGGAGTCTGGATATAGCTACAGCTTCCTCCTCGACCAGATAGATTGGGATTTAAACCGTTTCAATTGTGAATTTGACCAACTTAAATTAGCTTTTTTCCGACTTGAACGGGGATTTCATTAAGCAGCAATTCAGTGGTTCCAATCAGTAAAATCCCCCCATCTTCATCCCAATTTGTTGCGCGGGAAATCCCGATCTTCATAGCCATTCTGATGTTTAATCAGTAATTAATTATTATGAACCATTTTTTCTTAGCCATTATTACTGATTAAACATCAGATGAACTAATTGTTAGCCAGTGGTTATACTATTGGTTATAATTATGATGAACCATGTTATTTACCATTCTTAGCCATGAGTATAACCATCATTCACCGATGTTCTTCGTGTCGTCATCGACGAGACACCAATGGCAAATTACCATCGGAGGAGACCAAGTACAGAGCCATGATGGACAGCAAGGAGCCCTGCTGCACCTGTGGCCATGGCTTAGCCATGCTTAACCAATACCAAAAAAATGAAGCTTCAAATAGAATCATAAAGGTGGGGTTCAAGATGGTTTAAGCACTATAGAATACCAGAAGATTCTGGTTTTGATACAGTAAACTGAGGGTGAGCCAACGTGAAATGGCAGTTGTCGATGATTTACAGGATATTTGGGGTGTGGGTCACCAATGGTCCCACAAAAACTGAATCGCAGGTCAGGACCTGCCATCCAAAAATCCAATCTTGAAGGTCCTACTTGGAGGATCATCCCACTTATAAACTGGTCAATCTGGTTTTAAATATATATACTGTATATATATATGTGTGATTATATGTGCGTTTTTATATTTATAACATCACCCTTGTTCTGTAACCCATGCAAAAATGGGATTCGGATGACCCCCTTGACAACTTAAGCACCCCGGACCTTGTGCTGAAAGTGGCGCACAGTTTGTTCCACCTCGTCCTTCAATGCCTCCAACCTCTCCTTCAAATGGTCCGCCGATAGAAGGAAGATGTCCTGCCCCTCCATGCGAAGGGAGTCCTGCCAGGGCTCAGGGTGGTGTGTTTTTTGAAGCAAATGAGTAACTGAAAGCCGACCAAAATGATGATATGATCAACCACAACTGGTTGAGTTGGTGTATAAACATTGTATCCCTAGGCTAGATCAGTTTATGGGGATATAAATCTACAGTTGGATGGACTCAATTCAACCGGGAGGACCCAACATTCAGCACTTGGATAACCCCAAAACAGAATGGTGTAAGTGTGGACAGCGAATGATGATTGATGATTAAGCTGACCAAAAAGTCTGGGCCACTCGATCTTTAATTTTGACCCATGCCCAAATATATCATATTTTTCATGATTGTTCCATGGCTGCCCCTGACACTGGTCAGTGTTTCGGTTGCAGGTGCAAGACATTGAACAACAATTCAAAAGGATTGGCCAGGCAAGGCCGCAAGGAAATGAAATCTCGGGATAGTTCCCATCAAGACCCCTGCCAGAACCCCTGGTTTCATGGTGGCTCTGGTCATTCAGGACCCTCAGGGGCCGGCTTTCGCAAATGGAAAGGCGCTAATGATGTGAACTGCCCCTTGTTCTTGGACACACTCAGTAGAACAATGTCGAGTATGGGTACGAGCGCAAGATTTGGTTCTACTGTGAACAGCCCCACAATGACGAGGATCGTCTCTTGGAGATGCACTGGATGGGTTGCTTGGAACTGTTTGCTCAGCATTTCTTTTCATAGTTTTCTTTGACGAACAAGAGAAGCAACAATCAACCTGGGAATATAGTCTATAAAATGACTATCATCATGCACTGGAATAGAAATGAATAGAAAATAGAAACCAATACTCACTGCCAAAGATTGCCAAATCTGACACACGTTTCAACCTATTAGCTCTCAACATTGATGCCTTCAAAAACTCTAGAATTCAATTAGTGTCCAGCCATGTTTGAATCCTTGGGCAAGGCATGGGTTGCCATCCCCATCACAGCTCATTAGTTTACCGCAATGAAGAACAGATGTTGTTAAAGATTTTTTGTTCAATGGTCAAACCCTCACTTTTCAAAGGCCAAATCCCCATTCTTGCGCCTCAAGTTCCGACTTTTGCTGCTGGTGAAATCTTGACACACCAGCATTTTTTCCGGATTGGACCCCCTCACGTTTCCCAGAAATCTCAAGTTCTCATCCAAGTTGTATTCACTTTTAATTGGGAAACCAATACACCCCTCATTACTGGCACCCTTGTCGGAAATCTCCAATGTTTTGCTGGTGAAATTGTTGTAAACCACCAACAAAACCCAAGTTGTCATCCTAATAATAGCTCATAAGGGGTACCCCTATTGTTGGAAATCCTTACAGGATGGTGCCCCCCAGTTATAAGTTGGCTAAAAAAAACACTATAACCCCCATTGACTATAGCTATATCTACTATAAATCACAGTTAAGCCACTTATAAGGCAACTTAGCTATCTTGGGGGCCTCATCCTGTATATGTATACTACATATACCCGTATTGTTGGAAATCCCCATTTTGTTGCCGCGAAAACCCCACCATTGCTTGAAATCGCCTCTCCTTCCAGCGCCTGGCAAAGGCATCGCGTCGCCCCTGCTGGACCCTGCGCCACTCTGCTGGGCTGGCTATTGGCCTGGGCGGGGCCCCGCTTGGGAATCGCGATTTCAGCTATAGGAAAAATTGTGATTTAACTGATTTAGCCAAGAAAAAATATTATATATATATATATATATTTAATGAAATATGGAGCTGATTAGATGGTCACCCCCCTCATGATCTACCTACAAGCATTTTGTATGGGAATTACCATTATATATAGATATAATGAAGTATAGAGCTGGTTTATGTTAGCTAACTCGGCCCAAATAACTATCGTAAATAGGAGTTGTGATATCTATAGTTAGATAAAATTTAGATGGGATTTAGATGTGATCGAGATGTGATTTATGATAGCTATATAAATTGATTTGACCCATCAAATGTGATGCTTTCACCATCAAGAATGGTGATTTAGCCAAGCTCGCCAGACATGTCCTCATCTGCTACTTGTTGGTGGATGACTATAACTCCAATTCGCAAATGGGCATGCCCCTCCGCGAATTTAACACCGCTATTGAAAATTGCTGTTATTACCTATCAAAAATGGAGATTGTCCACAGATATGTTAGTTTACTGGAGGGTAGAAGAATTCTTTCGGCGGTCGGCGGGAAACTTACCCTGAGACATAGAGAAAGATTTAGAAAATCCGTGGCCTCAAAAGAAAATGAACCAAGTATATAAACCGCTGGCAATGTGCCTTCCGGTAGTCTAGCCTTGGAAAATGGCCATGATAGACAAAATCATCCACAAATCCGTCATCTTCTTTGCCCGAAAACCAAAGGGTTGAACCCCCCTGGCAGGTTCCTGCCGTGTGACAAGTACCCCAGCAGCAGTTTCCAGCACAGCGCCCGCAGCTCCCGGGTGGGCTCCGGTCGCGAGGTAAGGAAGGAGCGGATCGCGTCGACTCCTGTAGCCCGTGGGAAGAATTTATGGCACTAATCTACATCAAACTATCATTTTTCCATGAACCTTCAGATATCTTTAGAGCTAATTGAAGAAAGGAGTTGTTTAGCCGTTCTTTAGCCGACCAAAATGGGTTGTTGCCGGTAAAATGATGATATTGCCAGCAGGATAGGTTAGTTAGCCAGCAAGAATTGGCAGTTCACCAGCAACAAGGGTGTTTAAACTAGCAAGAATTGTCACCACTCTGGTCAAACTGTCTGTTGGTTGGCACATTATTGCAGCCGAGTTACTCTTCGTTATACAATGGTACACTAACATAGATATGGAAAAGCCACCGCATCGTGAAAGTAGATGATTTTCCCAACCGGAAACAACCATCCATTTCAATCTACAGTAGTTTTATATGCGTATTTATAGTGTATACCCCAGGGTATTCTTGGAGAACTCCGCCCTCCTTCGACCAATCTTAGATACCCTGCATTTTCTGCTGGTTTGTTTAACATATCGCCGTTTCTTGGAACAGATTGAACATCTAAACTACCGATCCAGTTATGTAATCCAGTTGGCTTCCCTACTTCTATCAGCTATATCACATCATATCACATCCCATTATATCATTCATATCCTCATTATGCATAAATTGATAGAAATTGCTGGTAAATCCGTAGATCACCCCTTAAATCCAGGTCTCAAATTCCAAACAAATAAATTCAACAAAACAAAAGGAAATTGATTTCTATCAATTTCTATTACATCTTGTATAAAACATGGGTCATTAAATGTCCCCATTGAACATCACCCAACCATGAATGGTATATGGTCTACTAGATGGCTACTTTTTCAGGTGATGTCCAATATTCCCAAAATGGGACAGTTACCAACCCCTGTACATCTTATATAAGCCATGGTTATTATAAATCCCTATGAACCATTGGATGACTAGCCCCTATTAATGGTTATTAACCATGAGTATTGACCATAGCTCATATAAAAAAGAAACTCTAAAAAAACAAAAAATGACCCGTTTCATCCCCAGATCACCTTCTCGTTCCACCAGCGCTGTGAGCTCCGCTTCCGTCGCGGCGCTGGCGCTGGCACTGCTGGCACTTTGCGACACCTCCGAGGGGTAAAGCCTCGCACAGTCGCGTCAACCAGAGTCGGCCGTGGGGCCGTGGGGGGTTTACCGGGTTTGACATGACCAATCCATGTATTTTTTGCGGGGACTTCACCAAAAATCATGGGATATGGGATCAAGAAACCCTGATTCAAAGGACAAATGCGTCTTTAATTGTTGTGGTTTGATATGTCCAATTGCGCCCATTGCAAAGGATGGAAGCAATTTTTCTCGTACCCAACCAAGGTTGACCTAGGATTTATTCAATAAAAATTAGGAGTTACGACCAAGGATCGGGGTAAATATCCACCCAGAGGCAGAGATTTAAGATATTTAAGTGGGATCATCTAAAATTTACCCTCTGGTAAACAAACATAACTATGGAAAATCACCACTTTAATAGGTAAATTAACTATAAATGAACCATTTTCAATAGCTATGTTCGTTTACCGGAGGGTATCTAAAATTTACGGGATCTGATGAGGTTGGGAAGATGATGTAAAATCCGCACTTGGATAGTGGCCTTCACTACTGTCAGGATTTAGGCAGCTGAGAATGGTCAAGATCATCCATACAAGGTGCCCCCCCCAGCTGTGTTTGTTGGTCTATTTAACCTATTAAGTATAGATATATCCACTATAAACCCAATATATTGGAGTTATTGACACCAACATAGCTAACTATGAGGGCACCAGCTTGTATTGCAATAACTGTTGGATTTCCGTCCCCTGAAACAAAGATCTGACTTGGCCACACTTTTTTTGGTACACCCTGCAACTCTCATGTCTCTAGAACTCCAACCTCCGTCCATACGGAAACCGTGGGTGTGTCCATATCGTTTTGTTAATCTACCCGAGGGTATATCCCTTTTAAGAAAAGTATTTTCTTGGTTGGTCTCCCCGTTTGCCACGCGTGTCCACCACATAATAACTAATACTAGTTCATGTCCTAGTGATATCCAGTTATGTATATATACATATGTATATATATATATATCCAGCCATCTTCCTCAACGGCCAACAATCACTTACACTCACATGCAACAGCTAGTCAAGTCGGTATGCTAAGGTCATGCAAAGGTGTTGCAAGCCAAAGGTATCACAAATTCACAAGTCATTCATAACTGGTTGGGGGCTGACCTACCCCTGTGAAAAATATGAAAGTCAGTTGGGATGATGAAATTCCCAATATATGGAAAGATAAAAAAATGTTCCAAACCACCAACCAGATAACTTATGAGCCAATTCTAGTACTTAACTCTAATCGAATGTATTATAACTCGCAAGTCAAGCTAATTCCATACTTGTTGCTCAAAGGCAACAAGCACCCTCGGTAACAACAAAAACACAACTTTTCTGTCACGACTTGAAAAGTTCCATTTCTTTCAGGTGGTGACCATCAGCTTTTTGAGTGGAAGCTACCAGAAGCCACACTTTGCCGAGCTCGCATTGCACCAACTTATAGCATAAATCATCACAAGTCACATGAAAATCTCTATTTTGGCTGATGAAAGCCTGATTTGGGTTGGTTAAACCCTCAAAAACTCAGATGTGTCCTAGTTAAATTCCCATCTGCGTAAAGAAATTCCCAGCCACATTTCTTCCGTCATTTTTCGACCATTCATCCAGGCCACGTCTTCGACAGCAGATGCACTGCCTCCACTGGTGGCACTTGGTACTTCACCCCCAGCTGTGCCCAGAGCTCGCAGCTGTCCCCAGAGTAGCTGCTGACGATGGCGTTGACGCTGGAGAGGTTTTCCTCGAGACGCACCGTAGAGCTTCCACTAGCCATGTGGATGTGTCTGGAATATACTCTGCAAATGATGATTTTCATGAAGGAAAATGGTGATTGGAAAATGGGGCTGGTGTCTGGAATTTAAGTGGTATCCAAGGACACATGCATCGTTGCCCGTTGAAGTGGTTCATAAGCCATGTGGATGTGGCTGGAAATTGGCGATATTTCCCAAATGACTATATTTTAATGAAGGGAAATTGTAATATGAACCATCAGGTGTAAGGGGTAAGCCAGTTTTATATAACCCAAACCATGTATAATGCGGGATGTTCCCTGTGCTAATATTAATATTATGTAATACATATGTGTATATACTATATATATATATACTATATATATATCATTTTCGTGGTAGGTTGGCTATTAGCCATTCACTTGCACACACACCGCCTAGGGTGAAAGATCCTTTCGGGGATAGGTCCAACTCCAGCCTCCACCCGCCAATTTGCAGAGATATTTCAGGTGAACACACTGCACACAACGAGCTACTGGATTGCGGCTTTTGTAGAACGACACCAGGAGAGCACGCCTCAAGACTCCCCGACCCGGGAGAGGAGACGAAATTAGGATGATAGGATAGGAGACCCCCAAATAATGGTTGGGTCTACGAAGTGCAGCATTTACGACAAACAATCACTTGGAATTGTCCAGTTTCATTACCAGAAGGTGGCGAATCTTAACCAGCTATTCCAACAGGTCAGCGAAACAGGGGGCTCCCTTGGTGTGAGTTTGTCTGAAAACAGCTACTGGTTCATCATCTTCCCCATTTTGGAAGGCAGTTCTGAGGTATCCTGCATTTTCAAACAGACAGAAATATCATATTGTTGGTGGCACAGCATGTATATATATATATACATATACACATATATGTATGTATATACATATCCCAATGACATTCCCGAATTGTTTTTTCCGAGAAAGGATGAAACCCCCATGTCTCAAGGCTTTTGAGGAAAAAATAAGGGCCGGTTTGGAATATCATGTCTTATCATCTACCTATTGGTTGTTGAATCAAAATCCTCAATAAACCAAGCAGTCGGTTTTAAGGACTCTATGTTAGGAAACACGTAGATGGTTTTCCCAGCTATAAACCTCCATTTAGCTCAGGGATTTCCGAAAAAACCATGAGAATCCCCATGTTTCAGGTCTTTCAAATTGTTGGTTATACATATATATATACGTATAATTAGATAAATGTCAATAATATTCCCATACATTTTCCCAATGTTCCCATACATTCCCAGAATCCTCAGATGAATATGTCAGGAAAGAGAAATATACATAATATGTACTATGGTTACTATGAAGGTTTGATGTCATATTATCCCCATTGGTATATGATGGTTTCTTAAAATGGATCCCCAAGTCACCATTGGTTTGAATACTAATTCAAATGGTCAAACTTGGGAATATTTGGGGGTACTCCAGTACTCCATATTTTAGGAACCTCCATATTTCAAGGCGCAAAAGGCCTTAAGTTTCCCGCCATTCCCGCCGGCTTGCAGTGCTCGATCTTCCGCGCTGAAGTCCGCTGGGGCGCTGGGCGGCAGATGGGCGGCCCTGAGGTGCAAGGAGGGAACAACAACTAAGAAACCAACAAAAATGGTGCTTTAGTGATTTAAACACAACAAAAATGATGCTTTAACCTACAAAAATGGTGCAATAAAACCAACAAAGATAGTGATTTAACCAAGAAAAATGGGGATTGATCTATCCAAAATGGCCAACATGAATAGTTATATGTTTTTTTAGCATGGAGAAAACCAAACAAATCAAACATGAACGATTACCAAGTAACATTCCCATACGAAGAAACCATTGAGGGAAACTTATAGTGATTCCTAATTGTTAAAAAGTGGAATTACTAAGAATATATTAAGATTACATGGTAATTATATATATATCAATTAATTAGACCCATTACTCATATAATAATTATGGTCAGTGATGGGAATAATTGATAATTACCATGCTGATAATTATGCAATAATGGGATAATTATGAGGATTGGCCCATAACAAGATCACTTTCACTCGAAAATTACCAGGATGTACACATCGAAAAATAAGTTTAAGCAACAAAACACAACAAAATAGCAGGACTTACGTTTCAAAAACATTGACATTTAACCAAAAAAACATGAAACATTGAATCTAACTTTCAGAAGTTGGAATGTACTAGTACGCATCAACGTTTGTTGGAAATTAGGCAAACAAATGACCGACAAACATGATGTGTCAACCTAGGAAGGGAAAAGAACGGTCGATATGTGTACGTTCATCTACCCAATTTTGAGGGTCATGTGGCATCAGTTCCCAGCTCACCCCGTCATCCCCAAGTCCTACTGACAAGTTGATATACCGAAATGGATTGGTCAGATTTAGTCGGTAACTCCCATTGAACCAGTGAGAATGGTTATCGTAACCAAGCAAATACAATAGTGACTATACACTGTTTCAGCAGGAAGTTATTTTTCTATCTTTGTGGGGGTTGCTATGGTTCGTTCTCAACAACTAGGGGCTTTAGGCACCGCTCATCTGCTTGCAAATATTTTTGAGAAGTTCCATTAAAAAAAATCGGGCGTTTCTTGATATTGTTTCAGGGGTCATACTACCCTTCGTATACTCTTAAGATAACCACAACTCATATACTGGGATTCCCAGCCAACCATCATCGTTTTTCGAATGTTCCGAGAATAGTAATATTGACATGTCCCAAAATTCCAAACCTTCGATGAGTCCATGATTTTTTGGCGTCCCAATTCCCAATTCTTTACTGGTTCAACTCCTACCATTTCCCGGACCTTTGTTGGATCAGTAGGTGAACTTCACTTTGATCCAGGAGAGACGTTGGACTGTCCACATTTTCATGGTCAATGCATGTTCATACTATAAATGATGGCTGAATCCTGTTAATACCCCTGCAAGAATCCATGTTTTACGTGTCTTTTGGAATCTTCAAATAGGTTAACTCACACTGTATATTTTTGCATCACTTTGACCAGGGCCTCCATCGAAAAGCCGAGCTTCCACAGCTGCTCCTCGCTGGTCGCGTCCGGTCCTGGTGCTCAAAATCGATACATCTTTACATCTTTGCAAAAACGGAAAACTATGTTTATTTGTATATATATATATACTGACTATAAGGTATACTTATGTACAACATATGTATACTGATTATGATGTATAATAATGTATTATATATATATTACAGTATACATGTTCTGTATACAATTATACCAGGGTTCTGTATTTTATGTGTATTCATTGAAGTGGATAAGGATCAAGACCCTGGTACTATAAGGAGTCAGCTCATGTCATCGAAAAGCCGGTGACCCGACATACCCCTTGTAGCTTTGCTACATAACTGGGTGGGTACTTGCGAAACAATCTTTCTAAGTCATAGGCTCTGGTTCTATGGTTTGGATCATCAACAAAAAAACCATAGAACCATAGAACCATGGTTTGCAAACCATAGAACCAACAAAAAAAATGGTTTTTTGTTATGGAAAGATCTCAACAAAAAATTGCGGTATTGCATGGAAAAAAAATGAAGCACGGCGGGCCAGCTTCGGGGCGTTTTGCAAATTTTCGCATCGAACAAATAGGCTGCATCCTTTTCTACGAAGGAGGCTGTGACTGGAAGAGATGATGATCACCAAAGGTGAAACACGCCTGGTTTTCAAGCAGCCTTCATTTTCCTGTGGGTTTTGATTGCTGGTTTCTGATTGTAGCCTTTATTTTGCAGCGCGTATTTCCCACATGAATGCTTGAATCTCAATTGTTCTAATAGTAGTTGCTCCCCCTTCTTGGTGTAACCTTGTCCAGTTTTGTTGTTTAGCCTTTCGTCAAGTTTGTCAACGTTTCAACGTTCATTTTCATATGGCATGTGTTTGTGACCGACATGGTGTTCATCCGGGGGCTAAGGGGCAATAACGTTCGTGTTCCCATGCGTTCGATCGGCAGCTGGTTTTCGAAACTCCGGGGTTCTGCTGCATATGCCATGGCATCTGGGAATCTGCTCATTTTCGGCCTGGAAAGGTACAAAGAAAGGGAAATACCAGAGGTGTTCATAGAAAATTTGCTCATTTTCCGCCCTTACACTCCTGCAAGCTAATATAGATGTGGAAAAAAAATTAGCATGTGTTTATAGGTAAACCATGGATGTTCCACATCCATGTTAGTTTATGCAAGGGAAACCCCCGCAGATTCTGCTGTCCTGTCGGCACCTCGTCATGCTCCAAATCCGCAAGCAGTTGGGCGAAGAAGGCCTGGGCTCAGGTTAAATAACAATGGATGATGATCAAATCAGAAATCCCTACATATAACATATATATATAATTACATATAACTATATATTTAATATAGATATAGTCTATATAGATAGATAGAGGTATAAATGTTTATATATATATAATATATTTATTTATATATGTAAGTATATGTTTGTATATATATATAGAGGAATAGTTGAGGTATTATCCTGCAGGATGGTGATGGGATACAGGAAGGCCCCCCCCGGCAAGTTATGGTTGCTGGTCTATATTCACCCATCCAACTGCAGATATCTCTACCACAGACCCCAGATTTGACTATGGTTTTATGGCAGCTACATCTATAATTAACGCGGTTAACCATGGTTAACCAACTTGCCTCAGGGGACCTTGGGTGTGAATCAAAACCTGGGTTCGGAGATGTGAAATGATTCCCGAACCACTTGGATGGTCACCAATCTTCTTTGAATGTGCATGTTGGTTCAACTGAACCCCATTCTTGCCGGCAGCATTTCACACTATTGCTGCTTAAATGTTCAATCTGCCAGTTGCTACGTTTTATTGATCCGCGTAGATTGTACTATGCGCTAACCTGCAATATTATCATTTTAGGATGGTTCCCTAACTATCATGGTACAGGACGTCGCAGTGAGGTAGTTCTATTTCATCCAGGATGAAATCCGAAATTCTTCGCCAGAACTCACCACATTGGATAAATTTGGAGGGTGTGGGTAATCTGAGCCATAACTCAGATCACCGCTTTACTCGGTTCAATCAAAACAATTTCTTGGTTGGTTGAAGCCCAGTAGTTAAAATCCACATGTTTGTTCAGACTCCGAAAATCGCAATCCAAGTGGTGAAATCACAACTGCGGCCTCGTAGAACCTGATGCCATCTCAAAAATCGCTGAACAAATTTGTAGCATCCGAACCTACATCCCAAAAAGGTCAGCCGAAAGATTGACTACTGGCTTGATTAAAAAATAAGCTTCGGTGGTATCCCCAACAGCCGCAACCTTTTATTTTCTACAAATCTTTCTGAAGCGTGCTGCGAAGCCAAGCGCTGGAAACACCTCAGCAGGGTTTCCGTGCGTTAAATGGCCGCAGATCCTGTTGAACCTGACCTGGCTCTGCACCAAAGCCTCCTAGACCTTCTCCGGAACCTTCTCCCGAACCTTCTCCCGAACCTTCTCCGGAACCTTCTCCGGAACCTTCTCGGGAACCTTCTCCGGAACCTTCTCCGGAACTCTGTTGAACCTGACCTGACTGGCTCTGCAGCAAAGCCTTCTCCAGAACCTTCTCCGGAAGCCTGTTGAACCTGACTTGGCTTTGCACCATAAAGCCTCCGAACCTTCTCCGGAACCCTGTTGAACCTCCCAGCCCTCCTCCGGAACCTTCTCCGGAAGCCTGTTGAACCTCACCTGGCTCTGCACCAAAGCCTCCCGACCTTCTCCGAAACCTTTGGAACCTTTGGAACCTTCTCCGGAACCTCGTTGAACCTGACCCGGCGCCTGCACCAGTGCACACCGGAGCTATTTGGGGCTGAAGATCCCATTAGCTTACGCTGTTGGGGAAAAAGAAACATATTGGTGGTTTCAGATGGGTTTGAAAATGGGGCACCCCAAATTTTGATGGTTCATCATCATGTGAACATAAAAGAATGCCATAAATCTGTCCGGAAAGACATTACCCAATTTCCTCTCTTCTTCAGCTATCTGGATCTGATCGGATTCCAACATGGTCGTTCTGTACTCCAACTGCATGAGATCCAAAGGGTCCTGAAATCCCTGATTCAATCAGAAAATCAGCGTGATTGGCCCTCAGTTTTGACAACAAGCACTCCTGCGCCAGTTTCTGACGTTTCGCAAGGCTTTCTTGCTCTTCTTCTGTGTTCCTTCCGAGTAGTTGTCGGCTTCCACTGAGATCAGACCGCCTCCATCGCGGAGCGCGCCGATAAAGGCCGGGTATACCGGGTATACCTGATTTTTGGACAAACCTAAAAATCATGGATTTGTTTCCCATAATTATCCCATGGTTATCCCATGATTATCTGGTTATTAATTACAAATTATATGTTATTATCCCATTATTACTGGTTATATCCCATGATTGACTGATATCCCCAAGCCCGAGTTTCCCATTTATGTTGTTGGTTGACCGATAGCAGATTTCTGGTTCAGAAACAGACCACCCCAAATCCCAAGGGCTAAAATCCGAGTGGCATCGTCCACAGCCTTCGAAGATTCTATGTCAGCCATGGCCCCATGGTCCAAATGGCGTCCGAATGGAGAAAAAAAAACCGCTATGATGGTGAAGGGCTGAACATGGTAGCATCGGGATGTTCAGCCATTCAGAAAGGAGGATGCGCGTACAAGAATGTTTCCATATGTTTCCATATACAAATCGAGATAAACTGAGGTCGGTCTTTCATTTTGAAACACTGCCCATGTGTTTTGATGAATTGGATATCTGAACACAAAATCTCCGGCGCGCACAGATGACTGGCCACATTCTCTGAATGGTTGAGCTTCCCTGGTACCTGTGCCCTGGTTTTCAAATCAAAGTAGCTGCTGCTCCTCTGTGTTACTCCAAAAAAAAACGGCACAATAGGTTTTGATCCCATGGTTTTACCCTCTGGTAATTTAACATAGCCATTGAAAATGGCCATAGAAATAGTGAGTTTTCCCATTAAAAATGGTGATTTTCCATCGTTATGTTAACGTTTACCGGAGGGTATATGATGTGTTAATTCCCGGATGATTCTGGTCTGATCATAGGGATCTGCGAATTGGTTGACCGCCTTGATAGACGTGATTTTTTTGATGACCTGCTGTGGGTGAAAATCATGGAATTTCAGCTGGTTGGTGGTTTTTCGCCACTCCTCTGAAAAATGATGGAGTGAAAGTCAATGGGGTTGGGATGACATCCCTAATAATTATATGAAATGGAAAATTTACAAATCATGTTCCAAACCACCAACCAGTCATTCTTCAGGAACTTGACGATTGCATCGATTCGATTTGCATCGAGTTTTGCCTTGACCATCCGTGACCTTATCCCGAGTGGATCAAGCTTTGAGCAGGCGCAAGGAATCACCAGCGAATCCCGTCCTTTCTAGTTGTATGTAAACGCATGTTGTTGCTGAGTGCTGAGTCATATATTCAAAGCGTTTGATAGATGGATCGGCTTATAAATCAGCTTCAAACTGAAGGGCACCATTTTGTAGAACCATTTTACGGTACCATTTGGGGGTGACAAAATGGATTCGCATGTTCCCGATTAAACCATCCAATTTGGGGTGTAACTTTAAGTCTGAGATATGTGGTGCCAAACACAAAACTTCACCGAAGCGTAATAGTTTTTCATCAACCCTTTTTGCTTGACTTCAAGAACTTCGTTTGCTTCGTAAAATCTGACGTTTCTGTAGCACCAAAGCCTTCACGTGCAGGTTAACAGGACAATCAGCGCTTAAGATTGACATTGGCCACGATCAGCTCAAGTGGGCACGCTCGTTACCCTCTGGATCCCTCTGGTAAACATACAAAGTTAGCTATTGAAAATGGCCATAGAAATAGTGAGTGTTCCCATCAAAAATAATGATTTTCCATAGCTATGTTAGTTTACCAGAGGGTATAGCTAAAAGTTATAAATCCTCTAAGCCCACCCTTCAACCAAGATGTAGCCAGCCCAATTCTCAATGGTTGTTTCGTGTAATATCCCCATTTTGTGGATTCAATCTCGGCATCTGTCAGTTATACATGTCATTTTTCTTCGTTCTAGGAATTTATGTTCATAGGTTCATAGGTGTTAAACTAGATAAGCACCTCATTGTCCGTTGTTTATGCTGGTTTCTATCCACCTTTTTGTTGTTGCTTCGGGGTGTATCCCAGGAACGGGAAGTTGTAAAGAACTGGTGAACAAGACCCACAAATTCAACTGGGTGAACTAAGACGCGTGTTAAGCCACTTACTAAGCGGGATGTACATCCCCAATTCTGGTTCGGGGATTATCCAATTGCTGTATGTATATATATATATATCCCGTTCTACTCCCATGTTGGTGATTTTACGGCTTTGTCTGAAAATCGCGTCCCCCAAAAGTTGATGGTTTTTGTGATCCTCTTCAAAATAGCGATTTGAAGAGGATCTCCCATTTACAGATTTTTGGATATCGTAATGGATTGGACCAACAAATAGATCATTTACCATTTACCAATCATATGGATTGGACCAACAAATTTTGAATCATAACGATTTGAGGACATCCTAATTTTTGTTGGTCCAATCCATATGTGTGATGTTTGAAACCATTTGAAACCCCAAAAATTGGTCCATTCCGACCCAAAGCTCAGACCCCGTGCCCTGTCCTTGGGCGGCAATGCCTCGTTCCGAAGCACTGCGGCCTAAGTGAAATCATTGATCACCAAGGGTGGGAGCCGAAAATGGTGGAGATTCACCAACCAAAACAGAAAGACGGGCCCATAGATAGGAAAGTTGGTTTACAAGTAGTTGAAGTGGGGCTTATTCATGAATAATTATCTGGTTGGTGGTTTTTCGCCACCCCTCTGAAAAATGATGGAGTTCGTCAGGTGGGATGATGACATTCCCAATATGATGGGAAAAATAAAATTCATGTTCCAAACCACCAACCAGTTATATTATATATATATATATATCAATTATATAGATGGGTTTACAAAGCGGCAAAGAAAACTGGGGAGCTCCCTCTCCAGGAGCAGCTCCGGGGCAGGTCTCGTCACTGGGGGTCTCTTCCCAGTTTGGGCTGGAAATGCCGAGCAAACTCGTACCAGCAGGGACAAGAAAAGTTCGAATCCCAAGGGGATAGACCAATTCATTGATGACTTGTTGGTTTATCCATGCTGATTTGTTAGGTTTACCACGTCACACTCTAAAACACTAAGCTCGCAACGGGAGATTCATAGTTTTTGTGGGAAAGCCAGCTATAAATCGGCACGGATTAGATTGCGAGACATCACCCTGGTGAACATCTCAAAAAAAACAGCACAGTAATTTTCATCATCCAAAATGTTATGGTTTAAAAGTTCGGTGAAAAAAAAAACGCACTATTTTTCACTTTGGACCCATACTCAAATTTCCTTACTCTACATGTTCTTGGCAGTCAAAACTTCCCGCTTCTTTCCACTTCCCATGGCTAGTTTAGATACTGGGCAAAATGAAACAATTAAGTTGGTTCGTGTATATACATGTATATACCATATATTCATATATTATATATATATGTGCATATCGATCTAGGGCTAGCCAAAACACATGTACTGAACTAGCACTACCCATCACCAGTTTGTTTACCCACATGTTTGTATGCATCCCCTTTTAATAAAAAACGACATAAAGCTAACCGTCTAACCTGCTTGGATCTGCATCCCATTTTTTGGGGGAGGATATGGCAGTGTGTCAAAACCTTGTACCCCTGGTGAACATCAAAATAGCTGGTAAATGGATGTTCATACCCATATGTCCTACAGATTACTGTAGCACATCCAAGGACTTGTCAACCAAGTGGCACAGCTGTAGCCCTCCAAGTTTCTCGTGAACGCTTCCTCTGCGGCCTCGTCAAACTCCTGGCTCTCGCTGCCAACAGCCACGTGGCTCACGGACTTTGGGCTTTTTGACGGTTTTTCACAAGAAACCCATGTTCGGGATGTAGAATCTGTAGAATCTGTAGATGTGTAATGCAATTTTTTATGTGATGGCATTAGCCATGTGTAGTGTAATATGTCGTTTAGCCTGAAAGAGACATCTTGCACTGGTCCCTCTGTGATAATCTTCCGATGGGGGCACTGCTAAGCAGCGCTGCGTGAAAACCCGAAACTTTGCCGATTTGTTTTGCACCCAGTTGCATTCCATTTTCTTTAGCAACATTCCAAGTGGTGTTGTTGACCATAACCCTGGCTCTTCTCAATTCGATGCCCGTTCTTACAGCAGTGGCTGACTATCCCACTTGCATAGGGTAGATAATCTACAAATGAGATATGCCACTACCCTGGTCTACCCATCCAAGTTTGGGGTCTAATCAACTGTCGCAAATCAGCTGATGGTTCAAACCCTGCAGAAAGAATGGAACATCAAAAAAAATGTGTTACCAGTTCCAAGTAAAAAGCGTCCCATCCTCAAATCGCTGTATTTGGGGTTGGTAAGCTATTTTTGGGTTGGTTTAGGATCATGTAAAAATATGATTGGGTAACATTATCCATGCTGATAGGTCGGATGTTCATTTATGCAACCATAAATGTTCATTGGTTTCTTTATGTTTGTTTAACGTTCGTATGTGATCTATCTATCCACAAGAATTCGTTGCAAAAAACAGTCCATGATGATGTTTATCATAAGCTACCCTCTGGTAAACTAACATAACTATGGAAAGATCCACCATTTTTAATGGGAAAATCCACTATTTCTATGGTCATTTTCAATAGCTACGTTTAGCTACGTTTGACATAACCAGAGGCTAGTTCGATTCATCAAATGAACAGTGTTCAAAACCCGGTCGTCCCTTTTTACTGGCTGCTTGATACGGATTCAACTATGTATATAATGGATTGTGAATGATTGTGATAGTCCCCAATGTATTGGCTAGTATAATCCCCGAACTCATCATCAACCAACAGTCATTTATGAAGTAGATATATTCCCATCTTTGATCGTTGACAACCCTATCAAAGATGGTTGAATCAAAATGAATACCATATACCCTCTGGTAATTTAACATAACTATGGAAAATCACCATTTATAGTTGATTTTCCCATTGAAAATGGTGACTTTTCATAGTTATGTTAGTTTACCAGAGGGTAATCATTACCCAACCATCATTTATCAACTATACTTGGGATATAGTCATGATGGTCAATCATCAACCAACCATGGTTAAAATCAATCAACTGTATTAATCCCACTTTCCCAGTTCATAAAATCCCGAAATTTCATGATGTTAACATGACCATGACTGTCATAGTTTTAATGTTGTTCATACGTTCCTCAGTTCCTCCTTTTAGTGTTTCTGATTCAAACAGCTGGATCATCCCTCATCCGAACAGGCCCCCTGTCACGGCGCCTGAAAGCACGCCACGTCAGGCGACAAACGTCGCACTTCTTCGGCGGCGCGCTGCAAGCCTTAGTTTTTTTTGTGCGAGAGAAGCATCCTGTGTAGGAAAGTCATAGTCATTGTTTGATGGATAAAATGAAAATGGATAGATAAACCAATCAAAACGCTTCTAGATAACCACTTTTTTAATGTTGTGGATGTTGCATGGATGTAACATCAAAAAACGTGGGTATCGAACCAAGAAAATTGGGATAAAATGGAATGTCATGGAAGAAAAACAAACTGTAGTCATGGTTTGTTGGTAAATGTTGATACAACCTACTATCATATAGCTGTATCAAACGATATAGTTTGTCCTGTTGACAATGCCCACAATTATAGTAAGTTTAATTCTTTACAGTATCTTTGTCAAACAGTCAACAATCTGACAAGGTATCTTCTTGGTTAATTCAGTTGTTTTTTCTGGATCTTCGCTGGAGTGACTTGACCAAGTTTTCATCATTTCTGGTGGGCATTCAGTTGAAATCTGTCCCATTGGATGTCCCCAGTAAAGCTTGGTGCATGGGAAAGGCTTGAGTTGTGTTTGGATGGGTTGGATTTTTGGTTGGATGTTAAACCCCAAAAAAAAAAACATCCCATAAACCAACATCACAGAGAAAAAACATGTTTTATATTAGTCCATGGGATGCTTTTTGGGTAGATTTTTGTGCTGTGGATTACCATCCCCTAGATTTACAAACATGGACCCTAAAGTCATGGCAGGGTCTGTGTGAAATGGAGGCGATGGTACATGTTTTGTGCCGAAGACCCTTTGACCAGGACAGTGGGCTATGGATCTACTTAATCCACTCTAACCGTAGGAGCAATATTCAACGGTTTCAAACACAAAAAAACTATATACTTTATGGAAAATCTCTACCGGAATTGATACAAACATAATTTTATCACATTTTATCATGTAGGTTTCTATGTGCCTTACACATCCAAAAACAGAAAGCAAGTTATGGACGGGGCAAGGGGTGTTTTTCACGAGACACAAGCGCCACATCTCTAACCAAAAATCAATGGTTTGGGAATGAATGGGAAATGGCCAACAATCGTGGTTTTTTGGACAATAAAAAAAGAAACGACTATATACAGTGAGAGTTGGAACATGGATTGGTAAACCAATAACTAGTTCACCAAGAATCAGCTTGGATATGTATGTGTATAGTTGATACTACATCTACATTATATACATAATGTATCATAATGTCAACCCTGGATTAATAAACCTAATAAACCCCAAATGGCTGTTTTTTGGGGGAGGGTACCATAAAAAAGTATTGTATGAAATGACTCTTGGAGGAGTACCCCCCTAATTTTCATAAACTATAAACCATGGTGTAGCAAAATCCCGGGGTGACATTACATACAGAATGTCTATGTGATTCCATAAAGATGCCATCCTACCTAACCAGGCATCAGCTGGCATCAGCTTTAGGCGTTTTTTTGCAACGGGACGTAACGGGACGTTTCGGGAAACATGATTCCGAGCCATCACCACAATGACTCGTTAACCAAAAAAAACACAACCGAACAAATTGATACTTAGAGGAACATACATGAACATACTATATATTATGTATATATTATGTGTATATATATATACTTTGTCCTACACCCATGTTGATCGGTTTTTCCGCATTCCATTTTGCATTCTCATGTCTTGTGCACAAGACCTCGCAACGCAGTCACTGACAGGGTTCGTTCCATTCCTTTATGAACATATATGAACATCACCTAAATATGGAGGCTAATCCACTATCTCACCACCTAAAAGTGGTCTTGAAATGTCTTGAATGTCCTTACATCGGTCTCTTCAAAATTGAGCATCCTAAAATCGTCCGTTGGATCATCCGAGCCACGATCCACAGCCCAACTCTGAGTTGGACGTCCGCGAAGTAGCCTGTTGGCAGCGTTGTGGCGCAGCTATGGCTGTCAGATGTCCCCCAAGATCGAATGTGTTCTCTTCATTTTTACCATGAAAATTGCGATTAAGTCACAGCAGTTTCCACTACTCTGGAAAATGGATGTTTTTATCATAAAATCAATCTACAATTTTTTCTAGTCAGCAAATCTACATCCTGGGAATAGCTTCATCTGCTTGATCAATTTGACCCATACCACCACTTCGCCATGATCCCTTAGCCTAGGGGCCTAGAGGGCTGCGAGTTGGATCCCGAGTTGGATCCCGATCGGCCTCTTGGCACCCATGCTGTGCAGCACGTTGTACGTGAGAACCGAGAAACGCATGGTTTTAGGCGCTGCAAGTTTTCATGGCGAGCCGCGACATCACCGCTTTTTTCAGAAATGTGTTTGTGGCGAGATAGTTACATATTAATATAGTTGCGAACTATTCAACCCATATCAATTTTCAAAACATGCTGTTTTTTGAACCTGTGCTTCTGCTTCAAGTCATGGCCACAACAAAAAAACAATAAAAACCAGACGATGAGATATCCATCGCCTGTCGAACTTGTGTCTACTATCTCTTTTGAAATTTTGAGAAAACAAAACTGGTTGGTATTTTTGATTATATTACCATACTATTCTGTATCTTATATAACTATATATATACATATCTGGTTGGTGGTTGAGCCACCCCTCTGAAAAATATGAAAGTCAGCTATAGTCAGTTGGGATGATGACATTCCCAACTGAATGGAAAAATAAAAAATGATCCAAACCACCAACCAGAAAAGGTATCTTAGAGGAAAAAAAATGGTGTCTTTCATCGACAGCATTGTCCGACAATGTTGAGAACTGTCGGATGATCATCCGACAGTTTCCTTGTGAACTTCTTGCGCTGTTCCAAGAAAAGAACCTTGCTTGGCAACATGTATCACAATTATTGGAACTCGAATTTAAAGATACCATTAGTAAGATACCTTTAGAGTATATAAAACTTATACAACATTTTTTTTTGATGATTCCCCCACTACCCATCATCTTTTGCCGTGACCTTCGATACGAAAGCTTGGAATATACTCAGGCCCTTTTTTGGGCTAAGCTAAGAGCCCAGACGTCGCAAAGGCCATCCAAAAAAAAACATTGGTTTGAATCGAAGCAAGGCGATCTCAACAGTCGTGGCTATCGTAATCATGATTATATGGGGATGGGTCAAAACCCCGGTACCTAGTGAACCCCAAAATAGCTGGTAAATGGATGTTCATCCCCCTAAAAATGGTATTAATAGGTATTGACCCATAGCCATATAGATAGAAGATGATAGAAGTTTACCCTCTGGTAAACGTTTACATAACTATGGAAAGATCCACCATTTTCAATGTATAAATCCACTATTTCTATGGCCATTTTCAATAGCTATTTTGACATAACCAGAGGGTAGCAATTGTGATTTCTTCATGTTTCTTTATCCAAAGTGGAGCCGTGGGAGTCTCCATGTCGAACTTCGGAGGCATTTCCCGGGACTTACCCTCTGGTAAATTAACATAGCTATTGAAAATGGCCATTTATAGTGGATTTTCCCATTAAAAATTGTGATTTTCCATAGCTATGTTAAATTACCAGAGGGTATGCAGCATGTTCGCAGTGAATTGGGGCATTTCAAAAAACAAGCAGTGGCTGCGATCCCTGGCAGGGTTGATGATTAGTTCGGGGGATGAAAAACTACCTTACCAATATATTGGGGATTATCCTCTGGATTTTTTTTACAGTTCGCTATTGAAAATAGCCCATAGAAAGTTCGTTGATTGACCTATTCCAAATGGTGATTTTCTATAGTTATGTAAACGTTTACCAGAGGGTAATGGTTATTAATGGTGATTTTCCATTACATAACCCAGAAAAATGATTAATAATATGGTTAATTGATGGTTAATTGATTGTTAATTGATGGTTAATTGATGGTTAATTGATGGTTAATAATTAAGATGAGTAATAGTATGATCTTGGATTCCATAATTGATATGCTTAATTGATAGTTTTCTTATCCAAGGTATTATCCATATTATTATCTTGGATAGTTATATTCATCCAAGAACTGGGAATCCATCTGAACCAACCGTCGTAGAAATGATACAAAAACTAGGACGAGTGACTCACAAACTTTCCCTGGCGCTCAAAAAACAGCGAAAAAGGCTCGGGTAATCAAATAGCAATGGAAAGTCCCATTTTTTTTTTAATGGGAACTATATTTTGGATCATGTAAAATTGGCTAAATGACCATTTTTTACCAACATGGCCAAAACATCACTAGGCAGTAGTGGAATCAAATGTGAGTTTTTGGTGACATGTTCATGTTGATGTGTTCATTTCTGAGGATATTTATATAAGGATATCTAATGCCGTCATCTAATGCTATCCACGGTTTTTGCTCCCTGTATCCCTCATGTTAGGTTTTAATCCCAAGATCAGTCTTGTGTTTGGAAACCATGGTTTATTGGGTGGTCTCACCAACAAACAATCATAATATATATATACCATAATATATGGGCACATTGCATAATAACCTGAACATTTGTAGCGATCTCCTGCTCTTTGCTATGGTTTGTTGGTTAAACCACACCTTTGTTGCATAACGAGGCTAATCTTCGACAACCTGCAAGCACTGCAAAATGCGATGTTTTTTGGCAAATGAATAGTATACATGCAATATACAAAGCCATTCATAGAATATAGACAAGATTCAGTTGTACTAAACTACCCTCTGGTAAACTAACATAACTATGGAAAATCACCATGCTTTTAATGGGAAAAACAACTATTGCTTGACCTGGTCATAGCTTTCAGATCCACAACACCAACACCACGCTGAAAGCTTGCGAGCCCCGAAACCAGCAATCGGCGAGCACCAAGGGCACCTCACCAGGGCGGTCGATAGGGTTCCGTTGAGTGATGGCTGTGGCTGAATTAACTATGGTTTATGGTGGATATAACGAACTAGTATTCATGGGGTTTATCAACCAACGTATCACTGAGGGCACCATCCAGTATTGAATCCTCATTAAATCATCATTAAATCACCATTAAATCCCATGAAATCCCATTAAATCCCATTAAATCACCATTAAATCCCATGAAATCCCATTAAATCATCATTTTCCACATTTTTTCCATGCCCGAATTTGGTGTCAGCCACAGTACCGAATCCAAGAGGCCCATGGCATTCTCCGCGTTGTCAGTGTAGGAGGCCAATCCCTGGCCGCCCCCGATCTCTCCATGGGGATTTGACCCAAGAAAAGGCGACCAACCGAAAGCCTGCTGTTTTTGTTGGGGCCGATCAAGCACCATGAACCGCTACTGAAGACTTATTATTACAATATATATATATATGTATATATATATATATACATATGTATACATATATATATATATACATACATATGCACATACATTCACCTGCCGGGGGTCAGCTTTGGGGGTTGGTTGAATCCTCAAAAAAAACATGATCGAAAATGACTTTTGAGCCGGACTGTTGGTACAAACACGCAACCCCAGTAACTATAGTTATAAGTACCATAAACCATAGTTATTGGAGTTATAAACCAACTTAGCTATCTCAAATAGCAAGGGTTTGCTTGATCAAAGCAAACCACGTCTAGTGATTCTTCAGGTCCCCGCTAGACGTGTCCCGTGCAGTTTTTTCGCAGCAACAGAAGCAATTCTTCAGCCCAAAAAGCATTTCTAGATCTACCCAAAAAAACATCTGATAGATTACCTTCATTGCAATGTTAGATTACCTAAGATGCCATTAATGACCACATCAAAATTCATCACTTGTTTCTATCCCCATTGAGGGGGCCGAATTCTCCTGATCGACCTCATGTTTGTTGCCAGGTTTTCTGCCTTGTTTTTCATCACTTGGCCAATCTTAGTCAGATACCTGCAAACAGGGGTTGGTAACTGTCCCATTTGGGGTATATTGGACATCACCTGAAAATGTAGCCATTATAGACCATATACCTAATGGTTGGGTGATGTTCAATGGGGACATTTAATGACCCATGTAGTTAGATACCTGCAAAAAGCATCAAAAAAACATGGTTTTAACCGACGATTGTGGCAAAAAATTGATCGTTTGACCTACAATTCGCCGCAGCCACCACCCAAGGGCCCCGACTGAGAGGTATGAGAGTCCTCCAACAGCCCCCAGACCTGACATGGTCCAGTGGAAGTGTTGGGACCAAAGTGACAAAACCAATCAGATTCAAAGATCTACGGACAGTATATATAATACATAGCATATACATAGCATGTAATAGATATATATATATATATATACATATTGAATATATATATATATATATTGAATATATATATATATAAGTGATAAATCTATGATCTATTTGAACAATCTGTAAAATGGTGAACTCGAGCAACAGAAAGATGATTTCACCAAGCATTGGTGCTTGGTAGATCTTAAGCAACACAAACGGGGCTGGTGAGTGACACCGGTGAGGCCTAGCCAACAAGTACTTGGGCAAGCCATCGGCAACCATTAGATGATCGCCCAACATTGTGGAGAGCAAATGAAATGGAGATTTAACCATATGGCAGTGTGTCAAAACCAATAGTACCCCTGGTGAACATCAAAATAGCTGGTAAATGGATGTTCATCCCCCTAAAAATGGTATTTATAGGTATTGATCCATACCCATATTTAACCTTTAAAAAAATTGTTGCAGTCTGAAGCGTTACCCTCCAGCAATTAACCCTAGCGTTTGAATAGAAAAGGCATTATTTGCATCAGACATGTGTAGATCTTCACCTGGTTGGTGGTTTTAACCATCTTGAAAAATATTAGTCAATGGGAAGGATTATCCCATATATTAATATATATTATGGAAAATAAAAAAATGTTTGAAACCACCAACCAGTCACATATCTTCACCAGCCTCGGTCACTGTCAACTACACCCATCTTCGAAACCCCTCTAACGTGTGGGACTCTGGGACTCCAAAAAGACATGCTTTCAGCGGGTTTCAACGGGTTTCAACCCGGACAAGAAACGACAAGAAACGACAAGAAACTACTAGAAACGACTAGTTTGAGGAAGCTGGTTGGCCTTGATGATCAATGCGTGTAACCAGCCAGGAACCCTTGTCTTACCCATTGTTTGTTCCCCTGGGTATGCCGCGCCAAAGCTGAATGCTACGTTCACGCCGTACCTCGCGTGGCACAACCATTGTGAATCTTAGATACCGGTCAAAAAAACTAATTGTTTGCTGCTTTTTTTTTTCTCCATTGATAAGAAAAGATTAAAGTTCTGAAATATTTAACACAGGTTGAACCAGTATTCAACAGGGGGGCCCTTTCTATTACTGGATAACCTCTACCCCGTGGCCAAATAAACCAGGGCCGTTGTTCATAGATGTGGAAACTGATAGCCGCGCTGGAAATTTCATGGAAAAATGGCGTTCCACATTTTGAGGCAGAAATCAGCAGCTTAGGAATCCATATAAATGGCACCACGGGTAGTAGTAGCCCCTAAAAAGTTGGGGAAACCCCGATTCATGAGTGGGAACGAATTTGGGTATCAATAATTATGTGTGATTTTGTGAAACAACCATGGCACTTATCACATTCAAGAGGAAATCTGATCCACAAACGTGGTCCAGTTTCCAAGTCAACCACAATGGATACCCATTTGGTTAAGATCAAACCATATCAACACCATTGATAGTAACACACACCGAGTGGGGTAGGAGTGGTTCATACCGACTCATACCTCACCACTTGCCAAGTGGGTCACCCAAGCATGGGCAACCACATGGGCAATTTACAATATCACCTAACTTGTATTGGCCAATGTGAGATCCACAATTCACAATAAGAGTCACGATCCCCAATTTGCTTTATGGTCTATGAAGTTGTATCCCAATTTAGTGGATGTTTTATGGTGGATAGCTGATGGTTGATGTCCATCCCCTGCCATTGCTTAGACCTGCTTAGACAAATTGCCTCGCAGTTGGCACTCCCTAATTGACAAACATGGCAATTGAAACTCTGAAAATCCCCATGTTAGACCATGTGTAGACCATTTTCCTTCATTTATGGGCCAGTATCTAATCTGGTTGGTGGTTTCAACCCCTCTGAAAAATATTAGTCAACTGGGATGATTCTTCCCAATATATGGAAAAAAATGTTCCAAACCACCCACCAACCAGTAACCATATGAGCACTATGTCCCCAGTTTTCTCGCCTTGGTTCGCTAACCTACAGGTCGTAAGTATACCCCTATTTGTTGGTGAAAATCCCCACGTCGATGGGTCAATCACCCATGATATTGTCAGCGTCTAACATCTCAGTTGCATGGGAGACACAGATTTGAACCGGCGACACGGCGACATCTCTTGTGGGTTTCATCATGTTGAATCTTTTTTAATATCCACCTGCTGAACAGTTGCATGAACCTGCTGTATCGCGCACGCAGCAATTCCCCTGCCCTGCCCTGTGAAAAAAAAGGGGGTCGGCGGCACCAGGGCGTTAGCCCATTTATTAGTGGATAATCACCATAGTATAAGCCAGTTGGATTAGTGGTATCTAACTACACAAGTTATGGTCAGCAGTCATTGACTATCTACTAATTGGGATGCACCCCGTCAGTGGCTCACATGAGCATGGAAAAGCCAGTGCCAAGACTTCCAATCCTTGGCAAATGATGGTCGGGGGCAGCAGGAGCGATTTTTTTCCGGGCCGGAAGAACTTTCCAGTGCTGGTCAAATCCTTCAAGAAAGAGATGAAACTTACAAACAACATGTTCGTTGGCCTAGCAAGAAGGTGGACTTACCAACGAGTCTGGTGATAGAACAAACACAAATGAGGGAGTCTACACAGAAAAGGGAGAGTTGAACCATCAAAAAGGGAGGAAGTAGCGAATAGACGTTGGAATGTAACCAAGAAAGCAACATAAATGGGGGATAGAATCAAACACCAACAAGTGTCAACAATAAGCGGACGAGAAGCAACAACACCTGCGATTGGGGATGTTTCCCTTGTTGTTTGCTGCACCATTTACAAATCATCATTGGAGTTCCAATCTGCCAAAGTATTACCTGGGCCTCCCATAGGAATGCCAGTGGAGGAAGGGGTGGCATATGTGTCATGTATGTCTGTATGCATGTATGCATGCATATGTGTATGTGTATATAGATATTATGTATACAATGTGTATATAATATGTATATAATATGTATATAATATGTATATAATATGTGTATAGTATGTGTATAATATGTGTAATCATATGTGTATAATATGTGCATGATATGTGTATAAGATGTGTATAAGATGTGTATAATATGTGTATAATATGTATATAATATGTGTATAAGTGACTATATTATATGTATATAATGTGCATGTGTGCATGCATTTCTCATACATATATTTAATATTATTTAATATGTACACATCATGTGTGTGTAAATGTCATGTGTGTATATATACATCAATGTCATACATCGATGTGTGCGTGCGTGTGTGTGTGTGATGGCAGTTTGTTTACAGTATGGGTATATATATATATATATTCACACGATTACATATAGACTATAGAGAGAGAGAGAGAGCAGCCATTTCCATATCAACAAACATCCATTCAGTGTATGTCAGTGTATCTGTAGTATGATATAGTCTGAATGTATGTAATTATGTTTTCAATACAAATCCATCTCTGTATAATACGGCACAGTACAAATAGCGTCGCCAGGTCCTAGGCTGCCCCACGCAGCAGTAAAGGCGAACATGCGGACCTTTTTTGCGAGGCCCATGAGAAAAAAAACGCATCCCATCCCATGAAATGTTACCCTCTGGTAAATTTTTAATACGCGATTGCAGTCATCGGGGTTCGAAGATGAGTTTCCATTGAAACTGTGCTATTTTCAGGGTCGAACTGTTAGTTTACCAGATGGTACTAGATTGGTTAACATTGGTGAAGCTATCCGACCTATCCGACCAAGTTGCTTCATGGAAGCATCCGTATGAATTTGGAAAATTCCAAAGAAATTGGCAAGTTGATCACCCCCAAGAATCCAGGCAGAAAAAACCCTCCAGTAAACATACAAAAAAGCTATATTCCATAGATGGACCATTGATGAATGATTTGCCGAACTTAATAGCATGGTGGATCTTTCCAGTTCGCAAACTATTAAATTACCAGGCAATGGGTAACCTTTGGATCACCCCAATGGGGCCCGATCAACCGATCAAGCGATCAACCCGGTAGCGTGCCTATCTGCAATGAAATTGATCCCAATTTTTCGTCAGTGATATAAATTACTGATTTATAAAGGGATTACACAATAAAACACTTTTTTTTGAACGGAATGGAACGGAGTGGTGTTCCCCAATTTCTGCCATGCTTTGGGACTAGGACTGACTATGAAAAAACACATCCCAAGTACTGTCAGGTGCTGCGGTGAAAAACGTCCGGCCCCAACTTCAGGGATTCCCAAAACAGGGTGGCACAGATCTGATGAAAAAAAGACCATCCCAAAAAAGGAAATGCGCCCAAAAATGTGTGTGTGTGTATATATATATATGGGTAATATGGGTAATATGGATAATATGGATAATAATGGGTAAATTATAGTCTATAGTTATATATATATATACATGGGTAAATGAAATAATATTTCACTAACCTGAATTGTTGGGCCATGATTTCAGGGGATGATTTTTCCCTCACCATGATAAACCAGGCTTCGGGAGAACAGGGTGAACCGGTCGTGATTAGAAATTTACCCAGATGATGGGTATACAACCAGATCACCATCATATTCCCATTGTTGCTGGTTTATAGCCTATGAAAACCACGATAAAAACCAATAAAGATCTACTGTACAATAAAGATCTACTCATAGGTGATGATTTTCCACTCCAGACTCCAGACTCCAGGACTATCTGCATAGTTCAAACATCTATCGCCCATCCCATCTGCCTTGGTGTCCTCGTATTCCTGGAGCTGTGCTGTTCGTGGCGGCGGGGGTGGTAGCTGAAAAAAAACAAGATTTCGGAGAAATCATGGGCACTGGGTAGTGGGTACTCTACTAAGCCTATTTGCATACCGAAAATAAAATAGAAGTATGTATATATATATATATACGTATATATGCGTGTATATATGGAGGTTTCCTGAAATGGGGATACCCCCAAATCATCAACTTCAATATGATGGTCCATTATAAACCATCCATTTTGGGGTACCACCATTTTGGGAAACATCCATATGATTACATGGTACATATATATATATATATATTAATACACATAAGTATGGTCTTGCATCGCCAATAAATACGACCAAAGTCTGCGGTTTCCCAGACATTTTTTCGAAGCAAGGCCCACCCGGGACTGTTTCTTCGTCGAATGGACATTGACCCCAAACCGTTCGGATCATGATCCCAAATGGGGAACCAGTTTAGGATTACCTTCTAAAATATCAAGTCAGTATGGCAAGTGCATCTGTTTCTTCAACTCAACAAGTTTGTGGTTTTTTTTGGGCGATTCCGGGGTTGACAAAAACTCCCCAAAGCCACCCATGGCAAGTTCTGAACTCCCTGGGACCCAGGGATGATCATGGCTGTTTGCTGCATCCTCTAGCAGAGATGTACCCAGGAGGTCAAGTCATTGTGTACCCCTTGATCGCTATTGAAAATGGCCCATTTATAGTTGATTTACCCATTAAAAATGGTGATTTACCTATTAAAAATGGTGATTTACCTATGAAAAATGGTGATTTACCTATGAAAAATGGTGATTTTCCATCGTTTCTTGTATGTTTACCAGAGGGTATGGTTTTTGTTATGGAAAATCCCCATCTAGATCGCTGGATGACAGCTAGGGGTAGCCCGTTTTTTCAGGAAACCACCAAGAATATTTCTTGTTTACCAATTGGATATGACTAACACTTCGCCATGGTTATTACGATGGCCCTAATCGAAATAGATGGTTTACCGAACTTGATAGTATGGTGGATCTTTCCATGGCGAACTGTTAGTCATAACCAGATGGTACCCCAATTGGATGGTTCATACTTAAACAATTTCAATCTGTGGTCCAGGTCTTTCATTTTGATCCCCAAATGTTTGTTGCTTGAACAAAGGTTCTTTTGGTATCGATCGATCCCCTTTTTGCCGAAGAAATCACGTCGTGAATTACGATTTGCATTGCTGCAGCTCAAACTTACGAGTCCTTGGCTTGAAAATTAAGAATTTTGCTCAAAATTATGATGCATAATGACCGAATATCATTGAATCACTATTGCCTAATTGATGGTTGACCAGCCCCTCTGAAAAATGATGGAGTTCGTCAATTGGGATGATGATTCCCAAGTGAATGGAAAGTCATAAAAACTGATCCAAACCATCAACCAGCATAGTTTGGGAATGAATCTCCTTATATACATAATATACCCTCTGGTAAACTAACACAACTATGGAAAATCACCATTTTTAATGGGGAAATCCACTATTTCTATGGCCATTTTCAATAGCTATTTTGACATAACCAGAGGGTACATCGCAATGTTCCAAAGCACCTGCCGCAGTTGCCCGAAAAAGGTCATCAAACCACGGGGAAAAATAGGCCTGCCGCCGCTCTTCCGGACCTGTGTCGTGGGACTTTTTAAAAATCGTGGCATTTTCTGCGGTGCTTACTGAAAACAAAGGGATATGTCATGGTTATATGCAATGTGTTTCAAACTAAATAGGATGTGTGTATATATATATATATATTATATCGGATATATATATATATATATATAAGATAGATGTACATGTATATACATGGGAATACCCTGTATTACGTCTCGTCAAGCAGAATGTTATGGGCGCTGTTTTCAGAGTATGTGATGATACAATGAAGTATCATAGCCCGTTATAAAATACAGGTGGCAACCATCGATCCGGACTATGTGACTTCAAATGTTTGGGAACTGATTCTATGATGGGAATATGAGTGCGCACTTTCTGAGGCCGGCCGCCATCGCAATCAGTGTGAGCATCGCATTTTCCAGATGCAGCCTTCCGTGTTCTTTTACTTGCAGTGCTCCTTTGTGCTAATGATGGTTGTTCTGTCATGCTTGCACCAACGGTTTTTTTTAGGCATCCATGTCCAGAAATCTTCATGATCGGTATGGTGGCCGTCCTCCATTCAAGAAGTTCAAACCATGGCGCACTCATATTCCCATCATAGAATCAGTTCCCAAACATTTGAAGTCACATGGTCCGGATCGATGGTTGCCACCTGTATTTTATAACACGTTATGATACTTCATTGTATCATCACATACTCTGAAAGCAGTCCCCAAGTCCCATTCTGCTTGGTGATATGTTGTCATGGGATATGAATGCATGTAAATGGGACTAGCAAAATTGTATTCGACCAACTTACTTTGGGGGTGCGGAACCAATTTGCAAATGGTTGTTAACCCATGTTAATAGTATAACCCACAATTGGATGAACCAATATGATCTAATGTGGTTATTAACCATTTACGATTCGTGGCATGCGCATCCAAGTAAGTCTTAAAATAGTGGAATTAACTGGCAAGCATGGTGAATATCATTGAAAAATATTGGCTAAGAAGAAATGGTCTATTTAACTAGACTGGTGAAAAAATGATAATTTGAACAATCTTCAGTGCAATGACCATCTTCGGTGAATAGAACATCGGTGTCATTGACAGTTGAATTTCTGAGAAGTAATCAACCACTATCAGTTGGCAGCTGGTGAAAAGTTCGGACTGGACCAGTCAAACCTTGCACCCCTTCTGAAAAGTTCTGGCGACACGGCAAGTCCATTATGATTCATTCTGAATTACCCGCCAAAACATACTTTACCCTCTGGTGAACTAACAGTTTGCAATGGAAATTGGCTATTTATAGTGGATTTTCCCATTAAGAATGGTGATTTTCCATAGCTACGTTAAATTACCAGAGGGTACCTGCCAAAACATACTTTAAACAACAAAAATTTGGAATGTTAAGCCAACCGCCTGTCAGGTCAGGTGGGAATCCAGTGTTTGAAAACCTCACCAAATCACCCATGTTTCAGGCTTCAATCCAAATATCCCACCATGTTTGATGTTTGGATCCCAAGTTTTTCCTGGTTCCATTTTCTCCCATATTATATATGATATATATATATATCATATATTATACATTATATTATATATCATATTATATATTTAATATTATATATTATATATATAATGTATAATATATATAATATATAATATATATAATATATATATACTGTATAATATAATATATATATATACTGTATAATATAATATATATATATATACTGTATAATATATATATATATATTATATAATGTATAATATATATATACTGTATAATATATATAATATATATATATATACTGTATAATATATATATATATATTATATATACTGTATAATATATAATATATATATACTGTATAATATATATATAATATATATATACTGTATAATATATATATATTATATATAATGTATAATATATATAATATATATACTGTATAATATATATAATATATATATAATGTATAATATATATAATGTATAATATATATATAGTATAATATATATATATATATCCTCGTGACTTCTGCGGAACTTTCTCCCACGTGGAATCGGAATCCCTCTGAGAGAGCGGACTGCGTTTGCTTCGAGCCTTTGTTGGCCTTGCATGGTCCAAGAATTCTGGAAGAATGAAAAAGGACCCTAAAAAATGTAGGTATGACGTACCATTTTTGAAGCCATACTGTGGAAGAAATCCTGCACCAGTTGATGGGTGGTTTATCCCATTGTTTATAAGGTTTCAACCATCGAAGGTGATGCAGGATTTCTTCCATCCACAGTAGTTTGGGAATGAATCCCCTATACATAATATACATCGCCCTGAAATTTAGGCCCGAAATATATGCTAGGCACCTACAATTTAGATACCTGAAATGGCCATTGATGAATGGGACATAATGAGATACTCATGTTGGTATACTGCCATAGAATGTCATGGGAATATCCAGATGAATGAATTTAATGAATGAAATTAATCAAATCATATATACATATATACATATAGATTGTGGCCATAGTCTAAAGTTGGATTTAACCGGTAAACATGGGTATTTGGGATGTATAGCTAACTATGATAATCCCTATGATTCCAGTACTATCCATCTTGGGGTTTCATGGTCAGGATTCCCTTGGGATGACAGCAAAAAAAAACTGAGCCCAGATGTCGGCGAAAGACACCCCAAATAGAAAGATTGATGAATCCATGGAAATGTTGTTCATCCCATTATTCACCATTGTTAACCCATTCTTCAACCATATAATCACCATTAAATCACAATTTATAATGGTTAAATCACCATTTTCCTCATCATGATCCTAAATTTACCCTCTGGTTATGAATAACATAGCCATGGAAAGATCCACCATTTTTAAAAACGGTAAACCATCTATTTCTATGGGCCATCTATACCATGGCCAACTGTTAGTCATAACCAGATGGCTATGGATCAATACCTATAGATATAGTTTATTAGGGGATGAACATCCATTTGCCACCTATTTTGATGTTCACCAGGGCTACATGGTTTTGACCCATTCCCAGATGGTAACAATCTTCGGCTTAAATTTTCCGGAACATCGGATTCGTCTTCTGGTTCAAAAAATGACCACCGATTTGATCCATGGTTCTCCATGGGTCCAAGACCTAGTTCCAGGGTCCTTATTTTGCAGCACCCATGGCAAACCAGGAAACCATACCTCGTGTGGCACGTCAAGGCCAGTTAAATGTTTCATGAAAGCTATGATTGCCGAGGTTTGGTAAAAAAATGCCATGTGGTAAACCCAGGATGAAAAGCGCCAAATAGCTATGGCTTAGACATATCTCATGAAAACATATGAAAACCTGGATGATTTACTCCAGGTTCTCTCACATCAAGTCAGAAATCGAAGACCCTTCTAAGCCAGCGAGTTTCTTTCGATCGAAGTTCTAGAGTTTGCCCTCTTGTACCCCCTGGAAATCAAATGTGGCAAATTCAAATCCACACATTGCCAAGCTAGATTGTAGCAGGCCCCAAATATACGTGTGTGTGTATATATATATATATATAATGATAGAAAACCTTCAAAGCTGGAAATTGTGAGCTAAATATCACCTACAAACATCCTGGTTTCAAACTGTCCTATCTATTTGGGGACCTCTTATATCCGTTTATATCCCCTTATGGAGGATAACCATGAACAGACGTCAGCATGCCACGGCTATCCTCCACTTACTCCCTGTCCTGTCGCAGCCCAGCAACTGATTCTCCAACAAACGTCGGCTGCTGAGTTTCTGCATGGAAATCAGGTAGTCGGCGATGCCTGGCACTGCACCACTGGTGCTGGACCGACAGTCTATGTTCCCGCTTAAGCTACTGAGCTACCCAACCAAGGCTGACAGAGTGTATAGAAATCCCGCATAGAAAGAAAACATATGGAGAAGAAAAAAAATCAGGGTGTTTATTGGACGATCTAAAAGCCTCATGATGTGCAAGATGTCCAATTTGTCTATCTTTTTAGGGATTTTCCATGGCTATGTTAAATAACCAGATGGTATGTTTTAACGATTTACCTAATGAACATTGGATTTCCAGTAAGGCTTGATTGGGACCAAGGCTACTCAGTGGGACCAAAGGACCAGAAGGCGGGAAGGGGAAGTGCATTTTGGGCCCTGTAGTCTGGCACTAAGCCCATACAGTAAATGCAATATGTTTGGATATACACCACAAAAGTCCAAATCCATGTTGTTTAATCCTACAAACTATGGGTTTGTCTCGGAATATCATAATTACAACCTAATTTAATCCATTGGTTCATCATCACTATCCAAATTGAAATGGCAGTCGGGTGGTATACACGAGTATACGGCATTTTTCCACTTGAAAACACGCTCCAAAACCATCGGTGATTCGTGGCTTGCTGAAAAATCCCCCATTCATAGATGGTTTTCCCAGTCAAAAACTCCATGGCCAGTGTCCCTCAATACTGCACACGTCAAGCATCATTGCCAAGTTGCCACTTATATTAGTAGTAGCATCCAGTCTGGATATCGGTTTTCTCCCCTTGCGTTTATGGATACCGCAAGATTCCTGCGGTCGACTGTAGAGAAAGTCTCTGGGAAACCATAGTTTCACCCTCCAGAGATACGGCTTTTGTGTAAAGCTTCCCTTCAATCCATTCCGGGATAGACTTACAGTTTTTTCCGAAAATGGGATGGGCTATGTTGTATGTGTTTTTTTGAAATGATGATGTGTGGACGAGATGTCTAATATGTTGTTGGTTCATCATCCATTCAAATCGACTAAATACCCGTCCTTCCACCCTTGCCGGCCTTCATCTTCCTCCTCCGCATCCTGAAGGACAAAGACTAGATCACCGGTTGAATGTCACAGGTGTTTGGGACCTAAAAAAAACTGCAGATCTGGGTCTCAACGTTTGTTGAGACGGGAAAGTAATGACTGATCAATTGATCACTGAATTCTGGGATTTTTTCATGTACCCTCTGGTAGTCAGCTCCATGAGTTGCTGGAAATTCCCCCATTGACAGATTTTTTTCGACGGTTTTCCCAGCTGTAAACCTCCACATACCTCCACTTAAGGTCAGGGATTTTCCAGCCAGGCACGTTTGATTACCACGGGGTGCACACAATGTTGATCATGTGTCCGAATTTGACCATCCATTTTTTGCTCTGGCTTTGAGAAGACTATCATGATGTCCAACCCTCATCTAAGGGCCATTTTGGTTGATGATCCCCCATATAAATTCATATCACCCGCCACCTTTAGTGAGGTCACTAGAATTTATCAGATGGGTAATTTAAAAAACTGCTCATCCTTGATATCTCACAACTTGCATATTCCATGGACAATGTGGTCGCTCATCCAAGTAGGTATAGGTCAAGAGTTGGGTACCCTAAACCCAGTCGTCACCATGGCTTTCAATGATTAAAATGCTCATCCATGACGACTGGGTGACTGCGGTACCCCCATGACTAAACGGAAACCAAACCCAATGGCCAACCCTTCAGGTTTCATCAGAAGATCACCATATTTACTGGTCAGAAAGTATGAAACCCACCGATGAATGGAATAAACCGGATAACCCCACCCAAATGAAACTGATTTTTCACGATGATCATTATCCAGTTGCTGAGTGCTAGGATCTAGCCATATATTGATGGTTACCTCATGCCTCCCATGTTTTCTTGCCTAGGCCTAAGCCTCTATGTTTGATGCTCTTGGATACGCCATTCACCACCCATTTACCAAGATCTACCCAAGCCAAACTCACCCCATGTGGTTGTTCTTCTATGAAATGCGCAAATGTTTGTTGGTTACCCAACCATCTAGTCAAATTATAGAAAAATCTCAGACAAATAAACCATCATTTTGGGGGTAGTGTTTCCCTTGAAAATTGACCATAATGGTCAAAATCCCCCCAAATTCTTGGCTGGTAAACCAGCCATGATGACATGGCCAACCTTAGATACTCAGTGATGTGGTAAACCCCATGTCATAAACCATCCCTCATCACAGTTTTTATGTCTGGTTTTCCAACCATAGTCATGCTAGGTGTATGGCATTGGGTTGCCCACATTCATGGGATATTTCATGAACCACTTATTCATAGTAATGTGGGGATCAACACATTGAATGGTTCTCCCCAAAATGATTTTCATGGGAAAAAATGTGGTTCGTTATGTCCCCAAAATGATTTTCATAACGTAACACTCATGGTTTTCCCGAATTGCTTCATCTTCCCAGCAGCTTCCCTTCGAAAAAAAGTCCCCAACCACCTCGCCCTTGGGACGTTTCTCACGGCGTCTCCGAGGTGCCGCCCGTTCAAACCTTGGGCCGCGATTGGATCAAGGTGGAAAGGACTTGCGAATCACCACGAAGCCTGCGAAGAGTGGGAGATTTGGGAGATTTACAAATCAAGTTTGATGGGAATCTGGGTCATATGATGTCCTATGTTTTGATTCTTGGATATTGATGTCATAAGATGTCCGAAAATGTCCGAAAATGTGATGAGCATTTTTGTGGCTAACATTCGAATGATGGGGGGGAGATTCAAAGTTTAACCCATGATTCATGTTGGTTTCGCCACCGAACATGGCAGGTTGACCAACAAAAAAATGGCAGGTTGACCACCAACAAACCTGCCCATGTAAAATCCACATGTTCAATATATCATGATATATCATGTAATGTCATAGTATATGTTATGATATATCAGGATATAATGTCATAATATATGTCATGATATATCATGGTATATCATGATATATCATGATATATTATGATATATTATGATGGTCAGGTTGCATTACCAAAGCCAAAATGACCATGAAGATAGGGATGCACAAAACAGCAAATGACCGTCCTGGCTTCTGACTTTCCTGGACAATTTCATCGAAGGTAACGTCCATCAGCGAACCGGGGGAGGCAACAAATTCTCAGGGAAATACCCTCTGGTAATTTGTTACATAGCTATGGAAAATGGTGATTTATGGTGGATTTACCCTCTGGTAATTTAACATAGCTATTGAAAATGCCCATTGATAGTGTTTTTTCCCATTAAAAATTGTGATTTTCCATAGTTATGTTAGTTTACCAGAGGGTATAATTCAGCCAGAGTGAATATTAAGGGTGGATTTATGGTGGATTTACCCATTCCGGCAACAGCGTGGGTATTGCAACGAATTTGACAGCGGTGGAACCGCTGACTATTACGGTCGGTAATACAGGGCCGAGTTCTTCTCGTCTCAAGCATGCACCAAGCAAGAACTTTGCAGCAAGCTTAAAGGTAAAAGGATTTACCCATTGAACATGGTGATTTTCCATAGTTATGTTGGTTTACCAGAGGGTATATGGTTTTGGTTTAACACCCAATGAGGGATAAGCCAGCCTAAGAGGATATAGTTGTGATATTTCATGGCGATTGGACAAAACCAACGATATCACATTTGGGATCGCCCGTTTTTATGGGTCAAAAACCATGTTATACCAATAAGTAACAGTTTCAACAGTGGAAAATGATGACATTTTCCATGGAATTTGGGGGAGCCCCATTTTCAGGCAAGCGATTTGTGATATTTTGCTTCGTGGTGAAACCACCCCCCTGTAACATGTGTCATTGGGGATGATCATCCCATCTTTAGGGTGGAAAATCAGGTCGTCCGTGAAATCACGCAGTAGGATGATAAGACCACCTAGAAGGCGTATATTGCGGATGTCCATCTTCATTTTCGATTGCAAAACCTTCTGTCCCAAAATTTACCCTCTGGTAAACAAACATAGCTATTGAAAATTGCAATTTAGTTCGTTGATTTTCCCATTCATAGCATGGTGATTTTCCATAATAGTTATGTAAATGTTTACCAGAGGGTATGCTAGTTCTAAGTCCCTACCCTTGGGGTCCATGTCAGAATCATCCGCAAAAAAACGGCGAGTATTACGGCCTCTGTTCGCAGCGTTTCTCAAAAAAAAATGATGTCGGAACATCCATGGCCTCACCTGTGTCTAACACGCCTGGCCTTAAGAAAAAAATTCTGGGTGATTTACGGGTGATTTAACCACTATAAATGGGGATTGAATGGTGATTTTTTATGGTTCAACAATTGGTTAACTTTGGTGAATTTCATGGGATGATATGGGATTTAGCCTCTGGTAAACATTTACATAACTATGGAAAATCGCCATGCTATTAATGGGAAAATCAACGAACTAAATTGCAATTTTCAATAGCTATGTTTGTTTACCAGAGGGTACTGGTCAAGGACATACTCAACTGCTTAAGTTTTAACCAACCTGTCATTTCACATACTCAGATGCACACGTATTTCTGAAAAAAAATTAAGGCCCCCACGCTGTGACAGCTGATTACATAGCCAATTTAAAATACCCTGCAAAACAGAATAGCTGGTTAGATTCATGTTCCAACTTATCTGGGTAAATGAGAATATGTCACTCACCTGAAAAGTTCGCAGTGAGGCCGCTATAACTATGCTATAACTTATCCCTCCACCAAGGTCGAACCATGTTCTTGATGCTTACCCTCTGGTAAACTAACATAACTATGGAAAATCACCATTTTTCATGCGAAAATCCACTATAAATGGCCATTTTCAATAGCTATTTTGACATAACCAGAGGGTACCCCCCCTGTTCAGCACAGCTGGTAAAAGCTCGTCCACTTCCATGGCTTGGAAAATCCCCGTGGGTTTTCCACATCTCTTTGTTCGTTTACCGTGTAGCCTCTGGTTATGTCAAAATAGCTATTGAAAATGACCATAGAAATAGTGGATGTTCCCATTAAAAATGATGATTTTCCATAGTTTTTTGTATGTTTACCGTGTAGCCTTCGTAATCAAATTTGGCAATGGAAAAAACTCACCAGCATCCACAAACCAAATGAACGAAATGTAGCTGTGAAAATCATCGAACGAAATGGGGAATTGTCGAATTGTCCAGCCACGTTTGATTGCCAGATGGTATATGAAAGATTGGCTACAGTATCCCAGAATTCAGTGATCAATTTATCAATCATCCACAAACATCAAGAGACCCAGTTTTGAAGGTTATAGATCAGTTCCTGAGCAGGAAACCGTGGGTCTTCCACATCTCGTTAGCTTACCCCATTTCGGAAATTTTGTGTGCGTGCCCATGTCGTGCGGAAAATTTCACCTTTTTTGGTTGACCAGTTAGTGATGCTCCCTGAGTCTTGCACATGGCATCCATGTCTAAGGCTGCGGGAATTTCGAGGCCTCCGCTCTCTCCTGGCATCGGAGAATCCGGCTCTGATGAGGCCGTGAGGCCGCGAATCTTTGAATGAAAAACCTCTGGTAATTTCACATAGCTACGGAAAAAATCACGGTTTTCATAGGTCAATCTTCTTTAAATCTAAATTTTAGCCGATTTCCGTAGGCATGTGGAATTACTGGAGGGTAGTGGGAATACAGTGGAATATAATGGAAATATAATGGAAAGATAGTCGCATAACCAGCAATACAATGGGAAAATCATGGAAATATCATGGACATCTTATGATGTATATATATATATGTATATATGTATATATATATGTATACATATATATATATATATACATATATATATATATATGTATATATATATATATATATGTATATATATATATATATGTATATATATATGTATATATGTATATATATATACATATGTAGTATATGAATATGTATATATATATATATACGCCCCCATTGTATGGTCCCAACTATGTGTAAATCTCCTGTACTAAACCATGGTTTTTGGGCGGTGTCTAGGATTTGGAAGAGATTGTGAGATATCCTCCAGTAACTTCACATATGGAAAGCCATGTTTTCTCGTTCAGAAAATTATCTACAAATGGTTGGTTTTCCATTTCTATGTTAATCTACTAGACGGAAAGCCCTCAAAAATGTAGATACACGCATACCATCATCAAATGTGCATATAGAATGAAGGAACCACTGGAAATTGAATGCCTCTAAGATGCCACATGTTTGAGAAAGGACCGGCCGTGGGTTTTGTCTAAAGATTTAGGGGTTCCAATACTATAAATGGCCATAACGTGGGGGAATATCCCCAATGTTTGGAAAAGTGACTCCCAAAAGAAATGGAAACGTTGCACGCAACAATAGGGCTTTGCATGGAAATCTCGCAACGGTATACCAGTATACCCCTATACCACATCAAAATGGTCCACTTGTAAGTTGGTTTTTTTCGATGAGTTGGTCACCGGGGTGACCCTATTTCGCATGGGTCAAAATTGTGTGCTAAAAAAGCACTCTCTTCATTCTCCGGATGTCCAATAGCCTAACATTAATGTGCCATGGTCAAAACATGGTATATAGATGTATGGTCCGGGTATGGTCCTCCATCCCATAATGGGAACCCGAACCCAATCAACCAGTAAATCCCTATGAATGGATTGATTATTCTCATCCTGGAAGGACTGGGCATACATTCCAACTAAGTTAGTTGGTGGTTCAACCCATCTCAAAAATATACTCGTCATCTCAACCAATCATCATCAATCATCGTCAATCGTTGCCTGGTGAAAAAAAATAACGCTATACATAATATTAGTGAAACCCCCAACCGGTAAAACACTCATGTTTGCAGTCATATCCCAATTATATCCCAACTAAATCCCCTTTGTTGTTGGTGATAAACCTCATCTTGCCATGGCTTTAAAGTGACCTGACTCCTCGCTGCCCGCAGGCTCTGCAGGCTCGGGTGGAACGATCAGTTTGTCCAAAGCCTCACGGCCATGGGAAAGCCCGGTGTGGAAAGGGTGAAAAAATTAGGGTTTCAAAAAATTGGTGTGCTTAAATGTGTTGAGTGGGAAGGTGAACTTCTAAACCTTCAAATTTTGGGTATACCCCATTTTTTTAGACAAGGCCGCATCTTTTCTTGTGATTCCCCAAATTTGAAACCACGACTTCGGCACAAAGGATGTTAACAATGCCCAAACCCTGCTGGCATCACCAAAACAAGACGAGTCCATCTGTGGTTCGTAGCACTGCAAGTGTTGACCAATACCATTGAATACCATCTAATACCAACAAACAAGAGTATTGCTGGCAAAATGGTCAAAAATTGATGGTTTTGAATCCCATCTTCGCCGGGAAATCCCGACTTTTGTAGTTGGTAAATCCCAAAAAATCTGTAGGTCCAAAAATCCCCGTCCCCCTGATCCAACTTTTCATAGCTCCCATTCGCCTGGTTTTTGTATTGGATCGATTCGTGAATTGGGTCCCTGAAACTGGGAGTATCACGGAGTATCTAGATGTACCCTGAGGTAAACATACAAAAAACTATGGAAAATCACCATGCTATCAATGGGTAAATCCACGAACTAAATCACCATGTTCAATAGCTATGTAACAAATTACCAGAGGGTATTTAATTTTTTGAGGCGTTGGGGTTTGTTCACATGCCCAGTTTTCGGTTTGGCCCGGTAGTCTTGGCCAAGGAACTCCGTTGTATCTTTTTCGGAGCACCTGCAGCACTGGTTCCATTCGGATGGATCACAGAACATCAACAATTCCACTTGATACAAGGTGGTGCCCCATAGTTAGCTAAGTTGGTTTATAACTCCCATAACTATGGTTTATGGTAGATATAACTATAGTTAATGGGGTTTATAAACCAACTTATAACTGGGGGGCCTCACATTGTACATGTCAAGGGAAAAGGGGGAAATCATTGGGGCATCAACAAAATCGAAAAAGGAACGTGAATAACAAACAAATCCACTCGTTACGTGTGAAAGATGGGAGGAATCATTGTTCAGCATCAACAAGGTAATGAGAATACATTTTTTCTAGCAATTCCACTTGACAAATGGTTACAGCAATTTTATGCAGAGTATCTAGTTATAGAGGATGGATTGGGTTGTGAGCCAGCTGCTAGCAACAGGTACAAGATCGAATCATCTGGGGTAACCGTAACCAAGAAACATGATCGCGTGAGTGTAGAAGCAATCAAACAGGAATTAGCCGCTAAAATGTCTTAGGCTTGGTTGGTATTTTTGCTCATATTGCCATATTATTCTGTATCTTATATAACTATATATACATATCTGGTTGGTGGTTGACCTACCCCTCTGAAAAATATGAAAGTCAGTTGGGATGATTATTCCCAATATATGGAAAAATAAAAGCCATGTTCCAAACCACCAACCAGTAACTATATATACATATAATTATATATGTATATAAGTAGCACCTCGCAGACATCCAGGAATGCCACCCACAAAAAACTACTACCCACCCCTCGAAACTCTTGATTTTTTTCCATCAAGGTAGGACTCAAACTTCAGCAGTGCCAGCGGAGTTTCGTCCAAAGAAATGATTTTTTTTTGGATAGCTCTTGAGCGCTGAGATCCCAGCAGTACTATCCACCAGAAAATTGGTCGGACTTGGAAATTAACACAACGAATCCACCTTCAATGCTGCCACTGGGATTCTTACTGGGTAGGCTGATGACTGCATACGAGCAGTGAACTCTGATGTCGTAAGCCATTCAGTTCCATGATGTGGAAAAAAAACACAAATCCTTAACTGGATATATAATTAAGGATATTAAGGAATTATTCGGTCCATCACAACCATAATATTTACCTGATCAGAATGCATCCGGCCACAATGCTTTAAGAAAATCAACCTACTGAACCAAGGTTTCCCTAGTGTCATCATGGCCGATTCTTGTCTTCCCGCAACGCAGTATAGATTGAACTGCTGAAACCGGGCCAAAAAAATGTCAAATTCTCTTTGTCAAGTTGTCTGCCAAAATATCAGCTAAAGCCATGCTAAGGTCTACCCTCTGGTAAACTAACATAGCTATTGAAAATGACCATAGAAATAGTGGATTTACCCATTAATAGCATGGTGATTTTCCATAGTTTTTTCTATGTTTACCAGAGGGTACATATGTCTACATCCACATCAGTTGAAACCACTGAGTGTGCACCCGGGTTCTAGGTGCCCAGCGTGGATATCTGGATTTTTCGTTTCCTGGAGGCCAACCCGAAGGACCCACAAACCATGGATTTCCCAACTCGAAAAGAGGTGCAGCCCATCACTTAGCTGATTTTGGGGTCCGCAATTCTAAGAAACACCCATACGACTTTTGTTGGGGTATCCCTCAAATTTGCGATGATGATTCCATACTATTGAAACTCATCGTCGAAAATTTGAATCATGCAACTGACTAAAATGACATTAAATGACTAAAATAGGTCATGCTATGGGTAGTATCAAATAATGATGTTATATAGTTTTTTTTTGGAAAGACCCAACACCTGCATCCCTTGGGCCCTTGGGACTACATTGCAACTGGCTTGCTGCGCACCTATCCTACGTGCAGTCTTGAAGGGATTTACACATGGAGAGGCTAACCCCGCATATTGTGTATATCTGCATATATATATATAATACAATATATATATATATATGTAGATATAATATATATATATATATGTATATATAATGTGTATATATATATATATATACACTATGTATATATATATGTATATAGATACTATGTATGTATATATATATACTATGTATATATATATATATACATGTGTGTGTGTTCTGCAGGTATAGTATACAACACTTGCATGTCATGCATAGACAAACAATAATTAATATCGTCTTGTTTGAAGACGTATTCACATGTAAAGCATGTTCTCCTACGAAACGCTACGAAAAAAAAAAGTTCGATGATGTTCTCTCATGGCCCTTGGTATCCCCCCGGGTAAAGGGAGGGGGGTGGGCCCCCCAAAATACACCGAATATATTTTTTAAAAAACAGACGTCCCCCAAACATTGATGCTTGACCTAAGATTCTGAAGATTTAGATGCAAACTGTTTCGCCCGGTTCGTCTGGTGTTCCATTGAAGGCATCACCTTTCCTTTCCCCACATAGTACTACTATGCCCCTCATAATATGTCCAAATGTTTTCTCAAAATTAACACCACCGGTAACGTTTAATCACTCATTGACACCCAAAAGCTCGCAACTTCACACAGCTGCGCTATTGGTCGAGCAAGTAAGCCAACAGTCACTAGTCATCATTTGAGTTGGCAACATGTATGCGCTTGGCACTGGTTTTAAGAAATACTGTTTCTAATTCGGAACTCAAACGTGACCATTTCCATGAAGGTCATCTTACAATTACTCATTTTGTCTCATATTATGTCGTGTGAACTTTGTAACTAACCCGCGTCCTCCTTCACTCTGTCGGCTTCTTGGTCAATGTACCTTTGCCAAGGCTTCCCATGGTGCGCATCTTCACACAAGGGTCATAGGATGGGCCAATCTTTGGCAATCATAGGAAACTAATGTAAACTACATGGATTTATATGATCTTGTAGGGATAATTGTGGGGATACTGATTGGGATGTAATGTTTACCCTCGGGTGTCATCCAACATGGCGAGCAAATCCCCGAACGAAACGCAGGTTCTCCAAGAATTGCCCATGTGCTCCTGGTTGGTGGTTGACCTACCCCTCTGAAAAATATGAGTTCGTCAGTTGGGATGATGAAATTCCCAATATATGGAAAAATAAAATTCATGTTCCAAACCACCAACCAGTTGCCCATTTTCTCACATGTTCTATGACCATGTCCAAATCAGAAGATGAACAAACCTACCACTCCGTTGCGAGGTCGGCGAAGGAACCCTCCGCCGATGCCAAGTTGATTCAAAACTCCCAGATCGTTGATGAGCTCACAAGATGTTCAAAATATGTCCAGCAATATCCCCTAAATCTGAGGTGTCAAATAAATGATCGTATAAACAAAATGTTTGGATTTATGTAGCACTGAGATCATATTTCGAGGAGTATCCCGGAGTATCCCCTAAATTTGAGGATTCAAACCCCTCAGATACCAGGGCCACACAGCTCAAAATGTTCAAGGAGAATCATCTGACGACCACTCAACACAGGAGATGTCTATCGATAAACCCAGCGATGAACCTCCAAAAAAGATCAACAAAGGGGATATGTATGGGATATGTTTGAAAATTGTTGCTGTACTAGTCGAGCAAAGAAAAATTAATCTGTTGGGCCTTAAGGCCTTAAGGTTGCGTGATTTCTCAAACATATATAATCACCTTTCTGTTGGAGAATTTTGACTCAGAGACCTACCAATTTTCCCATCCATCATCCCCTCCCAAAAAAAGCGCACCACATGGCAGACAGCGCCAGGTTCTTAGCATTTTCCGCTGAGACGGTGACAAGATCGTCAGGCTGGCAGATCGCCGAGGAAATCGATCTTTAAGCTGGAAAAACTTGGGAATTCACAAGTGGTTTAGGGGGGTGACCAACAAAAACTAGGGATTTCACACATGAAAATAATGATTCAGACATCGAAGCATGGATTGACATGAAGAAAGTTGGAAGTTGGGTCAAAACCCCAATTAACATAGGATTTGTACGACAACAATGGCAGATCCCCAGTAAAACTGGTGAAAACATGTGACTTTCCCAAGAAACCCCCGCAGTTTTTTTCAGTGACTCTCCCCTCGCCCATCCGAGCCGTGGTCACCTGATCGTCTTCCTTCAGCTTCAAGGACTTGAGCCGGTCACGCATCTTCCTACGCGATGGAAATGGGAATGAAAATCCAATGGGAATATCATCAGAATATCATGGGAATATGAATAATATGGGAATTTCAGGATCCTAAACTGGAGGTGCCTACCAGATATAAGGCCTTAACTTCAGGCTTTAATTTCAGGGAATATCCCAACAAAATATGGTCAGAAATATGGTACAGTACCTCCATTCTAGGATCCTGAAATTCCCATTGATAATTTGAATAGAATGGGAATCTAGGAAATATAGCTACAATTATCAGTGGCCATTCCAGGTACCGAACTTGGAGCTACCATGTGTAGGGGCTTTATATGCTACAGTACCTCTATTTTCGAGTCCTCCATGAGCCACTGATATAATCACTTTCTGGGGATATAACTCTATGTATATATTTATACATATGATAAATGGGAATATCATGGGGATATAACTCTATATATCTGGGTAAATAAGAATATTTCACTAACCTGAATTGTTGGGCCATAAAAGGGGATGATTTCCCTATAAAAACCATGATTCCAGGGTTCGGTCGCAGTGAGGTCGTTGTAGTTTACCAAGATATATATATACATACATATATATACATATGTATATATACATGTGTATATATATATATTGTACATATATATACAGTATATATATACAGTATACATATATATAGGCATCGGTGCACTCTTGTTTTCCACCTCCAGCGTGTGACTGTAAGGTTTTATGAACTGTGAGAAGTAATCACAGTTCCCTTCTCTTCGCTTTGTCGCGCCCTTCAGGCTGCGAACTCTTCGCTTTGTCGCGCCCTTCAGGCTGCGAACAGATTTAAACACACATTGTCTTGCTTCTCTCATGGTAGAGAGTTGACTTCAGTTCCATGGCAGGAACTCCGCAAAAAGAAACAACATTTACTTCCATGGAAGGAAGGTTCAAATAAGGTTCAAAAAGCCATTCCAATGTGGTGGGAGTGGCCGGGCACTGAAAAGCCACTAGAGTAAACAACCGCTGAGGTTAACATCGTGACACTCTGCCTAAATTTCTACAAGAAAGTCTAGGCATCGGTGCACTCTTGTTTTCCACCTCCAGCGTGTGACTGTAAGGTTTTATGAACTGTGAGAAGTAATCACAGTTCCCTTCTCTTCGCTTTGTCGCGCCCTTCAGGCTGCGAACTCTTCGCTTTGTCGCGCCCTTCAGGCTGCGAACAGATTTAAACACACATTGTCTTGCTTCTCTCATGGTAGAGAGTTGACTTCAGTTCCATGGCAGGAACTCCGCAAAAAGAAACAACATTTACTTCCATGGAAGGAAGGTTCAAACAAGGTTCAAAAAGCCATTCCACGACCCCTTTACTTGACACTGTAGTGTTGAAAAGGCCTCCACTCTTGCAGTTTTTCCCTGGCACGTGGAGAAAAAGTTAACATCGGCAGGAAGCTAAGGCCGTCCTGTAAATATATTTTGGCCACTTGGGCCGATCCCCACCTGCCTTTAAGCAAGGCCAATTCCATACTGCCAGTGGTTTGAAAAAGGTGAGTCGCGCCTCCTCTTCGGAGGCTGTAAGGTCTGAAACAGTGGCCTTGGAGATCAAATTTCTTTAAATAAAAGCTGAACTTATTCCTAAAGTTCTGTGCAGAGTGAAGCCAACAAGGGACATGCTGCAAGCGTTGGTGTTCTCGTAACTGTAACAGCTGATCAATGGCAATCACTGCGAAGGGATCATCAAAAGAAACGGTCTCGGAAGCAGCATTACGCTTCCCAGATTTCGTGCTTTCCAGTGAAAGGATTACCCGTTCCTTTGCAACAAGGATGTTGCACGGCTTTACCAGCAACAACTCTCCAGTGCGGAGTAACCCGAAAAATCCCATTAAAAGCAAAGTTCCAAAAACTAAATCATTATGCATCATCGCATAGTGAGCCAACGAATATATTATGTATTTTGTAAGTGGAGGGGCCCTATTGGGGGCCTCCAATTTTCGCCAAGTGCGAAACAATTTCCATGCTGATGGGATCAACTTCTTGGTATAGGGCTCAAAGTGGTGAAGGCCACACAATGCGTCTGAAACAACATGAATTGTTTGACCCTCTCTCCATTGTTTTTCAACCCAGTCACTTACTGCGTCATCCAGCTGAGGCGGTCCTTTGACCTTTTCCAGTGTAGGCAAAAGTTTTCTCATAGCATCATAGTACCTCTCTTGTGTTCGAACTGAAATAGCTGCATCTGCTAGTATTATGTCCTTTCTTTGTTTCTGTCTTTCAGCGCGGGTTCGTCTAGTCAAGAACTTAGGCCGACCGGCTCGCATGGTCGGTTGGATTCTGTGTGGACTCTACATGTCCCAGAATCAGTGTGATGCCATGGGCTAAAAGGTTTGCGTTCAATACCTTGAGCAACTTGTTCAGAAAACGGCTGCCACTGCGACCCTTGCTTATCAATGAAAGGCAAACATACGAGTCAGTCAAATGAAACAAACGCAAACGCGTGACCTGAAAATGAGAAATAGTATACATAACAGCTTGGTGTATTGCTCGTAGTTCCAACCGATTGATATGCTCTTTATGAGCCCATCTAAACTTGAAGACATGCTCCCAGTCCCACCATTCAGCTTCAACCGCCTGCCTAGGGAAGGCTTTTGGGTTGAGGATTTCGCCAGTAGTTATACGGATGTCAGACCCCGTGTGATTTACTCTAGCGAGTAAGATTTTATTCAGCAGTTGTGGTGACATCAATAAATTTGAACCATCAAACCCATACTGCAGTTTTCTAGCCAAAGGGATCTTAATCCTCCATGGAGCTGCAAAACCAGGCGCCAGACCCATGCGATCGCACAAATGAGCATAGCTCATCCGAGGCAAGAAATGCTTGCATAGGGCGGCTGCCGGAATAACAAAAGAATAAATACTAAAGCTGTCTCCTAGCAGAGAAAGTCGTTCGTTTTCAAAGGCTGCAGCAGACTTCTTAATCTGACTCGCGCTCATGCAAAGATGTGTGTGCATCCAACCATACCCTAAGAGCAGCTCTCGTTCTGTACTGTCAATGAGTCTCCATTTGTTACCCTTCCAAAAGAGAAAACGGGACAAGTATTGATATGGAGGGAATTTGAAATGCTCACTCTTCCATCGCTCTTTAGTGTCTTCGTCGCACCTTGACAGACCTGCCGGTCTCGGTGGTGGTCGGCTCCGGATGATGGCCCGGAGACATGTTGGTAAGACATCGCCAGACTCTGCGCCTGTCCAAACAACTTCCGGCTCTATCCATGTGGCTGGATCTGGATAAGGGTTTTCAGCAGTTACCTTAGTCCAAAAATCCTCACGCTCAAAAAGTACCCCATCCAGAACCCCCTCAAAGGACTCGCTACACCAGCATAGTCTAGGCCTGTTCAAGGGCACTGCGTCAGAGCAGTTCAAGTGGTATGGCCAAATTCCCAAAGTCTCTGAAATTTCCACGCACTCGCTCTTTGCCATAGAGGCAACATTCTCGCCCACCAGTTTGATCTCAATCAGCTCCCCTGCAGCGCTCCGGAGCACTTCTAGAACCCTAGGCACTTCATAAAATAGCTTCGACTGACTACCAGCTAATCCTTCTCGACCTGACTTCAGTGCCGTAAGGTCCGTACATGGAAAGCCTGCCCAAACATGGATTTCTGTTATTCCGACAAACTTAAGAAGCCATCCTCGAACCATGGTTTCGTCAATCTCCCTCACATCATGGTACTGCAGCGAGTGGGGCCACCGTCTGCTCGAAATTCTGTTGGCGGGCCCATGTATATCAAAACTAATAAGTCCCAAAGGTGCAAGCCCAAGTATGTCGTAACATCTGAAGCACCCTCCTACTCCATTAAAGAGGGAAATCACCAACACCGGGATACTGACAACGGAGCGAACACTAGATGTCATTGCTGCTACATAGTCGCTCCCAACAGACGTCAACTGCTTTGAAATCCCTACTGCTCCACCAAAACCTGAGGCATCCGACGCAGTCACAAAATTAGAAACTGTTGCTCCCAGGTCAGTATGTAAGAGGGGGCTTGCACACACCAAACTCCAGAGCTCTCTCTTTACCTGTTCTACCAGACGGCTGCTGAAAGTCTTGCTGCTAATAAATTGCCATGTAGAATCCAAGAAGGCCATACCCGGCCGACGAAATTGCAATATGTGGGCCCACCGTCCTGCCACCACCTGCACATGCTTCTTTGATAAATGCTTTTGAGAGAGAATCCACAAAGTAGCTTGTATCACTTTGAGGATCCGCTCAGGAGACGCCCCAATGGTGTTTGTGGCTCCGCTGACTAGGGCTCCCAATTCTTCAGCTTCTTCAACTGCTCGCTTCCTTTTCTTTTCTGAAGAAACAACCTGTGCTTCTCTCCAAGCTTTTTCTGCTAGTTGGTGGAGTTGATCACCAGCAGCTGAAGTTTCAGAAACGCCCAAGACCTGCCCTCCGGCATAGTTATCCAAATAGACATGCCACCATATACGACGGTGCTCTCGGGCTTCCTTTAAAAGACCAACCATCCATAAGGGCAGAGGGCGGTTGCGAACTACTTGCTCTCCCGCAGGCAACATGCTGCGCAACAAGATACGCTCACTGACTTCCTGCATAACTGAAACTGAAGAAAGCCAACCCATGGGTAAAACGCAACAGGACAAAGCATACTTCCTAGCAGGGTCTCTGTCAATCTGTTTTCCATTTACTACGATGTTAAACGCTAAACAGCGTCTCCACTGAGGAGGTAAAGCAAAGAGATAGAAAGCGTTGGTCATATCTGACTGCCAAATCCTGATAGTTTCACCCTCATCAGCCACCAATGACATCCAAGCAGTAATACTGGGCAAGTTCTTAACAGCCCCTTCAAGCTGAAGCATCACTGAGTTTGAAGGTACTAAGTTCATTATAACACAAAGAATAGGCTCTCCCGAAGACAAACATGATGTTTTGGGCACCCCAAAAAGACCGTTTAGAACAGGCTCCCCACGATAAGTAAGGACATCATCAAAAGGAATCCAGTCACAAACCCCGCAACTAATCAGCGCGCTCGTGATGGCAGGAAGTTCTCCCTCGGCAACATGGATTTTTCCCTGAAGTTTTGGCAATTGCTGGCCCCTGTCTTCAAGGATACAGTGTTCAGGATTCCTTAAGAAATTTCCAGTCACCGGTGAAACAAAATCCATCAAATCAATACATCCCCCATGTTCTTTAGGTGGTAGAGCAGGCTCGATCTGCCGCAGTGTCAACTTGTGGCAACTCCCTACTTCTTCACCCAAATAGTTCACTCGTGCAAGCTTCACATCTTTTTCTATGCCTTCTGAGCTCACAGGTTCTTGGCGTCCATGGCTGAGCAGACGTCTCGTCATCAGCCTGACAGCTGCGCATGCCCGCTCCTCAGCCTTTATCCAGCCTCCTGAGTCAAGAGGCCGCTGCACATCCACTAAGGAGTTACATGCAAAACAAGCCAAGTATGTCCAGCAAGCTTCGGCATGAAGAGTACAAAAGCTATCCTCAGCGGCTTCGCACAAAGAAACAGCCTTCAAGGTGTTCACAGTCCCGGCCAACTCGCCTTCGCGCAAGGGAAGAGCCAGTCGTTTCCGACCGGCCCGTTGCCGCACGCTGGAGGCAAACATTAGCCTATAGATGCCTGAATTCTGGAGCTCGTTGGTGAAACAGCTCACATGAATCAAGCCCCACGCCAGGACACACCCGGTGCGTCTCAGTGTGTCACACAAACGTAGGATCTGACCCAAGTCAGCCAAAGGAGCTTGGGGAGCGATCTCAACGGCCTTGACCAGAGATGCTTCCTCTGCTACTTGGGCTTCTCCTCTGGCTTCTCTTTGTTCTTCTCCCAGTCTTTGCTGCGGGGAGTGTCCCAGTTGGGGCGATTGTCCCAGCGTCCTTTGCCCTTCTTTCCTTTGTTCTTTGTCTTGCATTCTCCTTTTGCTTCGCCTCTGGTGTCGCCGTAGCTCCACTCGTTCTTGCCCTTTCCTCCACGGCCGCGGCCGGCTCCCGGAACCCAGGAGCTGGAGGGGTAGCCCTGCATTTTTGAAACCAGTTTCGCATGTCGCCGCGTCGCCAAAATGGCGGACGGGCTGGCAGCGGTCACGTCTTCCATAGCATGCAGCTCCAAGTGACGAGCTGTTCCCCAATTTCCGTCCACTAAGGACTGATGTAGAGCTATGAACCGCGCTGCTAAGCCGTCTGCGCAGCGAGCTACGTCCCCAGATCGAATAGCATCTATGCATGAGGCCAAATGAAACATCTCCCTCAACTCTCGAAGGTGTTGAGGATAGGCGCCCTTGACATGGATGTTGAAGTAGGTCATGACCTTCACACCCCCAGTCACCACGGCTGAAGCCTGGCCGGTCTCTGTCAGGGCGCTTTGGTCCAACTGGTCCCTGATGTGGGCCACCAGGAGCTGCAAAACGCTTCCTGGGCGGTCCCTGGATTTCTTTCTGAGCGGTGCTTCCAGGTCCTCGTCGCTTGAGGGCTCTTCTGTCTCCGCCCCCGAGGAAGCTCCTGAGCTGGCGCTTGAGGTCACTATCGTTCCATCCCTCAACATTCTGCGTTTGCGCTTCTTCTTCTTGGTGGCCTCGGTCTCCTTGGGGGTTACCCCACTGGCTTTCTGCAATGCCTTGACCAGGACATTGGAAAGCCGCTCCATATCCGTCTTCCCTGACACCTTCTTCTTCTTCTTGGACGAGCTCTTTGCTTTCCTCTGACGAGTCACTTCCAGAGCTTTCTGGACCAGTTGGCCGCTCAAGCTTTTCGAAGTGGTGTCTTTTGTATCCACCAGGGCGAGCGCATCTTCCCCGCCTGTATGACGTCGAGAGCGGCGGAGTTTGTCCTTCCGAGCAACGGCTTTCGCCAGCTCTGGAGGAAGAGGATCCAAGTTGGCTCCTGTCGTCAGGCCATCTGCCTGCACAGAGTCTGAGCTCTCTACATCTAGCCCATCCTTCTGCTCCTCGTCGACCAAGGTTCCCGGAGAATACTCCTGATCTTCTTCCTTCCCATCGCCCTGAAGTCTGACCCGCAAAGCCTTCAACTTCTGCCGCAGCTCCTCTTTGGATGCCCGGATATCTGGGTCCCCAGGTTCTGTCTCTTTGGGAGTGCGAAGGGCAGGCTTGCGGCGAGGGGCGGCTTTTCCCCCAGTTTCTCCAGGCTTGCCTCTGTCTTTCTTTTCTTTTGGTGCAGTTTTTGCGGTAGCTGCTTTGGCACGGGGAGTCCTGGGAGCCTTTGGTTTTTCTGTAGAGCTCTTCAAAAACTTGTTCACATTCTTTTTCTGAGCATCCGAAAGGTAAGGGCAAACCTCCACAAAACGTGACGCGCTCCACAAACGCACTCTGGTTGCATGCAAAAAGTCCCCGAGGTCCGGCTCGCCTTCTGAAATATCTAAACAAGGCCGCGACAAGCAAAGGTGAATTGAATTCCCTTCTGTGTTGAAATCGGTGTCCAGACGGCCATCCACTGAAGTATCTTCGGACCCCAGGAAACGGCATTCCAGAACTAGTGATCCATCTAAAAGGGTGGACACTCGTACAATCACAAAGGCGGCCCAAACGGCCGGCGCCTCGTGGAAATTGCTTTGCCCCAGCGCAACCTCTAAAATCTGGCCGCGCGCGGGTGAAAGGGCGCTCCAAGCCTGCAACTGAGTTACATCCACTTCGACTCCATCCTCGTCCAAGTCTGCCATTGCTCAAACGGATTGCTCCAGAGCGTGGCGGCCTTGACTCACTGACAATAGTTCCAAAAGTCCTGGTCCAGCTTTTCGATGGACTCGCAACAAAGGATCCTCTGCCAGGCGTTTGAGTCGTTGATGTTTCCTCCCAGCTCTTTTGGTTCTCCTCCGTGGCTTCGATTGACGTGTGTGAGAACCTCTGGTTCGGTCTCTTCTTCGTGATCGACTTCGCTCAGCACGGCTGTGGCCAGCTGAACGGTGTGATCGCCTTGAAGAGTGCTGGCGCTCGCGCCGCGGTGAAGGATCAGGCCCTGGGGGTTTCCTCTTAGGTTCGGCACCTCTCACCTCAGGATCGTCGCCTTCCTCGTCCTCCTCTTCTTCCTCCTCCTCTTCTTCACTCAAAGGTTCTGTCACCTGCTCTTCTTTTGCCCTTCGAGGTGGGGAAGGAGGTCGAGGCAAGTTAAAGGTGGCACGTTGTCGAGGAAGTTCACTCCTAGTTCGGGTGTCCCTGTCACCTTGGTCTCGGCCAGGAGCTGGTGGTGGAGGTGCTACAGAAGCACGGCTTTGGCCAGCTTCAACTGATCTGCCCCCCCCGGTAGAGATACCTGCCCCCAAGGAACGTAGAGCTCTCACTTGCCTAGAGCAATTTAGCACAAGGTCGTTGGCCAAAACTTTGGCTCCACCTATGTCCCAATGTCCTCCGAGCTCGCGTCCAATGGCTTCCCAGCCAGCGCAGCCCAGGCACCACAAATCGCCCTCTATGGCAAGGGAGAAGCGACACTTGGAACAAACCGGTGGGGGCATACAGAGATTTGAACACTGAAAAGCCACTAGAGTAAACAACCGCTGAGGTTAACATCGTGACACTCTGCCTAAATTTCTACAAGAAAGTCTATATATATATATACATATGTATATATATATATATATGTACATATTGGAAGAAAAATAATGATCAACCAATGGATCTTGGGGGTCGCCTCAACCAGGCGAGGTATATAGCCCATTGGAAAATGGAAAATCACCATGCGATGGGTAAATCGACCATTTCGACTGGGCCATTTTTTATAGCTATCTAAGAAATTACCAGAGGGTAAATTTAGTGGATGTGTTCAATTGCTACGTTCTCTTGCCGGGTAACTTCAACAAGATGAATTATCCATTACTCTCCAGTTGATGAACATGGTGCCATATGAATCCTTGGTTGTTTACACTGCAAGGTCTTCGAGGATCCCCGAGGACGGATTTCTCAGTAGTCTTAACCCCTTGGAGCTGGTTAGTAAGTGGGATTTTCCCGTAAATTGTACCCCATACCCTCTGGTAAACTAACATAGCTATGTAAAATCACCATTTGGAATAGGTAAATCAACTGTTAATGAGCCATTTTCAATAGCTATGTTAAATTACCAGAGGGTAAATTGAAGTTTGGGGGACTCATTAAGCAGACTAGTTACCGTAGGATGATCCTCCAGTGTAGGACCCTCCCGGAAAAGTCACCAATCTCAAGGCCGGTCAGAGGGAATTTTCCAGGTTCCTACACTGATGGTTTTTAACTACAGTATCATAAATCGCGCCCGAAAACTCCGGTGAAATCCCAAATTTTACCCCATTGTTGCTGTGGGCGATGCCATTTGTATTCTGTGCCAGCATTGTGGATTTTGGGGTTCAGGCCCTCTTCCATTGCCCATCTGGGCCACCCCAACATGGTGAAATCATCGTCGCCGGGTTCCAATGTTCGCGGCTGCGGCGTGGCTGCAGAAAGGGAACAGGATTGTGTTCTTGTTGTGTCTATCCTCAAACGGAGTTCTCTAGAATATATATATATATATAGTTATATAATAGTGTTACCATCATTTTTCCACATTAATTGCTACTAATTCGGCTATTCCCCTATATATAGGGACAGACCCTTTCAGATTCATATGCGATCTACCCACCTGTGTTGAATGGGTCGATTTGCTCCTGACCAGCGACAGAACCACCGTGCTTTTACCTGCTATGCTTTATATCATGATGCAGGATGGCCCAGCTATAAGTTGGTTTATAAACCATGAAATAATGCCCATTACTGTAACTAGTCCGTTATATCATCTTATATCTACCATAAACCATAGAATTCAGCCACTTTTCTGAAAGGCAACTGAACGCGAGCTGGAACGGGGGCCCCATCCTGTACTGGTCCATAAATATGTGTGCGTGGGTCGAAACTGAAGGCCTAGGGGACCACAGGTTCTGTTGACTTTTCGTGTTCATCCCATTTTTGCGAGAGACAACCCATTCAGAATCCATTAATATTGTATAACTCACATTAACCCACATAGAAGTGGGGATATTCCATTTATACTATTGCAATTACCCGCTTCCAAAATGTTCACTATGGTTTATATGATGATACTACGTCGATAAACATCTGACAATACTACAGTCACATGAATGCATCAACCTGAAAAAATCGGTCACGTTTGGACAGTTCATCATACTAATCAGCATTCAAGACTCAAGTTTAACCAGGTCATAGGTCAGTCCATAATCGACCTATCCCATGTTATCCCATGATTGTCCTCAACCCGAAGGATGAATATGTTTGCAACAAATCCCCATAATACGAAGGGTGTGATTTACCTGATACTATATTACTATATCATACTATTACAGGTATGAAAAGCAGTAGTATCATACAATAGATAGTTCACCTAATATCATGATCTTCCCCTGCAATAAATTAGTGCATTTCTCCGGACCCACCTCTGCAAATCCATCACCATCCGCCTGCTTCTTTTGTGGCATCTTGAAGACCAAGGGTTTCCACGGCTCCTGCACCGTGGATTCGCCAAGTCTGGCCCTGGTTGAATCCCGATTGGCCGAAAATACACACATCACATGTACATGTACATTTGACTACGTACACTACATACTTAATCATCTTAATCATCTTAATCATCTGAATCATCTTAATCACATCATGCATGTGTGTATATATATATATGTGCGTGTGTGTTTGTGTACGTACATACACACATACATGATTTGTTTCTGCAAGCAGGTGGCTTTGATCTCTCCCAGTGGGGATGGAAATCAAGAAAATAAATGAAGACACACCTGCGGTTCCCCGCCTGCGGTGTTGCCTTCTTTGGGCCTTCCTAGTGTGTTGCGTGGTTGCTGGAAGTTGGGGATATACATGATATATGTATATGTATTATACATATAGATATTATATATATATACGAATAGCGGACATACTTGTTCATGTTCACGCCATGTGCAAATCAGGGTCGTCCCCCATCGGTAGTGCGGATTTCTGCATTCTCAGACTTTGAGGTGACTCATGCAAAACAGGGGTATCGGTATAGGGTCGTCCCCTATGGGTAATGAAGGCTTTTCACACCTCTCAGCAAGCCACGGCGAAGCAAGACTAAATTAGCATGACAATAATTTTGTGAAAATACTCATGTGTATATATATATATATACATATATATATATATATGGGGTTCCTAAAACATTGGTGCCAAAAAAATAAATAGTGGTTGGGGGTAGCCAAGAAGATTTTCAGACATTTTCAGACATGACCATCTACTGTATTCCAATATGGGGGTTTCCATAAATGGGGGTACCCCAATAGCTGGATGGTTTATAAAGAAAAATCATGGAAAATCCATCTATAAATGGATGATTTGGGGGTACCCCCATTTTAGAAAATCTCCATACATATTATATATATATATATAGACCTTCCAGTTTCATGGCGAATCGTTACAAGAAACCCTGGCCGTATGCCTATGAAACACTGAGCATTCCCTCACGGCCTTCAACGCAGCAGTGTGCAACCATTTCTGCCTATATAACTGACAATATTACCTATACTGCACTATCTAATGGACCTGGCTGCCCTAGGATTCGGAAGCTACTGCTCACTGTTCATTTTGTAATCAACAAGTGTCTAGCCTACCTTTGATCCCATTGATCTGAAAGAGTAGTATGCCCAGTGGTGACTTTTTTGTGCTGTGATAAACAAAAAAACAAATCCCAGGAGCCGCAAGGTCTATTTGAAAAAAAACTGGTAAGAAAGTTTTGATCTGCAAAACCAAGGCACAATACAAGGTATACAACCAGGTAAACAGGTAAACAAACAGATAGATCATATGAGTTTGTTCAGGGTTTACCACACCAAGGTCCATTAACTCGTGCGTTTCTTGGTCACTTTTCCCACGCTCAAGCTTCACAAGGCTGCTACCATAGGGTCCCAGGCCCGCGCATTGAGGGCAGTGTAGCAGCTCCTAGCAGATCCCATAAGGACACCCTACAAAGCATGGCTTTCCTGCCAGGTAACCAGGCCCCTTTCAAGAAACACTCAGGTGCTGGAAATGTGTTCTTCGTATCCCCTTCTCCCCGTTACCGAATGATCCTACAAGTGGGGTCCACATCCTTGATGACATATTTATATATATATAGTACAGTATAAATGACATATACTGTGAACTTTGACAGTTCAAGGGAAGAAAGATGAATTACACGGAAATTAAAGATTTTGGAATGTTTTGGATATTTGCAAACCAACAGTTTCAGCTTGAGATCCAATTTGACAGATTTTGAGCAAACTAAATGAAACCACTGAAGTGCGAAAGTACCACCAATCCACATTGGGTGACAAACTAGGATCTGATATGTTGATTTTTTTATGCGACTTCAGTTTTGCTATCGTTAGCTTTTGTGAATGCATGTTATTGTTATTTCATAGTGCTACAGTTCTACCATTATTTTCTAAATTTGACAAATGTCTTCCTTTTCAATGCATTTGTTGTTCATGTTTTCTTCTGATTTTGTTATAGTGTGTTTTCATGTTTTGGGTGAGAGCACCTCGTGGATGGCGTGCACATGTAGGGGTGGGATGGGGGTGAACAACGTTCCCTTGCACACATACTTGATGCTACGCTACTGGATGTTTACTTGTATGTTTCCTAAAATAGGGCTACCCCGAAATCATCCATCCATTTATAGATGGATTTTCATGGATTT